TACAAAAACGAATCGAATTTCATTCCAGACTTGGGATTCTACGATTTCATAGTAATAGGAGCAGGAGCAGGAGGGAGCGTAGTAGCCAATAGATTATCAGAAGTGGGACATTGGCAGGTACTCCTGCTAGAAGCCGGAGGATTCGGTAACAACATCACCGACATGCCTAACATGTATTTCGAAGTGGAATTCACCGAGTACAATTGGGGCTTCGTCAGCACGCCCCAGAAAAAATCCTGCCAGGGTACTACTCAATAACTCCACAAAAAAAACATATTTAATCGATACTTTCATACAACAGGCATGACGGAAAAACGTTGCCCGATGGCGAGAGGCCGCGGCATCGGCGGTAGCACCCTCATCAACGGCTTGGTCTATTCCAGGGGCTCCAGCATAGATTTCGACAGATGGGCCGAGCACGTCGGGGATTCCCGATGGTCCTACGACAACGTACTACCTGTATTCAAACGATCCGAATCATTCAACTACAGGGACAAGAAAGCACCGGTCGTTCCACGAGTACACGGCACCAAAGGCTTCCTCAACGTCGAGTACCATTTACCGAGGAGCCCGCAATTGGAGGCTTGGTTGCAAGCCCACGAGGAGCTCGGCTATCCTGTTGCTGACTACAACGCAGGAACAGGCCTTGGTAAACAAGTATTCTACAAACACCATCTGTATATTAGGTTTTTTTTATTATTTTCTTAGGTGCTTCCCCGGCTCAAATTAACACAGCTAACGGTAGAAGGGAGGATGCCGGCACCGCTTTTATCCTCCCGATTATCCGAAAACGCAAGAACCTCCACGTCCTCACCCGCAGTTACGCGACGAAAATTATAATAGACGATCGTAAAGTTGCCCGTGGAGTTGTGTTCGTCCGCAAAGGGCGGGTATTCGTGGCGAGGGCGCGCAAAGAAGTGGTGGTTTGCGCCGGCTCGTTTCAAACTCCCCAGCTGCTGATGCTGTCCGGCGTAGGGCCCAGGAAGCACCTGGAGTCGGTGGGAATTGAGGTGATCCAGGATTTGGAGGTGGGAAGCACCCTGAGGGACCACGCTTGTTTCTACGGGTTGAACTTCAAGACGAATTACGCGGAGCCCGTTAGACCTCTGGTGGAGTATGTTGAGGAGTTTACCAAAGGGTTTGGTCCTTTCGCTGCTCCGGGAAACAACCAAGGAGTCGCTTTCTACGAATCACAATTCACCAAAGGTAATTAAAACAAATTAATTATTTCTTCGACTAACAAGAATTCCAGGCACAGGTTATCCGGATATCGAGATAATGTTCATACCATCGAACGCTACGAACGATCTATCCCAAAGAGCCTTCAGGCTCACCAACGAAACCTACGAAGACGTTTGGAAACGCATGGACCGCACCAAATCTTTCGCTCTTTACATCATCAGTCTTCACTCGGATTCATTCGGAACGGTTCGATTAAAAAGCAACGACCCCTTCGACTATCCTCTCATCGACAACAGATTCCTGACGGATCCCTCGGGTAGAGACTTAAGGAGGATCTACGAAGGGGTGCAAATCATGCTGAGGCTGGCTAGGACTAATTCCATGCGAAAACTGGGCGCTTCTCTCCAAGGCGGGCCTTTGAGAGCTTGCAGCAAGCACGAGTACCAGTCGAGGGCTTATTGGTACTGCGCCATCCGCCAGATGACCATGAATATTTACCACCCCGTAGGCACCGCTCCGATGGGGCGGAGCCCCCGCGACGGCGACGTCGTCGACGCCGAGGGTAAAGTCCACGGGATTGGGGGCCTGAGGGTGGCCGATGGGAGCGTTTTTCCTTTCCCTTTGGGCGGCCATCCTGCGGCCGGGATCGTCCTGGTCGGGGAAATGGTTTCGGATTTTATTAAAAATGATTACTATTATACTGGTTGATTGGTTTTTATTGCTTGGTGTTTTATTTTCTATCTAGAGATTTCGAGTCAAGTTTTAAAATGCATCGAATAAATCTCGATAATACCGATAAATCATAGACGGAATTATCGAACCGATCCGTAAATCAAGCCAGATTTCAGCGATATTTGTCAATGCAAGTGCAAATTTTTTTTTCGCGCTAAATCCGTCACATCTCAAGAACAATCTGATGAAATTTGTTACAGTAATAATATAATCCGCGAGTTACAAGTGTGGTGATCAGTCAATCAACCTTCAAAGTAGAAAGTGCGCGGTACATTTGAGATAATAGAGTTAATTTTATTGAAATTTAGGTAAGAACTGAAATTAACCCGATTGCATCGAGCTCGGCGTAGGTTCGGTGAGAAGTTGTGAATAAATTAAGGTAAGTTTTACGTTTGTTTCTTATTAATTTTATTGATTAATTGACCTACTGTGAGTAGGTACTTATGGATTAATTGATTTATTATAAGTGCAGCAATTTTTCGATTCTATTGAGAATAACAGAAAGCAATATTATTATACTTACTGTTTTCAAAAACCTAAATTTTTATAATCTTTAGTTACCTTAAAATGAATCATTATGTTTTAGATAACTCTATAGATAATATTCCATGTAAAATATAATAAATCTAGATTATTTAGAAATACTTAACGCATAATGGAAGATTACTTAGAGATAAAAGAGATTTGCAATTATAGGGAAATAAAACATTGCAGACATTGAAAATTTGTAATACCTAGGTCAACAAACAGTGAGCAAAGTAACGTTAAATTTTATAATCCTGTATATTAAAAAAATAGAAAGACTTTATGTAAAAATAATATCCATTAACAGCACTCGATAAAGCCGCTTTTGTTATTAAAATAATGGGTAAACAAACGATACAGTATCTGCAGCAAATTGATATTACCGATAGGCCCCTTTCGGCTTCATTCCCACAATGAATCAGAAAATTAATCATAATTTCTCTTTTCTATATCAAAAATCATGCCTTGAGGCAGGCCAGTTTAGCTGTACAAAAATGCTCGATAGGCTACGCAAAAACATTTCGAATTTTCCTGTAAGACTATACGATATACCCGATTGGTTCGTTATCCTGCAAAATAATACCCAAGTTAATAAATTCGCGTTATATCACGATTATTTCGAAAAATTCATTGGTACATTCGAGGAATGCAACGTTTGTGAATGTTTATCGTTTCCTTATTGTCGAATATTTTGCATCGAGCGAACTATTGTTTTAAAGTTAATAATACTAAATCAAGACAATGAAAAGTGTAAATTTTACGAGTAAATATCGCAAATTCGCTACTATGAAACTCGAAGGGATCATGTTCATGGGGTTCTTCAGGAATTTTTTATGAATATTTTTCATAAAAATGGTGAGTAGGTTTGTTAAATTAATTAATTCAAACCACTAATTCTTCTTTTGTCGAATTATAAATTTTTGCTTCGTTGGTAAAAACACAATTGTTGTTGTTTTCATTTAATTCTATGATTTTGATAGTAATTTTAGCGAAATTTAATATTTTTTATGCTCAGGCAATAGTGTATTTATGTTTACGAAAACGGCAATAAACACGTAAATGTTAATTTTGGTGGATTTTACATACCTATTATAGTTCATTTACACACATTAAAATTCATAAATTATGGTAACTAATTTTTTTTTAAATCATATTCGAAAAATAAACAAACACATCAGGTATTAATAATAGCTACAGAAATTCCTCTGGGCATGCCGAATTCAAAATCAACTCAAAAATTTCTAATCTATATAATTACATAATAATTAAAGTGTAAAAATCTTAATTACAGATTGATAATAAATAAAAGTAATAAAATAATGCAATTTAAAAAACCTAATAATTTGTACAAATTCCTCATAATTAAATACCGTTTTTTATTATTATTGTAGATATTATTATTATCTGGAAATTGTAAATTCATACAGTAATTAAAAATCAAAAGTGAATAGTAGTTAGTAGATAATAAGGTGATTATAAATAAAATACATTTAACAAGAAAAAACCAAATAGTAAAATGGAATAATACGAGAATACAAGATTAGATAAGAATAATTTAGTAAAAGTAATGCTAAATAAACACAAAATTAAAGCAAAAATAATAAAAATTACAACATATAAAAGTGCGTTGATAGAAGTAAAGAAAATTAAATTTTCAATTAAAAATAACCAACGATCGAGCGAGTTTAAGGTACTTACTAATACAACAAAGTACATTCCTTTAATTTAAAATCCCTACATTCTATAGACGAATAACATTTTTAATTTTCTTTATATTAACACAACGACTAATACATTAGTAATAATCCAGTCAGTGGCTCTTTGTTTTTCATAAACACCGTAGCAATTTTCGCACAAACCACGCTTTTTCGTACGTACAAGTGCATTCTACGGCATCCATTATTTACTTAAAAAACAATTTCATTTATTTGTGCTTAACAGCCTTTTAACAAAAGCGACTCCAGTCTGTCTCGACTGAACAAAAATCAAATAATACTCCTAGAAAATAGCAAATTTTCCGTTTTCCACCGTTTGGAAGAGGTTTGTATGCATTTATTTCTTATGAGGTCATTGAGTACCTAAATATTTACTTGTACTAGAATTTTTTTGATTTCAATGTTATCCAGTGATAGACAATAGTGTGTTAAAAGGTGCTATCGAGATTATTTGTTTATCTGTTAATAATTAATGCTATTATTAATTAATTTGCAATGTCATTGAAGGATAATTAATTTTCTCCATACTCCCTAAAATTGATCCAAAGTTCTTAAGTTTTTGAGTATCTACATAATAAATTACAATCGTAAAGTATCGATAATTTTCTAATTAGATTTTTATTTCTATAGTAACTGAACGAAATTTTCGCTACATCACATTTAAAGGACCATTCCACGCAATAGGTACACGTACAAAAGATTTGAATAGGTATCTAAATAAACGACACTTGATCTTCGAGTACACAAGTGGGGAAAAATACTCGACAATGTTAATAAATATAAAAGTAAAACGATAGCGTTTTTACATACATCGTTCTCTGGCCATCTACCGGTAGCGCTCGGTGGAAAAATTAAAAATGCTCGCATGAAACCGTCGCGCATATTCGAATTTTCCGTTTCGAATCTAATAATACGAACGCGGGGATATTTCTTTGAGTGACCGGTGAAAATTTTCGTGTTGACAGGACCTTCGTTGGAACGACCCCGTCCGACGAATTAATGATAAGAATCGAATTATGAGCGGCCATCAGAACCACGGATTCGCCGGGGACGCAAGAACTGAAAGTTACAACAGGTAAATAGGTTTTTTTAAGGCTTCTTAAGACGGTTTACTTAGTAGTTATTATTAGGAGGGATTTCTTGCTTATTCTTATTGAAAATATTTTTGTATAAATGTATAAAACGTAATGTATAAAATACGTCAAGGATGAAACCGGATAATTTTGGAAATTCGCCAAAAAACGATGCCGTTTCATAACAATAAATTATCAATGAACTAAGTATAGATTTTTAAATAAATTTTTTCAAATAAAATTTTATGTTCCGATTATCCGCCGGTAATAAATACCTGAGTGCTAATTAAATTTGTTTAATTAGTTTTTCGGGCGCCGTAAACTCCAGAGAACAACTCACAGGGAAACCCAGTACAAATTACCCTATAGAACTGAAAGATGTACAGAAATCCGTGGAAGCCGGCGAATACAACCCTTACAATTTCCGGCAAGTCGAACATCCCACCACGTGAGTATATCCTTATTCAACTCCCATCGAACCGATTTTAATTTCTAAAAAAACCGCAGGAATACGGAGACCCTCGTGCACCTGCTCAAAGGCAGCTTCGGCACGGGCATCCTGGCCATGCCGCTGGCCTTTTACCACTCGGGCTACCTGTTGGGCGTCATCGGCACGGCCGTCATCGGCCTGCTGTGCACCCACTGCATCCAAATGCTGATATCCTGCGAGTACGAGGTGTGCAAACGGCGGAACGTCCCCAGCATGACCTACCCCGCCACGGCGCAGGCCTGCCTCAACGAGGGCCCGGAGTTCCTGAGGAAGTTCTCCGGCATCGCCCCGTAAGTACTTCGTTTTGTGGCGCGGGGTCGTTTGCGGCCAGGTAAATGCCAGCGAATAACCTTCCGAGGCGAATTAGCATTCGAAAATAATTGTAATACGTCCGCGTTCTTGATTTCGAGTACGAGAAGTGGGGTGTTTCAATGCGAGTTTAAATGTAATCGCCAACTGAACGAGTTCGAAAATAAACCAATTATTCAATGTATATTCCCTACTAAGGCATAAGGATCTTAGCGAAGTATTCATATACAGGGTGGTCAGCTTTAAAAGTAGCCCAAGAATCGCTGTACATAATATTAATTAACACCCTGTATATAGTATATAGTTGCAGTCTCTTATAAATAACAATTTGAATAATACCGAAACAATGCCCAATTATATCAATTTTTGCAATATCCCATCCATCATCCGAGCTAATTTGCCGAAACGTCGAACCCCACAATTTGCTGTACCCAATTAAAGCCCTACCAAACATGCAGGTATAGTCCATTCGCTGAACTTAAAAAACTCTTAAACCGAAAATCGCGTAAATTCAGCGTTAATTTAAACGCAGTAAATGCAATCGATCGATTTCAGGCACGTAGTGAACACGTTCCTGTTGATCTACCAATTGGGCACCGGCACGGTCTACACGGTCTTCATCGGCGAGAACATACAGGGCGTCCTGGAGGCGCACGGCGTCTACGTGGACGCCAGGTACGTGATGCTGGCCTGGCTGTTGCCGCTGATTCTGATCAACTACGTGAGGAATCTCAAGTTTCTGGCGCCGTTCTCGACGGCCGCCAATTTCGTCACGATCCTGAGCTTCGGGATCATAGCTTACTACATGTTCCGGCAGGATTTCACCTTCGTCGATAAGGAGCCTGTCGGGTATTACAGGGATTACCCGTTGTTTTTCGGTACCGTGTTGTTCGCTTTGGAGGCGATCGGAGTGGTGTGTATTCAGGATTTATTATTGGTATAGGATTGTTTTTATTGTGTTAATTCTTGTAGATAATGCCTTTGGAGAATGAGATGAAGACGCCCCAACATTTCGGTGGTAGTTGTGGTGTGCTCAACATCGGTATGATAATCATAGTGACTTTGTACACTGCTATGGGATTTTTTGGGTATATAGCGTTCGGTAAAGATGTCGGTGGATCCGTTTCTTATACCATCGGTAACGACATGTAAGCTACACCAACAATCTATTAAACACAATAAAAACGCATATATACTTTCCAGTCCTGCTCAAATCTGCAAGATTATGTTGTCATTAGCCATATTCGTAACGCACGGTCTCCAGATGTATCCAGCCATCGACACCGTTTGGAACGATTACCTCCTACCGAGGCTCCAGAAAAACCAGCACAAACTCTTACTCGAGTACATCACCAGAACGGCCATGGTGGTGTTCTGCTGTAAGTACCCATTAAATCGAACCGTAAAGCGGTAATAACACCGCTTGTTATTTTCAGTTTGCTTGGCTGTGGCGGTGCCCTACATCGATCTCTTCATCTCCCTGTTCGGCGCCCTGACGCTCTCCGCCTTGGGAATGGCCATTCCGGCCGTCCTCGACATCAGCACCTACTGGTACAGCATGTCGGGTGTGAGGGGGAGCCTCAGGCTGGCCAAAAACTCGATCATAATACTGATCGGGTTCTTCGGCTTGGTCGTGGGAACGTCCACGAGCCTGGAGAAAATCGTGGAGAAGTTCGCGCCGGTGACGAATTCGACGACGTGATTTATGGCGTTGGAGGAACGCGATGTGATGGTTGAAATTGCTCCCCTAGACTTCTGTATATGGGTAAGTGCAGGTTTGTTTGCAATATGGTCAATTCTAAGAGTTGAAGAAAGAAAGATTGTTAAACAGTGGGTTAGAGCGAGAATGTTGCTATTCCCCCAGTGTTTTTCTTTTGTATGAGAGTAATAAAGGTTGTCTTTGTTGTACCATGTTGCTTACAAATTTGCACTTAAGTGTATATCTAGAACCTATTTTTTATACCAAGTGATAAAATTAAGATTGTTAAATTGGTTGCCTAATGCGAGAATTAACTGCTGTTATGAAATTTTAACAAGTAAACAGTGAATATTGTAGTCTAAACAAGATTGTTATTTATAAATGTTAGAAAGTAAATAGAAAATTATGAACTCGTACAAATCGTATGTTAAAAAAATCGATTTTTTTTACTAGCATATAACCATAAAGCAGAATTATACATTATTATATTATTACAAATTAATAAATTATATTGAAAGCAATAATTAAATTATTTCATTCTAACTTTAGGGGCTAGTCTAGACTTAACAAACTACCCCTAAGCATCAATAAAATAGGTTGATGTTCAATTGCGATATTGGTAGGGTAACTCACCCTAATAAATGTGGAATAGCGCCCCGACACGCGATCTGCCGGCCGTCGGCGTCGCGACGGCTGACTTAGCAGTCAGTCGGTGTCCAAAATGGCGTCGGCGTCGCGGCGCCGTTTGCATCAATACGCGTTTGTTAGCTAAATTCTAGCGTATGCATGGATTTTTGGGTGAGTGAAACGTTTAGGGAACTTGTTTATTAACGATGATTTATTGGAGTTTTTATACATGAGCACGTAGTATGTATTTGCGTATGTACTCGGTCGCGTACCTAATCTCAATAAAGGCGCATTATTAGTGCTAATAATAACAATTTGTTTGGAATTGCTGTGAGGTCAAATGTTAGAAAATATTGTGGTCATAACTGAGCTCAATTGGTCGATGACATAGAAATAATCAATGGTTTTTCTGAGACACGTGTATCTGTATGAAGGAAGTTTTCTTGTATACCTGCTCGTTCGATTTGCAACGCCTTTGTTTTGCGAAATATTTTCGCCTCTTTATTCTAGGCAACTAATTTGCATTTGTAGACGATAAACTCAGACAAATTACTAAATGATCGTCACTCATTGCGTATGATTTCATTACACACATGATTACCGACACGACTGCGATTTATGTTAATTGAAAAGGTATTCGTGTCAGAAGGTTTTATTTATAACATCGACTTTAGTACGACTTGTTATTATTATTTACGTAAGCTTTCAAATTGGTTCTTTATACCGAATTTTGGACCATCTCCAAGCGTTCCTTTATCTCATGGAAAATTGTGACAACTTTATCGTATAACCCGTCTAGTTATTCAGGTACGTTAATTTATTAAAGCGAATAAATTGTACACTCTGTAGAGAAAAAAATGATTTATTCTTGTCGATACGGACAAAGTGCAAAGATGCTTTGAAAAACAATTCCGTTAACTTTCCATCGGCGAAATGTCGAAATTTATTTTCGTAAAAATAAATATACAAATTCCAAAATCCAAGTACTCGACTAAAAATAAACCGAAACCACCTGACTGGGAAAAGCAAAATGTTATGAAACGATACCGAAAACATTCCTTTCACGGATCACCGAAATGAACGCAATGGCGTAACAGAATAATACAATACAATCGTGGAAATTTCGGATTTATCGAAAATACATACAACACCTAGAATTCTATTAATTGTAATTATTTATGCATTGTACGAGAAATATGCTGGAATGAATCGTTACAAAGTACCTACCCATTTCCCATCTACTACATAATTTTTCTTGACATATTTGAACAATGGTAAATAGCATTGCTTGAAATTCATAATAGAGAAAGTGTTGTATACTCAGTTTAATTGAACTATCATTCAATTTTTGTAAAAAAAAATAGTGGCTAGGAAATGCACCTGATTGGGTCATCTTCTTCACCTAGCAATCGAGTAACCGCGCGCCCGAAACAACGAGAAAAACGCGGTGAAAAGTTCTAAATCTAAATTCGCAATCAAATAATTTGGCTAACGGACTCGTGCATCTGGTGTTATAGTTACACCACGGTTACACCACAGCATCCCGACAGTCCACAGCCAGTTTTCGATCAGTAAACTCGCGGTGATCGTGAATGATACTTTGTCGTCGATTCGCGGGTTCTTCTTTCTTCCGTTCGTGCTCCAGTTGAAGACCGGCTGGTATGTAACGTAACAATTTGCGCCAATTGCCGTTGATGAATTAGAACCTTGATGATTAAAATAAACGTAGCCGTATGAATGGTTTCGTGCGATACATGACCCACATTGGGTTCGAAAAATTTAGTGTCCTAGTAGATAAGTTTTATTGGGCACCATTTCATTATCGGGCATTAGACGCACTTTGGAACTTATCCGACTTGTCGTTGAACTTTAGGGTTAGTAGAAAAGGCGATTAAGAAAGTTAATTGGAGAATTTTTTCCTCTTGCAATGCACGACTTACTTTGCAAGTTAATTCGTCTTACAATTACATCTTTTTATGGCGAAACGAAAGTACCTACAATATTCGTTTTCTTATAAAATTTATAAATTAGTATAGGAGAAAATTTGGTAAAATATCCGGACATAGTCGGTTGTTTACTGTCGATAATTTAATTTTTTATGAGCCTTAATTGAATGTAACGACGAAAGATAAATTTGTGCAATAGCAGTCAATACGGCTGCCGATAATTATTTACTATCACATTAACAATAAATATGTTAGTAGGTGGGTAGACTTGCTGAGTCTGCCGGTTTCGAAAAAAAAAATCGTGCGACATATATTCGAAATTGCCACAGTCGGTAACGAACTGGAATCGTTGCTGTACTATCGGCGAATTTATAGCGATTTTTAAGGTTCATTAGTGTGCAATTAATTTACTATACACTTATTGTTTCGGCTCGAGGCTAACTTCCGTACGCTTTTTGTTGCAGTTCTCATAGAAAACCTTAACTAGTCTTCATGTTGTTGGAAAGGTAGATAAATTAAGCGAGGCTCGAGTGAACAAGATGGCATCAGCAGGAGATACTGTCAAGTTGGAGCCCTTAGGGGCCAATAAGTAAGTTACTAATTAAGAGACATTGCGCAAATCGTGTATAATAGTGTAAAATATATATCTATCCGCTGTAAATATGTGATGGTTTTTCGTATTAAACATATTTAATTTTTTTCAGAATATTAGATGAAACGTCTGGTCTGCTAGACACAGGGTAATTGTATTATACTTGTAAAAAGAGGTATCGGGGTGGTGGTAACTTTAGAAGGGATAGCTTCTTTCTGTTTTCACAATTTCACTCTTCACTTTCCACATCTTCAAATCTTTTTATTTACGTTTCTAGTAGTTGGTGTTGGTATTATTGCAATGTAGTTTATCTGCTTCTTATGTGGTCCTTACTTATTGTACCCAGCACAAAAATCGGCTCGATAATTGACACAATTTGAAAATAGATGTCGGTAAAAATCATTCAAAATTTATCCAAATGTCATCATCTACAAATTTAGATTTAGTATTGCGAAGAGAATTGTCGGTTAGAACCGGACTATTAGACACCATATCCGATTCGATTTCAGTAACGAAATCTCCCAACTATACATTAAAATGGTAATGTTGTTTTTACAAGCACCCTCTCATAATACTTTTCACAATTATTTAACACATGCTTAGGTACGTTGTAACGCGTCGATGTACTTATTATGTTAATTACTTGCAGAATATTTATAACGAATAACTTCCAAATTCGTTCGGTTAATGTTAGATTTCATTGCAGGGATGAGGAGAAGAGGCGATCGCAGATCGAAAACGGCCACGCGGAGGAATTCGATCCGCATTTGCACAGGCAAAGCGAACATCCCACCACGTAATCCAATCGAATTATCCAATTGACTGTATCGCTAAACGGTCCGTTTTATTTCAGTAACATGGAAACGCTTATACATTTGCTCAAAGGCGCCATCGGCACGGGCATTTTGGCCATGCCCGAGGCCTTCAAGTACGCCGGAATGATCAACGGCATCATTTCCACCATCCTGATTGGATTGCTTTCCACTTATTGCCTCCACGTTTTAGTAAGTCTATGCTCATCAAATCCCAGCGAGAGCTCTCATTGTCGAATGTAATTGTAGGTAAGATCCCAATACGTGATGTGCAAGAAATTGCGAGTGGGCCTTCTCACCTATCCGGAATCCATGAAAGCGGCCTGCGAAATGGGACCGACGTGCCTTAGAAGATTCGCTCCGTGGGCGCCGTAAGTAATCGCCCGCTAAACCAAAAATTACCGGTTTTTATCATACTGAAAAGCTTTTTCCTCTCGCAGGGGCGTAACGAACTTCTTCCTGATTTTCTACCAAGTGGGAATCTGTTGCGTTTACGTGGTTTTCGTCGGCGTCAACGTCAAAGCCGTTGCGGATCAATACATCAAGCCCGAAATATCGCTCTTACTCTACACTTTGATGTTCTTCATCCCGTTCCTCCTCATTATGATGGTAAGAAATTGTAGCACCTTCTAGCACCTTTGTAAGGCCCACTCTAAGATCTCCTAGGATCTACTAGTATCTTCCTAGTACCTTCTAGAATCAACCATCCGCCATCTAAGTCTTCCTGATACATTGTAAGACCATTTAGGAACATTTAGGACATTCTAGTATCATCCAAGTACCCTCTAGAATCATCGTAATACCTCCCTTAAGACATCATAGTACCTTCCTACTACTTTCCAGAACCGCCAAAATTCTCCTGCTACATTCTAAGACCCTCTAGTATCTTCTTAGCATCCTTTGGAACCATCGTTTCCTCCTAAAACCTCCTTGGACCTTCTATTATCTTCATAGTACTCCTAAAATCATCCCGGACGATCTAGGTGCGTAATATTTAAATAATCTCTGTTTGTAGGTGAGAAATTTGAAGCTCCTGGCGCCATTTTCGACGGCCGCTAATCTGATAACGTTGCTAACGTTTGGAGTGTGCGGGTACTACGTGTTCCAGAATTTGCCGGCCTTTTCGAGCGTACCGGCCTTCGGTCCGTTCGTCAGCTATCCGCTGTACTTCGGCACGTGTTTGTTCTCTCTGCAAGCCTGCGGAGTGGTGAGTATTCGCCCGTCGTAACAGGGGAATTCGTGGATAAAGCGAGGGCGGTTTGTAGGTGATCGCTTTGGAGAACAACATGGCGGAGCCGAAGAGTTTCCTGAAGCCGCTGGGCGTTTTGAACGTGGGAATGACGCTGGTGACGTTCGTGTATCTGTGGCTGGCCGTGATGGGGTACTGGCGATACGGGGACCAGATTCAATCGTCTATTACGTTGAATTTTCCATCGGTGGATATGTTAGTGGTGGTAATGATTTGTGATGTTTCTTTGTAATCGCGGTGGTTTTGTTTTAGTTTGGCGCAGGTGATTAGAATCTTGTATTCGGCGGCGATTTTCATCTCGTACGGCCTTCAGGGTTATCCTGCAGTACAAATTATCCTTACGAATTACATTTTACCGAACATAAAGGAGGAGACCACCGACAAACGGAAACTTATCTACGAGTACATGATTAGATTCGGCTGCGTAGCAATAACATGTAAGACCGCCGAATGTTCCTATCAGCTTTTCCACTAAATTAATCGTTTTAATCAGTTATACTAGGATTGACGGTGCCGTTGTTGGGTCTGTTCATCTCGCTGGTGGGAGCTTTCTGCCTGTCCGCCTTGGGCATCGCTTTTCCGGCCATCATCGAAATGTCCGCCTATTGGCCGGATCGCCTCGGCAAACGGCGGTGGATCCTGTGGAAGGACCTGCTGCTGATCGTGCTGGGCATCGTCGGGCTGCTGGCGGGCAGCTACAGTTGCCTGTACGAAATTGTGAGATCGCTGTCTCAGGGAAACACGTGAACGGGCCGGTTCCGAGCTCGTTCAATATTATATTAGTGAGATATGATTGATAGCTAACGAACGGCCGGCTTGGATCAGTAGAGAAAAAAAATTGAAATATTTAGGGTTACGCCTTAAAGTTTAAGTTTGAATTTGGCGGAATTTGCTTATCGGCTTGTAGACGATTGAGTTTCGGCGAGGCTGTGAATACAATTTGAAGCCAATTTTTAACTAAGTATTATAGCAATTATACATAAGAAGTAATGATTTAAGCTTTAAGGTAATTTATTTCGGTCAAAATTGTTTTTACTGTTTTGTATTCGTTTTAATAGGTGCTGAACACTTGTAAAATACTCGTACTGCACGGAACTTGTTAATAAATGCACTATCATTTCTATACAAATACAAACTCAGCAGTTCAAATTGAAACAATCTGTAGATGAACATTAACGTAGTGGAAATAAGCACATTGTACAAAAATGCATCCCAGTGACTGATAGTTATTTTTATAGGTTTTTTTTAGTAATTTTTAGTCCAAATATATACATATTAATTTTTGATAATATAGTGTTATTGCGTCGATTCAAGTCCGGAATATTGTTATGCATTATATCTAAAAAACTATTGTTAATAAAACATACACAAAAGCCGTTTTTTTATTGCAACCTTCAACAATCTTTAGGATAAAATTTTTATATTAATTTTTATTTATATTGCAATTAAAATTTGCACCGGTTAAAAGGGAAACTTATTCTTCTTTTCTGCCTAGTATGGAAGAAAAATAAAGTTTGTCAATAATCAATGTCAATGCCATTTTAAAGCATTCGGTTTTCACAATTATTTTATTAAATGTGTGAGTAAAAATTACCAAAATATTAGGATTCGAAGAAATATTATCTACAGATATCACAACATAAAATGAATAGTATCTTAAAGTCTAAGTAACTAAAAAATAACATAATTGTACAAAATTAATTAACTTATTTTATAGTGCAGTTGTTGCATTTCCCGATGAAGATTATGATCCATATGACGAAAGGTTCCTCAAAAGGGGTTTAAAGTAAGCAAATTTAATTTAAAGTTTCATTTATATAAAACTTTATAGCGTATCGTTAAACAAATTAGTTTTGTAGATACTGGGAAGCAATCAATTTATTACTGAGAGGATTTCTGGGTACTGGTTTGCTGTTATTGCCCGAAGCTTTCCGGTTTTCTGGAATATTAGTAGGAATAGTAGATTTAATTATAGTATCAATATTCGTAACGTACACCTATCATCTAATGGTAAATATGGATACTTTTTATAATTAATTTGTGCATCTACTATAACAATTTTCAGCTAAAATCTCGCTTGCAATTATGCAAAATGCTGCGAGTCCCCCGCTTATACTATCCCGAAGTAATGCAAATAGGATTCAAATTCGGCCCGGGTTGCCTAAAATTTTTCAGCCCTATCATGGGGTAAGTAACATAATATGTATGTATATAAAACTCTTTAGAAAATTGAACAATACAATCCAAACAGTCCTCTTCCACGAATCCTTCCGCAGGATATGCGTGGACGTCCTGTGCATCATAAACCAACTAAACCAGTTATGCGCCTATTTGTGGCACATGGCCAGCGACTTAGAAAGAGTATTCGAAACGTGGTACGGCAAGGGATTCCCCCATTCCAGCTACGTTCTGATCCTCGGCCCTTACCTCGTCATCCTGATGTGCGTCAAGGACATGAAAGTCTACGCCCGATTCGCCGTGGTCTCCAACATACTCAGCCTCGTCTCCATTTGCTTCATGATCTACCACATGGTGCAAGACCTGCCGAATTTCACTCTGTTACCGCCCGCCACCGAATTTTCCACGCACATTTTGTTCTTCGTACCGGCGCTGTTCGCTATACAATCGATACCCGTGGTGAGTGCGATCAATCGGGGACTGATGCTACCCTGTGTCCTAATTTGCGTTGAATTTGTGGAACAAGTAGAGAAACCGAGGTGGGACATCAGCTGCGACTATTGATCAAAGATGTGCTTCCAAATCGATCATTCAGAACTCCGTCGTGGTGATACCAAACCTACAGAATTTTTTATTGCTTCAAAAGTGGTTCGAATCGAATGATCGATTTTTTGGTCAATTTGGAAGCAAATCTTTGATGCTCATTATTAGGATACAGGGTTGCAAATGGACACGGAATTGTGGGGTTGTTCGGGTTTAATTTTTTCCGAATTTTAGACGAGCACTATCGAATTGAATTATTTGAAAGGACAGTATTTTTTGAGCATGCCGGGTTTGTTGTGCCAGGCGTACGGGCTTTTGACCGTCTTGTGCTTCATCATAGCCCTTATCGGCTATTGGAGATACGAAGATGGCATTAAAATGTTGACGTTGAATTTGGACATATCGCATTGGTAATGTCTGGTGGTAATGTGAATGTTTGTTGGTAATTTCTGTTGAAATTCAGGGAAGTACAAGCGGCTGTTATATTGTTCTTCCTCGGTATGTACATTTCCTACGGTTTACAAGGTCATATAGGATTGTACGTGTTGTGGGAGCACTATCTGAGCCTCTGGATCAACCCGCCTTGGGAATACGTCAAGCCTATCATAGAATATTTCATCAGAATATCCGTGTTCGTTGTACTACCAGGTACGTTCGAAATATTCGTACGCATATAACGCATTTATCGTGAAATTTCAGTTGTAATCATCATATATCTAAGAACAGGACTGCCGCTATTCCTCGCCGTGCACGGAATTTGCCACTCGTTTTTAGGCATAATATTCCCAGCCCTGCTCGAGATCTCGGTGATATGGCCTTCGCAAAAGTTCGGCGCTTGCTACTACATTTTCTTCAAAGACATCACCATCGTCGTCATCGGAATACTCGTACTGATAGTGAGCGTTTACCACGGCCAGCGGTTTTTCAGCAACCAACTCAACGGCACCTGGTGATCGGTTTACAGGTGAGAATAGTCGTAGGAAAAGTTATGTAACCAACTCGCGTGTTTTAGTGACGCTATAAGGAAGAATTTGGGTTATAGAAGAGCCATTTAATTGGTTGTAAATACTCAATAAAGATTATACAGAGTAATGTTTTAATGCACGATACAGATATAGGTCAAATCTAGTATCTATCTACCTGTAATTATCGAACTATGTAGGTATTTAAAAATGTAAAAACAGGATCAGTAGATAACGCTATCAGATTTCGCCGGCGAATTCCTCGCATTCCGATCGTAGTCGTACAAATAAAAACAAGTAAAATCCGTGGAATAAAAGGCGATAATAATTTTCATTGCGTCCGATAGCGCGAGTCGTCGGACTTCCAAGGTTGCGATTTGCGATCGCGTCTCGTTCCCGATCCACCGTCGATATCCCGGAGAACCAGATCGACGGGCAGGAGGCCGCAGGAAGAGCGGAATCCTCTGCGGTCCGGTGATGTAATTTTCGCGCTTTCCCCACGCAAACAAATTCGATTGAGAATATTCCACCGCGGGAGTAGCAGAGCGGTCTAGGTAACCTCGGATGGTCGGCGTAGCGCGAGCATAGTCTAGGAGTTGACTTTGTAAGGTAACAAGTGAGCGCGAGTGACTTTGATACCCACACGGAATACCTTGCGCCTACTTCCATTCCGGACCGAAACGAAACCGTATTTTAAAAGTGAGAGTGTTGGGTGAACATGGGTGGACGCAGGTAGTGCACGGTCGTTCTTCCCCGAGGAGGATTCAGTTTTTTTCTGCTTTCGCGAGGCCTTTTTCTTATGCGGTGAGTAGCTCAACTGCGTTATCAGTTTCCACGTAAAATTATTAGATTTTCCATCGACGTGAAGTCGTTTCGTTATCTAGCATTTGTGTATACGAAAATATTGATTGGGTATTAAGTTCTTGATGAGTATTTAATATTTTTGCCACATTATGTGATATTTAAATTAGAATAGAGATTGATATGTAATAGGTGTACCTTGCATAATGCGCTTTAATATGATTTAAAAATAGACATCGGTGTTAATTATTTCGCAAGATCTTGCTAAGTGAGTGGCAAAGATGATCGAAATCGCGCATATATTATCTCTCAAAAGTGGACATTCGAATAACAATGAGCAAGGTTTTTTTCCTTTTATAATCCATCAAGTGTTTTCATTAAATACTACCTTACGTCATTGTTTACTAAATATTATATATTCAAAACACACCTTAATTTTGAGAAAAAAAATTATCTGGTAAAAATTGCATTAACGCTAAAAAAAACAAATTTAAGAATCAACTGTAAATAATTATTCATCGACAATGATCGCCTATTTAACAGTGATCGAACAGCCACTTCATCCATAACATTTCATCCTGACTTCACCGTTCGATGGAAGGAAATCTTATTCCCATGGCGAGTTAAACTTACTACAAAGAAACGCATTAGCCGATAATCGCCGATACTTTTTTTTTTCTCTCTCCCATCGATTCCGATCGATTCGCCCGTCCACAAATTAAATCTAATGGAGGCCTACCGGACTCGGGGATCGTATAATTTTAATTTCAATCGTTAACGAAAGGAAAGTCTCGAGACGACGCAATCATGACATCACCGCACTGATCTTCTTCCATATTACGAATTACAAATAAAATCCGAGTACACAGCCGTTTTTTATTATATAATTTCATGTAATTATCGTTCTGCATAACACGAAAATGCGGCTATCGTTAATACTTGGCGATGCTGCTGCTTATTACATTCAGTTACCAGTTTGAATTTTTGAGGCCAAGGTAAAAATTTCCTCGACGTTTATTAGTAGGTACGCAAGTGTGTAGGTATCTAGTACCTATATTTAATAATCTATTTTTTATTCGAGCAAATCCAATTTACAAAAGCTGCACAAAATAAAACAATAAGCTGGACGATTGATATTTTTTTTTGTATTTACAACCGTGCCCAATAGTTGCGATTCAACAATGGAATTCCTCAGGTCTTCCCTAATAGACTTTTAATTGAAACAATCAGAGACGTTCTCGAGTGAATTGCGCAAGGACTCGGTGGGATTTTTATAATTTCACCACAAGCCATTGATAATGAGCTTTTTGTAGAATTCGGTCAATTAGAAATGATGACTATCGAGCTTTGTCTTCATCAATCATCACAAGTGTATTTATGTCTATTAAACGAACGCCTGGTGATGGAACACATATAAAAAATGAGTTGATTATTTAAAAGTAAAATTCCTCCTACGAGTACATAACGTTCCGTTCGAGGAAACTTTTCAAACGCATTTAATACAGTGCATCCGAGAAGAGAAATAATTATCTTCTTTGTGCCGTTTCGAGACATTGTTTCTCACAGAGATACATCAGGTGTTTTCTAGAACGAAACATTGTCATCAAATTAAGATAGTCGGCCGGTATCTCGGCTACCAGCCATTATGACTACTTTTAATGGTATATAGAATACCGCTAGCCAATTATATACAGGAAGATAAAAGACCAGTGGTGGCCCGCGGCGTCAGGAAGAAAGGCAAATGCGATTTAATGCAAGGAATAAGATCACGACTCGATCTCGGGGAATTATGAGCGATGGCAAAAATATTTTACAATCTAATAAATTCATTCTTTCGAGCCGAAAACGAAGCTTTATTTTACAATTTATGTTAAAAAATGCCGTTGGTTAGAGTAGAAAGTGTTTTTTTTTTTCGTTTTTAATGTAAGCCATGGAAATCTTTCGAGATACAAAATAATTGAAATATTCCGACTGTTAATTAAATGACGTTCGCCCGAATTGAAATTCCGAACACGAATTTATTGTACCGTGACATTTTTAGTTATAAAAGATCAGATAGAACGCGACTCGAATCGAAGATAAACAACATTCCACCGGCCATATATCAGATTAGAAAATTATCATTTAACTAATCTCGGTGATAGTTACAATTTTAGATATGCGTTTTGTAAAACAACAAATACAGGGGGGTCGTTTTAGATGGAAAACTCATAAAGCAAATCGTACGAGATAATATAAAACCGAGCGCGAGTTAATTGGAATCCGCGAAAGAATAATTTACGGCGTTTCCCGTCAATAAATCATTAATTACAAAACTGAAATAAGCCGAGCGTCTCGATACGTCGATGCATCTGCCCGTAATTACACCGACATTCCATTCCCGAATCGATTATTGCGCAACATCGAAGTGCAACAATCGATTCGATCGGGCCGAAAGACGTGGAAACCGGCCCTGGAAAACGCTGCAACCGGCTCAAAACCGTGTCAGCACCGTTACGGTATGTGCCATTGAAGCAAAGAAAGAAAAAGTTACGGCGAGCATCCGATTCTGCGGAGCCCCGATTTTTCTCCTCTGCCATTACACACCGGGTAGATAATAGATGGTAATGCGATTAAATGAATCGCAGGTGTCCGCTCGTAACAGCACCATCGGGTTATTATTTGTAATGGGCTATCGGAAAACGAGGCTTTGTGTACTCTAATGCATCGGTTCGAATCGTATGCGAAAAAAACATTGTTATAAATAAATCGATTTGCATGGGGCATCGTTTTGTCACCTCCTGGGCACATCTCGTCTATTAACGACCTTCATCAATGCAAATCGTGTAGGTACAAATATGGAAATTCCTCGTCGAGAAAACGATCGCGCATAAATGCATAGGAAATTAATAACCTATAACGTAAGGGAAATTGCTTAATTAATACGTTTTATTTAGGCGTTGTGGGTATAATTTAACCGGCATAATTACTGTATAACTTTCTATTTAAATGGTTTCGTGGTTAATATGATAACGTGTAGAAAACGAGAGTTTGTATAGATTATATTATCAAGTGTAATAATAGAAACCTTAAGTAGTGAAAATTTGTATGAAATCCAGCGGTAGCGAAGAGTTGTTTGGTAAGAAAAGAGGCGTGAACACCGATGGACTGACTCGTGTTCATATTTTATCTGATCGAACAGGGCCGAGGAAATACATATTTATCTAATGCCGATGGGCGTGGATTGTTTAAATGTTAAGTAATTCTTTGTAATAGAGCGTATAAATAAGATGAAGTCGGATGAGGTCAAGTGTAACAGCGAATTTATTTTTTTTTTCTCTTAGCTCGTTTGATTTCTTTTATTGTTCCGAACGGTTGGCATTTGCACGTTTCGAACGTGAACTACGTGAATTTCGTTACCCAGTTCGTTCTATCGCGTTAATTAATCGAAAATTGTTTCTTTTCTACTCTCTACCCACTACTCTCTATAATCTACCCTTTCTACTCCCTACCCTTTACTCTCTACTAAGTATATACGACCAAAAAAGGGACAATTATTTTGATACATAATATTTGATACAGTAATAAAATCAGTTTTTGTTGTTTTTGTGACTATTATTATCACGTTTCTTCATTATCCGCACAACAAATGCTAACAATAATATAGCGAGGAATGCAATTAAGGTTGAGCAATATTCCACTTCTGTTGTTGTTTTCTAAGCGTGTTCCGGTGCCGAATTTTGCATTATTCGAACCCGCCGAGCGTAAAATGTACGATTGTTGTGGGTTTCTACACTTTATGGATTTTCATTTATCAATTCTAGGTTAGCGAATCCACGAATATCAACTCGAAAAAAACCAAATTAAATCTCCGACTTTCGATGAAAGTATAACTCTATAAATTTTTTGGCGTGTTTCAGATGAAGGCGACTTGAAGGAGACGACTCGATCACCGTGGAAAAATGGCTAAAAGGGTGGCCAAAAATCACTACGTCGCATCGCCGAGGCACAGTCACTCCCCCACGCCGGTCCACGTGCCCCGGCACGCGGCCTACTCCGACGGGGAGGACAGCCAGCGCGCCCCGTCCGAAAGGACCCTCTCCGAATACAATTCAGTGGTAAGGACATGTTTGTTGGATTCGAAAGTTTTTAGAGAACCCGTCACGTATAAAGGTCGAGGTGCATGCGATTTCGCCTATCCGTCGGATCTACGAATGCCGCGAAATAAATAAATTGATTATTAACCATCGATCAGTGTTCACCTCCGATGCACATCTGACCCCGAAAATTTAGCCGTGCATAGAGAAAAAAATTATGTCAACTCGCACAGGTTTGGCTCGTTTATTATTCGCGTACTTAATACAGCGGCGGGTTCGTTTAAAATTTGAGGAATATCAATGATAGGTATGAACAGAAGTCGACTATAAAGTAAGAGATAATTGGGGGAATTTTTTTGCTACTTAAATTGTCTAAAAATATCTAAAATAGTCCTTTATACAGTGCATTTCTTTAATGTCCCCCCCCCCTTTTATTTTTTGAACGGGTCAACTTAGAAAATTGAAATTTGGGATAATGAAACTAATGCATGATTACTATATTTTGGAGTAAAATTGACAGACGAAAATTTCAAGATGGCGACTGGGCGCCATCTTGGAAAATAAATTTAAATGGAAAGGGGGGTCTTGTGATACATCATTTTGAAGCTCCTGACAAATACTCTACAACCCTGGAATATAAAGTCAATATCTGCACCTGCTACAAAATGGCGGAACATTTAATAATTACCTGAATACAAACAAAATAATATCAATTTTTCTAGAAATATTTGTTTTTCTATGGCAAACAGCAATCCCAGCAAACCGATAAGGTTTGACAGGTTATTTTTGGTTAAAAAAATTCCAAAAAATTTAAGTACGACAACGAACATTAATTGTTTAGTCAAAATATGCTCATTTAGTTTTTGGTTTTCCTGGTGTTCAAAATATTCTCTTTAGTTTTCGATTTTCCCAGTGTTCAAAGTATTTTCATTTAGTTTTCGGTTGTTTAGTTCTCATTGCAGTTAGGTAGCACGTGAACTAACTCTAAAATGGCCAATTCTCGCCCATTGGAAGATTGAGCACCACCACATTACTCCAGACAAGTAATGAACTATTTGGATGCTATTTTCCCTGGTCATTGGATCGTTGGATTGGTCGTCGAGGTCCTACGGAATGGATTTGACCAGAATTTGACCAGATTTGACACCTTTAGACTTTTTTTATGGGGCTATTTGAAGCAAAATGTGTACGAAACTAAACCTGCTTCAATATTGGATATACGAGAAATAATTACAGATATTTGTAAAAATATCGACGTTACTATGTTCGAAAATGTTCGGTTAGGCTGTTCTTACATTAAGAAGTTCAAGGCAACCATTTCGAGCTTTTTTTGAACTGAACTCAGCTTATTTCCTCAAATTATGACGTTAAACGTCGATTTATTCAGGTAATTATTAAATGTCCGCCATTTTGTAGCAGGTGCAGATATTGACTTTATATTCCAGGGTTGTAGAGTATTTGTCAGGAGCTTCAAAATGATGTATCACAAGACCCCCCTTTCAATTTAAATTTATTTTCCAAGATGGCGCCCAGTCGCCATCTTGAAATTTTCGTCTGTCAATTTTACTCCAAAATATAGTAATCATACATTAGTTTCATTATCCCAAATTTCAATTTTCTAAGTTGACCCGTTCAAAAAATAAAAGGGGGGGGGGACATTAAAGAAATGCACTGTATAAAAAGTATAAACTCGCACGATTAATTTATCATTTTCAACCGGATTATAGTATTATCATTCAATCAAGGTTTATGTATACAAAATCCATTCGATATTGAAAAAACAGGTTGGGATTTCGAAGAAATATACAGCCCAATAAGAATTTTTTTCTTTCGCATTAAACGACGAGTCGTCCTTGCTCGAGTACATTATCGGTACTTATACCAGTACTTAAGGCTAGAGTTCAGTACTCACCAATTTTTTTTTTGGGAATAGGCAACCCAAATTACGAAACCTGTCACTTTATTTCGGCAAATTTTCAGGTAGTAAGCTCACAGCGGGGTATGTCGTAAAAATGAGATTAGAGGATTGGGGTACTTAAAATTAGCATTTTAGAATTTTAGAATATCGTAGGAATATCGATGTTGTAGGAAAATATATTTTTGAATATTTAGAAATCTCGATGCTTATAGAAACTTGTTGTGATTTTAAATAAATCACCTCTATTTTTTATATTTTTAGAATTATCAAGACAAGCTGATTCCAACGATATGTCACACTTACTAGTTTGTTTCAATAATAAGGGGAAGAAGTCATATGAACGTTTGTCTTGTTTTGATCTTCCCTATCACCAATTTAAATAATGACTATTATATCGCTTACACCCTGTATAATATCAATGATAAATAGCAAGTGTGACATATCATTGAAATCAGCTTATCATGAAGACTCTAAAAAACTGTATTTTCAAAAAGAAATAATTATTAAATTGGTTTATTTAAATTGGCAATATTCTGGCACCGTATACTAACTTACAATAGGTATAACCTAAAGATCTAACCGCCGGCCAGCAACGGTCGCTAAAAAGTCGTAAAATTGGGAGATTATTGCCCGTTTTACCGGGCCATGTACTAGCCCAATTTTATTTGATTTATTAATAAATCTGATATTGGTACCTATCAAAGTGAAAACTTATTGTCAAAAAATTAGTAAAAAAATTATAGTCAAATTATTGTGTGTCTTTATAGTAGATATGTTGATTTTTCATTCAATTGTATCGTTTATACAATGTTTACCTAAACAGATTAGGCAAGTACATGAGTAGGCCCAATTGCTTTATAAGTAATCGCTGGTCTAATGGTTTCCTAGATTTCTGTTGCATAGTCGTCATAATGAATTAAACAAAATATTTTTTTAAATCTGTTCTAGAAATATCTGGAAATAAGTTTTTAGTTAAAATCAAATTTAAAGTGGACTATTAATTTATCATTATCTACTAAATTCCTAAAGGGCGGATGTAAATTGTATCTATCCCAAAATCTGAGAAAACCAATAAATAAATAAATATATAGAAAGAGAAAGAAATAAAAAGAGAGTTTTTTACCACTTCCATTTTGTTTGACATTTTACCGCCACATATAGTATAGCGAAATGAACATGAACTTCTCTTATTGTTTACCGCTGATTTCAATGAAATATAAATAATGGGCAGTTCCATAAAAAATAAGGAAATTTGATAATTTTGAAGTTTAACTTTCAACTCAGGGTGAAATATACCTTTGACCTTGCTAGTAGCCACCCTACAAAAATGCTTCCAGAACTTTAAAAGCATCTCTCGTAAAAGAGTAATTTATAATTAATGGCATGAATCGGTTAATTTTTTCATAAAAAAATTTATAACTCAAAAAGTATGCATTTTTCGGTCCGTATTATTGCATAATACAAACATACAAAATTTTATTTAAATTACATATGTCTAAACAAACTAACGAATACTTTTGTGGCTGCTTTCATTATTTTTTCATAAAATAAAAAAATGTAATTTAACATAAAAATTAATTAATATAAGTGAAATTGTAATATTGTAGTCTTTAACAAGAAAAGAGAAACTAGTTAGTATGCGGCAAGGTTTCAATATTTACGTTTCGAGTACTTACGGCTCGCAGTACCTATTTACCTACATAAATAATCGTTTATTACACGGCACCACCGTCATTTTCGCGGCAGATTATACGACCGCTGTTATTTCTTTTAGAATCGTTAAATCCTCCAATACCAAATTGTCCCATTGTCTAATTTATCGTCCGGCGAAGAAGAAAGCGCCGGATAGTAGTCGTTTACCCAATTCGATTGAATTTCACACGTTCCATTGTGAATTATATACACGAGCAGTTGATGCGAAGTCGTTAAACAGTTTTCCTTTTTCTCGCTTCCCAGGAAGTAACTGCTTCATGCAAATCAACAGCTTTTGTCTAATCCGGAACAGTTAGAATTACCATTTAGCGTAAGCAGGCTCGGATTTCGACGCTCTTTTCTTTATCGATTATTTTTCAGGAAATCATGTCCGATTAATTTTGCGTAATATTACAACTTGTGCGTTGATATTTCACTGAATGTTTGCTAATGGAACTGTTTTTTTTTATTACGTTAAACAAATAATGAACAGTTAATTCCATCCAGTTGGCTAACAGGCCAGCTTTGATGTATGCAGATCTAATTGAAATGTATATGTAAAGTGATAACCGTATGATGGAGAAAGCTAATAGATCTTTATACGTGAAATTTTTATACGCTTGGCGATTTACTGACCGGAAAATCGAAACAATTCATCGAAATAATGTCTATTTCTCTATTCATTGTACTACGCAAATAAATCGTTATTGATCGGGTATCTAAAGATAAATTCATAAATCAAGTTTGTTAGGTGCCTTAATAAATGTAATATCTATCCTCGAGCGATGCTCATTTCTCCTAATAGTGGAATTACTCGAAATTTCTTGTGCTCGGAGGACAACGAACCGAAACAATGTTGTATATTTTCAAAGCGCGTAATTTATAAATAATTCATTCGGTTTGTTTTGTAGCCATATACGATAGTGAACGAACGGAACGGCCGAAAGTACCACAACTACCAAAAAAGCAATAATAGTTACCAGAATGGTCATCAAGGCACGCCGAGGGCTCCGTCGGCGCTCAGCAGAGCCAGTGGCTACGACACCAACGGCTCGGACATTTACGTCACCAGCGGGGCCTATAAGGCTCCTTCCGAATACAGGTAAATACAGGCAAATATCTTCATTTTCTCTGAATTGAGGTTTCAGCAGGAGCTTGGAGGAGCGGATTTTTCTTCAAAAAAACGTTTTATACCAATAAACTCATGTTTCAATTTTGCACTTTAACTTTTGACAGTGACATTTCGCACTTTTTTAGGAAAAACTGGTGACTAGATTCGACAAGAATAAGTCAAATCGATTTTCAATAATTTCATCTGTCAATATTTTTTCTTTAACTTTCAAAAGTGAAATTTCTTCTTGTTATCAAAAACTGCTTACTGTTTTCCACAAGAATAAGTCAAATTGAGTTTTGCCAATAAATAATAAGTATTAATCTTTTAATTTTGCACATTAACTTTTGACAGTGACATTTCCCATTTTTTTATGAAAAACCGGTTACTAGATTCGACAAAAAGTCGACTAGATTTAATTCAGCAATTAATCAATTATTCTTTTACAATTTTTGACAACGACGTTTCATAAAAAAACGTAATTTATCAAGCGCGCATACTTAGATAAAAAAATAAAAATTAACCGAGCCGGAAGAAATTCCACTATACGATCCGAGAACCATTCGTTCAATGTACTCGAGTTATTTTCCCCAACAATTAAACCCAATTAAAAAAAAACATCAGCACACACATACTTTTTTTCTTCTAATTAGAAGATCCTCGCACAATGAGAACGCGTTTTTTACCCGACACAATAGTATAATAACAAAAATGTTTCCATCGATTGCGAACGCAACAAAAAAAAAATACTTTCTATTTCCTTACGATTGCTTGTATTTCTACCGTGTGATCGTTCGTAACATTACGCAATCGAATTACAGCAGAAACTCGCGGGCGCGCGCCCCCAGCCACATGTCCTACAGGAGCGCCACGGCCCCCTCCGTGGCGAGCACGGCCAAGTCCAGGAGCTCCAGAAAGGCGGGCATGCGCGTGGAAGCCATGGCGGCCCCCAACCCATTCTGTCCCAACATCAAAGGCATGTGTTGCTTGATGTTGCTGCTCAATCTCGGCATCATACTCGTTACCCTGGGCTTCGTGATAGTCATACAGTTTTTCGAGCCGGTGTACGTGTGGTGAGTACCTCGCGGGGTTTCCCCGACGGTCGTGGCTAATCGGTTCGTATTTTTTCAGGGTTCTAGGGATAGTGTTCTTGATATTCGGGTTTCTGACGCTCGTTGGAAGCCTGATCTACTGCGTGGTGATATGCAGGGAGTTCAAGCGGCCGGAGGAGGTGAATCCGGACGAGCTTTACTGGACCCATCACTGGCAAAAGACCATAGGAGCATCGCCGGAGATACACTACAAAGCCGAGGACAAGTACGGGGACGATAGATACAGCGATCGGTACTCAGTCAGTAAATTGTCGGGGAAATATTCCGATAGTAGAAACGGGAGGTACTAATTCAATAACAAACTAGCTGGCCTGCTACTAATAATATTAAACCTGAATGTTTTGTATTGATTTTAATTTAACGTTAAATTGTAAATAATAATCTATTCCTGTTTGTTTGGAATGCGCGTTTTAATGTAATTTACGTAGGATATAGCGAAAAAGAAAACGAATAAATGTAAAATATTATTTTATCATAAACGTTACAATTTGTAGGTACATACTGCATGTGATATTTATTATACTGTAAATATTAAAAAAAAAATGTATCAATCGATCAATTTTTAATCGAAAATATACTTATTTATTTTACGAAAACTACAAATAATTTTATATCTATCTATTATATCTAGTAAGGTCAAATAAAGTCAAATAATTCGCACCGGAATAAAATTCGAATGATAAAACATGCATTACATAATAATTAGTTAACCATGAAGCCGCATTTCGAGCATTTCTTCTTCCTCAAGCAGCAACAGCAAATGATGCCGAAGGGGAAGCACAGGAACAGCCAGCACCAGCCGCAGCACGTGAATGTTGTCGACCAATTCGTATTATAGCACATTGGGCAACTGCCAGGAGGAATCCTCGACGGCGCGGGCGACACCACCACCACTTGCGCTAATGTTAAAAAAAGATAACTGAAGCTTTACATTATTAAAGAATTCAATTCAATTTTTCAGCGTAAATTGCATTGTTGCCGGTTCTTGCTCAAAAAGTACCGTGTATCTTAGCGAAGCACTAATATTCTTCGCCCAAAGATTAAGTAAATGCGTTAATATTATGCACACTGCATACTTACGCGGATTATTATCCATATTGCAGCACTGTTGACGTAACGCCAATAAAAACAGAATTCGTTTTATATGAAACGATCGTAAAATAAAATTACAATGCTTAATACTGTTTTATAATTAACCGCTTTAATACCGAATGTATAGTAAAGTAAAGAGTATAGAGAGTAAAATAAAGAAAATGTTACATAGAATTATGCTGACTACATGTAATTTTAGATAGACTTTAATGCACCCTCAGCAATGTAAACAATTCCTCGAATGTTACATTGTAGTTATTCGAAATGGCAGTCAATCCGTCGGTTTGTTCTTTTTCTTCGGCGTTTTTCAATGTCTCGTATCTCGCCTCGCTAAAAGCAAAATTACAATGAAAATATAGAAACAATAACACTCCTTCACCATATTGTTAGTATAGGAATAAATACCAATATTAGATTTTTATTGCCGGAACAAATAAAAAAGCAACGACAGATTTAACAGATAAAGCAAATTCACAGCGATTAGACTAAATACATGCTGTTTGTTATCCATATGAAAGATTTACCCACATTCAAAATGTGTAAATATACCTTTAAGAAGTATTGGGTTGGTCAACAGTCGAAAACTCCTCGATTAAAAATAACTGAGAATTGAAAAAAAAAATACATTAAAATAAACATTTCTAAACGGACCTAATATAATTGAAATAATAAATAAATTAAATTTCGCGATTAAAAATCAAATTTTACCTAGCTTTCTCCTTCTTGTGAGTCAACATGATGTACTTGCTGACTTCCGGGGAAAATCTGCAGGGTTCCATGTTGTTTGTGATTAAACGCCTGGAAAGTACGAAATTGTATTGATATTTAAATCAATAAATTAATGTGAAACCTGTAAAAATCATCATCTTCTCCTCCCCAACCGTAAAATTCGTTAGACATGCCGTTTACTTTTAAATATTGCTCAGTACTTATTGAAACAGCTCCACCAAATAGAGTTAAATAAGGTAAATTGTACCTTCAAATAAATATAATAAACTTTTATTATTAAAAGTAATACTCGATTACCGAAAAGTATCCAAGCTACTAGACATGTGTCGAGGCTTCTTAGAGCAAGCGTAAATATTCCTCAAGTTTATAGGTATCAAATCCACATCGTGTAGTATTAAACAATCGTATTTTAATTAATGGCTTGTTTGGCTCCGTAATTCAACATTTTAGCTCTGTTAAAAGGTAATGAATCATTTTGAAGTACTACAAATATCCTGTAATGTAATTGTTGTTGTTGAAGAAACCAATGCATGTAGTTTATGAAGATATTCAAATGGTAACTCCTGTTCCTGTATGGTACTATTAATGCTACTTTCGAAAGCGGTAAACAATTTTCTGGAATAAATTCGCCTCCTGCAAAATAAATACATTTAAATCTAAACAAATATTATTCATTTACGTACCTAATTGAGGTTTTTTGAATACTTTTCTATCGTTTATCGAAGATGTATCGATATCTTCAACTTTACCCATTAATTCATTGAATGTACAATGTTTTTCTGAATGAAGTGCATTATTACTTTGAGCCCGTTTTAAATCTAATTCATCAACCATTTCCTTCACGGGTATGTAATTATATTGCCTTGCATGTCTCGAAGGAAAATACACAGCAACAAATATAATAAGTAAGGTCGATGCGACTACTACATTTTTCCACATTATCACTTAAAATAACGAAGTGACAACGCGTTTTACTGATAAAAATTATTGTCTTTGGCACATAATTTCCGTTTTATACACTCAAACATAATTGATAAACACACTTTATAATTACAATTTAGTGTTTATGTTCATAAATGTTTAAAAATTGTTTTGACTGCCATAACATGATACATGACATATGACATTGACCGTCATGAGAAATATGTCTTTGCTATTATGGTTATTGGGTCACAGTATTTTAATTGCAGAGAAGAATCGATAAAATTGGTCATCCTGCTTGTCAAAACTGGTGGAATTGACGTGGAAGTAACTAAATCATGCGCATTGTGAACTTACGTGGCAGAGTGAAGTGAAAAGTAATGTCTTTTATTTATTTATGTTTTTTAAAAGAATTCTAGTTTAATTTGCACTGTAAGTACTTTTAGAAAAGACTGTGATATTTGTAATAATATTACCAACATGTTATTGTTGCTTTTCTATTAATTATTACCGCTTTTTACAAAATTGGTGTCAGCAGACTTTATTTTAAAATATATTTTTTTTTTAATATTCTAGCTTATTTCAGAAGGGTATTTGTGTAAAGAATATTAGACGAATGCTATCCATTTTATGTTTAGTACTAATTGATATATTTTTTGTTTCGATAAAGTAATATGATGAGTTGTAATGAACATACTGTTCATTTTTATGTAGTTTACTAATGTACCAACAATTTACCCAAAATTTAGTATCATTCAAATTAGTAATATTTTTTCCACAAAGCTCCACTCTTATTTTATACATTTTTCGTTGTTACGTTGAATGTACAGTAACCAAAACCGTTTTTTCAGGGTGATTTAAGATGAATTCTCAATTTCTACCGCCCCAGCAATTCGGGGCCCCTCCGAACAGGGCGTCACCGCCGTCATTTCAAACGATCCCCTTGGGCCAACAGAAACCATCCGCAGGCGATCACATTCCTGCTCAATTCAACAGTCCTGCGAACCAGCCCGATCAGTTTCCTCCTCTGAATCCTTCAGGACCTCCGCCGAAGGCTCAAATTCCTTCGAGTCAATTACCACCGTCTTCGATTGGAGGTAACGTTAGCAATCCGTTCGGTTTGTCATCGAATAAAGGGGATGCTGCCGTTCACAATGGCCCGCCCAGCTTCCAGAATGGACCTCCTCAATTCCACAATGGTCAAGGACCAGGTAGATTATTATACAATTTTTTCAGTATTTTTAAGTTAATTGAATTTATTTTGCAGGAGCCGAACATCCGAACAATCTACTCAATAACAGACCGCCTCAGAATCAGTTTGGCCAACCGGCGAATCAGACGAGGCCACTGCCGCCTATGCCCGGCGCGCCTCCGGCTCAATTCGCCTCATCTGGCACCCAATTACCGAACGATCCAGGCCAGCAGGCGTCGCAAAAGCCGTTCAGCCCGCCTTCGTTTCCATCGGGACAACCCGGACAGCCTCCGCAAATGAACAAACCTCCCTCTCACGGAATACAGCCACCGCCACCTCTGGGACAGCCTCCTACGTTGTCGGGCGGACATTTTAACCAACATCCACCACCGAGTCAGTCTTCGATGCCGGGCGAATCGCCTTTAACGGGACGACCCCCGTCGCATCCATCGGTACCTCCCATGCAACAGCAGCAAATCGGCTCGTCGAATCAATTCGAAAATCCACTGGGTCAACCCGGTCCCGCGATATCGAATTCCGGACCACTGTTTCCACCTACCGGCGTTCAATCTAATCAATTCAATCCCATGCACGGTCCCCCGAAACCGGGCCAATATCCTTCGCAAGTTCGTTCTGCTCATTCGCAATCTCTACCCTCACCGCCATCTTTTCCATCTTCGTTACCCGGACAACCTCCTATGCCTGGACAACCTCCCATGCCTGGACAACCTCCCATGCCTGGACAACCTCCCATGCCTGGACAACCTCCTATGCCTGGACAAGCTCCCATGCCTGGACAACCTCCCATGCCTGGACAGCCTCCCATGCCTGGACAACCTCCTATGCCTGGACAGCCTCCTATGCCAGGACGTCCTTCAATGCCTGGACAACCTCCTATGCCTGGCCAGCCACATCAAGCTATGCAGCCACCTTTACCGGGGCAGCCACCGCAACTCGGTCAACAGTTGCCTGGACATCCACCTTTGCCCGGACAGCCACCTTCTGGACAACCTCCATTGTCCAAGCCTCCGCTGCCTGGACAGAATCCATTACAAAACGTTTCGGGGCCGTATCCTCCGGCATCTTTCGGGGCAGGATCGCAAATGGCGCCGCCTCCGCTGCCGGGTCAACCGCCTTACGGGCCTAATCAAATGTCAAATCAAATGCAGGGAATGCATATATCAGGTAACGATTGATGTTGTATTAATCGAGGTTATTTGAAAGTGTAACGATCGCGTTTAATAGGTCAAAAACAGTATCCCGGACCTCCGAGAGGTGGAATGAACGGCGACAACGGTCCGCACATGCCGCCTCCTTTGGGCCAGCAACCGAATATGATGAGTAATCAGCAATTAAGAGGGCCTCCGGGGCCCGGTTATCCGCCTATGCCGGGTCAACAGCCACCTACGTCCGGGCAAGGGCAGTATCCGAACGCTACCGGACAATATCCCGCGGCTAACTATCAGCAACCTCAGCAGAACAGGAGATTGGACCCAGATCAAATGCCGAGTCCCGTAAATATTCACCAATTATTCTTTTGATTTTTATTTAACAGTTATTTTCAGATGCAAGTAATCCAAGACGATCAACAGAACCGAGCCGGAGTGTTCGTGACGAATCAAAAAGGTCTCGTGCCGCCGTTGGTGACGACGAATTTCGTCGTACAGGATCAGGGCAACTGCAGTCCGAGGTACATGAGATCTTCGATGTACAACGTACCGATTACACAGGTAGGCGTATCGATTCGTCGTATAGATTTCATATGTAATTATCCCATCGTTCGATTAGGATATAATGAAACAAACGGCCGTTCCGTTCAGTTTGGTCATCAGCCCGATGGCCAGGCAAGCGGATCAGGAATACCCGCCGCCCATCGTGAATTTCGGTACATTGGGACCGGTCCGATGCGTCAGATGCAAGGCTTACATGTGCCCCTACATGCAGTTCGTGGATTCCGGTAGAAGGTTCCAGTGCTTGTTTTGTATGGCTACGACCGATGGTGTGTAACAAATTTATCGAGAGTCGAGCGGATTTAATTCGGGGTGAATTTTAGTTCCGACGGAGTATTTCCAACACTTGGACCACACCGGTCAAAGGATGGACCGCTACGAGCGTCCCGAATTGCTGCTGGGCACCTACGAATTCGTAGCCACCGCGGATTATTGCCGCAACAACGTTCTCCCCAAGCCGCCCGCCATCATTTTCGTCATAGACGTGTCCTATAACAATATCAAATCGGGCATGGTGAGCCTGTTGTGTTCGCAAATGAAGGACATCATACAGAACCTGCCCGTCGATCAAGGACAGGAGAAGAGCAACATGAGAGTCGGGTTCGTTACGTACAACAGTTGCGTGCATTTTTATAACATTAAAGTAAGTTATCGATGTAGGTATAGGTAGTTGTGATAATAATCGGTGCATTCGCAGGGAACTCTAGCTGCTCCGCAAATGTTAGTAGTGGGAGATGTACACGAAATGTTTATGCCGCTATTGGACGGTTTCCTGAGCACTCCCGAGGAATCGGGTCCCGTCATCGATTCGCTGATGGAGCAAATTCCTGCTATGTTCGCTGATACTAGAGAAACGGAAACTGTCCTGTTGCCGGCCATACAAGCCGGACTGGAAGCCCTTAAGGTACTTAAGGCGCGTTCGAATTCGCGTAAATTTTAAATTGTATAAACTGTTTTTAGGCTTCCGAGTGCGTTGGTAAACTCGTGGTGTTCCATTCGACTCTACCATCGGCCGATGCTCCCGGAAGGCTCAAGAATCGCGACGATCGGAAGCTATTGGGTACCGATAAAGAGAAGACTATTCTTACGCCGCAAACGCAGGTGTACAATCAATTGGGTCAGGATTGCGTGGGCGCCGGTTGTTCCGTCGATTTGTTCCTTTTTAACAATTCCTACATCGATATAGCCACTATCGGACAAGTATCGAGGCTCACCGGCGGCGAGGTTTACAAATACACGTATTTCCAGGTAAAATTCGCTTGTAAAATCCAACGAATATTTGCTTGAATACTATCTATTTTCAGTCCGATATCGACGGGGAACGGTTAATAAACGATGTAATAATGGACATAAGCAGACCGATAGCGTTCGATGCGGTTATGAGAGTAAGAACATCGACGGGCGTGAGGCCTACAGATTTCTACGGACATTTCTACATGTCCAATACGACCGATATCGAGCTAGCTTCGATAGATTGCGATAAGGCGATCGGCGTTGAGATCAAACACGACGATAAACTCTCCGAAGACACCGGCGTTTACATCCAAACGGCCCTACTCTACACGTCCTGCTCCGGCCAAAGGAGATTGAGGATCATGAACCTGTCGCTGAAGACTTGCTCGCAGATGGCCGATTTGTATCGCAGCTGCGATTTGGACACGATCATCAATTACATTAGCAAGCAGGCTTGCTACAAATTGCTGGATAACAATCCCAAAGCGGTTAAGGTAAGGGGTATTAACGCGGGCGTTCGGTGTGGAAATTCAGGTGAAATTTGTTTGTAGGATTCGATAATAAACAGGGCCGCTCAAATACTGGCGATATACAGGAAGAATTGCGCCAGTCCGAGCAGCGCGGGGCAATTGATTTTGCCGGAGTGCATGAAGTTATTACCGCTCTACGTTAATTGTTTGTTGAAGAATGACGCCTTATCTGGTGGTTCAGATATGACAATCGATGATAGGTAAAATCTATATTCGATAGCCCGTATTCAGTGACCTACTTTTAACTCAAACATGGCTCTAAAGGGACACTTTAACGTGAACGAAGTCCCTAGTTATTCCATAACAGCCAATGTAAATCTTTCAAATTGAAAGAATCTCCTTAGTTACTCCATAACAATGTAAAACTGTCAAGTTATTAGAGAGGCGACTTTAAAGTCGTGTTTAAGATTAAAACGGGGCGCTGAATAAGGACCAATAGGTTTATGTTGATACGATTGTGTTAATATTTTTTTAGATCGTTTGTATTGCAAGCTGTAATGATAATGGACGTCCCGACTTCGGTGTATTACTTCTATCCGAGGCTCATTCCACTGCACGATATCGATGTAACGGCTGATCCTGTTAACGTTCCGAATCCTATCAGGTGTACTATAGACAAAATTAACGAACAAGGAGTGTATATATTAGGTAAAAATAACAACGTTGTGTAGAAAATCGATGGTTAATAGTACGTAATTTCAGAAAATGGAATCCACATGTTCCTGTGGTTCGGTCTCGGTGTAAACCCGGATTTCATTCAAAAATTATTCGGCGCACCGTCCGCCATACAAGTGGATATCGAAAAGGTCCATTTGCCCGAATTGGACAATCCCCTGTCGATCGCTGTTAGGAATATTGTCGACGAAATTCGAATCCAGAGGCATAGGTGCATGCGGGTGAGTAACGAGACGAAATCGCGAAATTTGGCGCTCCTCTATTAATTGATTTCTAATCTAATTACAGTTGACTATTGTTCGGCAAAGGGAAAAGATGGAGGCGGTGTTCAAGCACTTTTTGGCCGAAGACAGGGGAACCGACGGCTCGGCTAGTTACGTCGATTTCTTATGCCACATGCACAAGGAGATCAGGAATTTATTGAGCTAGCATAAATGTTGATGCAAGTGTGAACGGACGATGAAATAATACCGGGAAATTTGTACTCAAATAGATTGGTTTAGGTAGAAGGAACGATTTGGGACGCGTGGAAATCGTTGAAATAGGAACGTTTGTTTGTATCGAGTAACATTTCTTTTGCTGTAGCGCTAATTTCTTTTCGAGTAAATTTACATGAAAATGCGAGAAATCGGTAGGACTGGAACTTTTTTTTTTAAATATGATATTTGATGTACAAATTTCTTCTTGAATGGGTGTTTGCTTTATATATTCGAGAGATTAGTTAGCTATATATTTAATTATTTGTATCTATTATTTTATTGGTTCTTCATTATAATATGTTTATGTAAAATATTAAAAATAATTTAATTATTAGCGGATTTTTTCCAGTTTTTGGATATATAAATTTTACATACGGTTGCAGATTCTCATTACTTATTTACTTGTACTTAGATACCCACATAGGTAAATTAATTATGGTAAAATGATAAAATAAAATCGGACTAGAGAGAAAATATAATTTTAGTATCAACAATTAACATTATCGGTTCTTATATACATTATAAACATAATTGCAAGAATAGTAAATTCGCTTAAAAGCAATGCAAACAAGTTTAAATAATCATGTCTGTCTTAATGTATTGCTTTCAAGAAATCGTCAAATAAATAATATTTACAATATTACATTATTATACAATTGAAATAGTTATCACAATAATTAAGTTTTAGAGATTACTCCACAGTAGTACCAGGAATATTGCAGGCAGCAGGATTATAGCGCTTCTTCCAGTTACACGACCAGCTGAGCTATCTAAAAATATCGATTATTTGGTTATAAATTTCTCGATCATATTTGCTTCTACATTTAGTATAAACTAGGGGAAAATGGTTAAAAAAATTCGTTCGAAACAAAACTGGAAATTACTACGTTTACAGAGCATTCAACCTCCACCGATTAGTAATGAAATTTTGTTTACGGGGATCATTTAATACAAAGCACACGTTAATTGTCACCACTAAATGCATTCGATACGTTTACTACGACTTATCAGAACCAAATACAACATTAATATTCGTAAAAAAAACATAAATTTCGAGTACCTCGGGGAGTAGTGTTGACAATTTCCAGTTGGAATTCATTCCTTGCCATTAATATAGTTTCATTAAACGCTACATCGGTAACGTTTAATTCGGCCTTTTCTCCTTCTGTTATTCAAAATAAAAATTAAAAAAAGAATCGTTTTATAACAAGGGTACTTTTTTTATCTCAAAATTATTAAAGCAAATAACTGTTTTCAAAAAATATATCACAAAGGAAGTATTTTGCAAACGGTTTGGAAAATAAACGGGGATGTTGTGCACACTCGGAAAAATCCTTACCCTCCGCGCGTTCTACAACTTCCGCATCATCTAATCGAATAATATTAATATTATTGAACAATACCGAATCGCATAAATAACTCATTCCAATCCCTTACACGCCCCGAATTCACCCAAACACCTACCTCCGATATGGATGATTTCGTTGTACGAATAAAACGAAGTCCCCGGTATGCTCACGTTGCACACAAACCTCGTCTGGCCGCTCAACGTGTCGTTGTAACCGCTAAAATCGTGCTTGGCGGTCACGTTGAACAATCCATCGACGTCCTCCTCCGAATGCTGCACGGTTTCCTCGACATCCACGCGACTCCCGTTACTGTCAACAAGAATCAAGTAGCGAAAAATCGACAAATCCGATGAAAACTTACTTCGAAATGATATAGAAATCCACCTCGGGCACGGGCCATATCCCGTACGCGTTGCAAATCACCAGCCCTTCGCTGTTCAACAACGCCATGTCCAAGTCCATTTCGGGCGGCGCTGAAACATTCAACGATATGTTTAATAACTGCACTCGCGATTCTCGTACGCCCCGTATATTTCTCGAGATCGTTTCTTTGTCGGTAATCAACCGAGGGTAACAGAGTGTGCCAGCAGTCGAATGAATAATAAACGCATTAAGTTACCTATTCGAAACGATAAACGCCAGATTAATTCGAAATATAATATTACTTGAAGCGCTCTTTTATCGCTACAACTACTACTAGAAGAAGATAAAGTTTGTAGGAAACTACAGTTGATATCTTTACCTACCAGATTAATTCGATATATAATATTACTTGAAGCGCTCTTTTATCACTACAACTACTACTGGAAGAAGATAAAGTTTGTAGGAAACTACAGTTGATATCTTTACCTAAAAATCTATTACTGCTCCATTGTTCGATTTCATTCAAGACAATACGATTGCAAGTTTTCGTTGGCATTGTGTAGGCAATAATAATAATAATAATATCGTTTACATTGATATAAACAGTGTTATATCAAATTTCATTGGCTAACCAATTAATAAAACTTACAATAAACGATGAGCTGCTTGGTCGCGACGGCCTCGCCGCGATCGCTGCTGATCTTGCAGGTGTAGTTCCCCGACAGGTCCCTGGTGACGTTCGTCACCCGGAAGCCCCGGAACTCGGTGGCGCTGTCGTTGGTGACGGCGTAGTCCATGTCGATGCGGTCCTTGAGCAGGCCGAGGGCGCCGCGGTTCGCGTAGCCCGGTATCCACTGGTAGACCTGGTGCGTCAGCCCGTTGTAGAACCACTTCACCTCCAGGTCGGCCTCGTCGATCGCCTCGTACGCGCAATCGAAGTCCAAAGTGGTGGCGTTGCCGTCGAGCGGGATCGAGTCCGGCACGCGCACCTCCGTGATTTTGATCGAACCGTTTACTGGAATAGTCAGGAAAATTGATTGGTTCCTTGCCATAACCTTTAGCGACTTTAACTAGATTAACTATGGCTAGATTCTAATTGGATTTTAACTGGATCCATACCTAGTTTTAATCAGACTTTAGATTGATTCTAGCTAGATCACCAGAAATTAACTGGATTCCATAAAGAATCGAACAACATTCTAACCAGATTCCATCTAGATCATTAGCAAATTCCAACCAGAATCCATCAAGATTCTTAGTAAATTCTAACCAGGTTTTACTTGGATTCTAACTAGATAAATGCCAGAAACTATAACCAGATTTTAACTGTATTCCACATAAATTCGACCATATTCTAATAAAATTCTAACTGGATCCTTACCAAATTGTAACCAGATTTTAACTGGATACCCTTTAGATTATTAATTACCAAATTCTAACCAGATTCGAACCAAAATCTAACCATATTCTAATCAAATGGTACCTACGTAGATTTCATTTAGATCCTCACCAAATTCTAACCAGGTTTTAAACATAAATTAATAACAATATTCTTACGATATTCTAACCATTTTCCAGCCAGATTCTAACTGTTTTCTAGCCAAATTTTAACCAGACTTTGACTTTTGAAGGTTTTTAATGAATTTATCGCGACAATATCCCGATATTGGCGCTTTTAATTTTAGCATATCGTGCACATATGTTTCGATATTATAATTTTTTTTGTCGTGATATTCGAAACTGTACCTACGCGAAGTTATAGCACATGACGGCCGCTTATCCGGTCATATAATTAAGCTTCCTGTTGGTATATGGATAGGCCATAACAGCCTGTGATTTTCGAGCTTCCCTTCGAGGAAACGCGAGATTTTTTTTTTCGACGGGGGAATTTCAATCATTTCGTTTGGATATCCGGAAATTACAGCGCTTTAACAATGCATTTTTTGGTGTGACCAACAGGTTGTAAATTTAGAGATTTTTCCTTCGATGATATCACGAACGTGTAAACGTTCAATGTTACTTTATAAATAGAAAGTTTAGTATCATCATCAGTTTTCAATACAAGCGAATTATTGGCACGTTTCCACCGATTTTCCAGTCATATTATTTTATATATTTTGGATTTACGAGCGGCCGAATTTGCTTTTATTATAAACGAATTTACATAACATCTGAATCAATCAGATATTGTTCTCTTGCACTGTAAGGGATTAGAAGTTTTAAATGGATTAGCAATAAGCCGGCTTAATCGGTAATTTAATTAGACAAAAAAGACATAAACTCCAGGTGAAACGCCTTAATAAATTATCGATTCGCGATTACACCTATGTATATAAATACAAAATCAATAGCGATAGCGTATAAACAGTAAATATTTTCAGGATGTGCTTATCAAATTTAATGCAACTATTCGAATTTAAATACCTACAGGATGTCCCTTTTGTATATACAGAAAACGATAAGACTCGCCCCTAGGTGTTACGGTTTGATGGTTCAAAAACCATCTGTTGCTGATACCGCTTTACTCAGCAACTGCCCAGGGCCGGCAGCAAAACACATCCAACTTTCAATTTCTATCTATCGTCGAATTGTACATCAGTCCAACGCACCGGACGCACCAACTAATTCAAACGCTTCATACGCGATAATTGATAATGACCTTCTATTTAAACGAAAACTGGATGATGAGACGAGCGTGTGATTCACGCGGGAATCGGAATCCGGTCCTGCTTTACACAACCCCCTTCGACTTAAGGAGCTCGCTTAAGGCGCACGTTGCACTTTGTAAACGGCACGTGTCGGCGGAAGTACGAACGCACTTCCGTTCTTTTAATTCCTTTCCATTCCAGCCCATCTGCCTTTTGTAGTTTAAATGACCGTTCGTTATGGTCTCGTGGATTTATTAATCGAATTTGATTAGCGTTCGTCTTGTTGTTGCCGAGGAATTTGTTTAACGTACGAGCGTATTCCAGCGTTAGGATGATTTGGAAATGCAAGTGCATTGATAATTCTTGTAGTAAGAGTCCTTGTATCGTTTATAATCCTTGTTAAAGTATAGAGAATATTTTGGATGTGTGGAAGATGTGCAATATCTAGCTACAGTCAATACTACTATTCTCTAACTTTAATAAATAATGATATAACTTACCGTAACAAATCAAACCAACGACAAAAATCCAGAAATAAGAGGCATCCATTCTTCCAACGAACTTATCAAAACCACCGAAACTAGCGCACTGCAAATAAATCGAAGTTCGAATCGAAACTCGCGCTCTATAAAACTCGTTATAATTTTCTTCGAAAAATCGAATTTTTTCCGACGCCCCGCTCGCGGCGAGTTCTCCCTTTCGAATGCACGTCGAATTGCAACCCAACGGACCGTTCGGCGGATTCTAATTTTAAAATTTTTCACCGGACTGCCGCCGGCATTGGCACACACAGCGCCGAATGGAACGTACCCAGCCGACCGTTCATTTTTCTGTTTCTATTCGAGTACAATAGGAGCGAGGAATATATCGCGTGGCGTATGGTCAAGTCCGTTAATCGACGTTCTACTGGCTGGTTGCGTTAATGATGAAGTTTCGCTTTTTCCAAATGCCTGCCGACAGAACGGCAGATTTCCTTCTCGTTGAATTTTGCGTGGCAAAAAAGTGAGATCGGTGGAAGATATGGGAAAGTTACTGTGCTGGTCAAATAGTCATCACTGATGCCCAGACCTTGATGGAAAGATTAAGGTGTAGTTGCAAACTCTTGCTAAAAATTCTTTTAGCTATTCAGCTGGAATCAATTGGCATAGAATATTGTGTAGACTATACCACTAAAAGAAGTTGTCTTCCTGGAAGATATAGAAATAGAAAACTTATAATACTGGCTAATGGTCACAACTATCAAGAGAGGTTTGTTAGAATTATCTTGATTCATCTTGAGTCAAGAAGGTATAGTTCTAAACTCTAGCCAAAAGAATAGACGATGAAGAAGAATAGCTGAAATCAATTGGCTTATAATATTTTGTTGGTAGAAGATACAACTAAAATAAGTGGTGTTCCTGAAAGATATACAAAACTTATAATACTGGCTAATGGTCATTACTATCAAGAGGTTGCTTAGAATTATCTTGATTCATACAAGTAGATCAAGTTGTAGTTGTAAACTCTTACCAAAAGAATAGATGCTGGTGAAGAACAAATAGAATCAATTTGCACACAATTTCGTATAAAAGTGACCATTATAGAAAATAATATTCCTGGAAGAAATGGAGAAGTAACTCTACAGCTCAATTGGTCATCACTATGAAGAGATTTCATAAAATAATCTAGATCAATGGATGAACAGACATTCAAACACCTCTATCACCGCTAAATGCGAAGATAAACAAACTATTTCTTCGAGTAAACTATGAAGAAAAAAAAACCACATGGAAAAAAATAAAACGTAGAATTTAATCCTTGCACGAGGGTGGTGATCAAATGATGTGGCGCCCGTCCCGATGATCGTCCGCGTCCGTATCGTTTTTGATGTAGGTGATCAGACAATCGTATTGTTCCGATCCCAAGGAGCCGTCGTCTTTCATCTTCAGTATGCCGTCGAGCATGTACTTCTGGACGTTCTGCAGCTGCTTGCTTATGTGCTGCTCCGTTTCGAATTTCTTCTGGAATTCGTGGAGTTTGAGAGTGGCGGCGGATCTGGAAAATCGAATGAAAACATGCCGGGATAATTCGATGATAATTCGATAATTTATCGTACTTTTCGAACGCCAAATTGGTGTTTTCTTTGTGAAGCAAACCCAGTTGATCTTGAAGGGCCATTATGGCTTTGTGGCTTTCTATTTCGTTTAGTTTCATTCGTTCGATTTCGCTTTGGAGGTACTGGGAACGTTAAAATAATGAAATATATACTTGTCGTGTGTGTTTTAATGATTTATACCTTCAATTCTTCGATGTCTTCGTTAAATGTTTGTACTTGCGTGGTCTAAATACGATTTCATTGGATGAAATTATTAATTAACAAGTGTTTAGTTTACCTTATCTTTTACGTTTCGTTTGATATCGTTCAACTGATTGTTTTCTTCTTCAAGTTGTTCGATAATTTCGTTGTTTTCTTCGATTTTTTTGGTTAAATCGTTCACTTTATCTTCCAATTCTTCCTAAAACCCAACTAACTTTGTATCCAATAACAAATATTTGTTTTACGTACATTTTTAATACGTAATTTATTGATATAATCTTCGTATTCTCGCAATTTTCTTTCGGCTTCCAATCTAGCATTCTTCTCTTCCGCCGCATCTTTAACGCTCTTCATGAATTTACTCGAAATTTCCTTATTTACTTGCGATAGAGATTTGTAAGATGAGCGTTCGTTGTCTAATATCTCGTTCAATTTCTCTATGTTCGATTTTAAAGAGTTTATTTCGACGGTTTTTAGATCGTTGCTTCTAAAATCGACCGGATAAAAACGAATTTAATCGCAGAGCATCGCCTTACCTTACAATTTCATCGATTCTGCCGTTTCTTTCTTCTTTAATGGCGCTCAATTCGCCAATCAACGATTCGCATTCTTCTTTCGCTACGAGCAGTTTATCTTTCACCATCTTGCATTCCTCTTTTATCGCCTCGTTATCCATCAGCAGCTTTTCTTTATCTTCAATGACGCTTCTGATGGTTCTATTACAATGGAAAGAGGTGAAGATTATAATAGATGAGAGAATTGAAAGCGCTCACTCTCTTTTCTCTTCGAAAGCTTTCACCAAGGTTACCCATTTTTGTTCTTGCTCGATTAAATTGAAGAAATTCCTGTTGACAGCCTTGAAGTCTTCTTTAATGTGCGTCAATTCCTGCGTTAATTGTTGATTATTCAGGGGATTATTATTAATGAGAAGACAAAATACTAGAGAGTAGAGACTTAGAGATTAGAGAGTGGAAACGAACCTTGTTTAATTGGTCTTTTTCGTTGCTGACGTTCAGCAAGGCTTTTTGGGATTGGTGCAATTCGGACATCAAAAGCTTGTCTTTCTTGAAGCACCGATTAATGTTGGTTTCGAAACCTGCACAAAATGGAGCGGGTATTTTTATGCATTGAAATAGTAATTAAGAGAGTACCTGATAGTAAATCATCGCATATCGAATTAATCCGGTCCATTTCGTTTTGCAGTTTGTCCCTTTCCGATTCGATGGATTCGGTTAGTTTTTCTCTGGAACGAAGGATTTCTTCCAGGTGGATTTTTTCAGATTGGGATGCCGCCAATGCGTCCCTTAAATCCTGATGGAAATTACAATTGTACCTGCTGTAATTAGTAAATGTAATTACCTTTTCGCAGGCGCGGGAATGGTTCAAATCATTAAACAGTTTCTGAGTGTTGTTTTGTAGATACTTTATGCTATCCTCGAAGTTCATTTTATCCATTTTCAACTGAAATTTATAGGTATAGAATTGTTGGAAATGAAAGCGAACAATTTACCCTTGCAATTTCCTCTTCTAGCATCCTCACGTTGTCATCGTAGGTTTCCAATTCGGCGCTCAATTTGCCTTGGAGCGTGTTGATTTTCAACCTGTCCTTTCCCACGCAATCCTCGATGATCCTCAGCTTGTCCTCCACGCTTTTCCTCTCGCCTTCCATCCTGCAAATCCTCTGGTTTTGCTTGTCGATAGTGGCGAGTTGCTCGTTGATCGTGGCGGTTAATTCATCGATTCGCTTCGATTGGTTTTCGCTTTGCTTCTGTTGCTCGCAGTAACCTTCTATGGTTTTATTCAAAGCGCTCAACTGGAATGTGTATTTGTAATGGAGTAAATATTAGAGGATTTTTATACTTCTTTGGTGAGTAAATCTCTTTCGGATATGAGCGAGTTTCGCTGTTTGACGACGTATTTGAGATCTTTCAGTAGATTTTTGAGGATCGCTTTTTCTTCTTTGTGGAAATCGTCGTGCTGAGGGATCTGGAATATAGGGAGATGATCGAAAGGATATTGCGGGTAATTCGATGAATAACCTGAGTGGAATTGGTGCAGTTTGTTTTCGCTCTATTCGCCTCGACGGTCTCGCGTTTCTCCCAATTCAATTCGCTACATAATCTGTCTTTTATTTGACACAAATCCGCCAGTTCCCTGTATAAATGGAGCTTTTCTTCGGCGTTTTCCTTTCGAATGTCGTCCAGTTTTTCCACGTTCACGCGCAGATTCGTTATGGTTTTGACTTTTTCGTCCAGTTCCGCTTTCAGTTTTTTCCCCAATTGCTTATTATAATCCGCGATTAGCTAAAAATCAAGTGAAATGCACCATTCTAATATATTTTTATGGGAAAATGTACCGCTAATTTGCTAGCTTCTTTACTCATATCGACGACCGATCCTTCCAAATGCTGCAATCGGGAGATTTCGTGCTTCATGTGGTTAAACAGAGTTTTTATCAAAGACTTTTCTTCCAGGTATTTCTTCCTTTCGAATTGCAAAGCTGCGAAATGCTTAATAAATTGCTCGATGTACTTAAAAGTAAGAGGAAGAAACTTACAAAGGACTGTTTGTTTTTCAACGTCGTGCTTTTGCTTTAAATGTTGATGTTCCTTCATCATTTTCTCCATTTCGCAATGTAATTGTTCAATGTGTTGATTATTGGCCATTTGGAATTCCGAAAATTTCTTATTGTCCTCTCTAAATTCCTCCAATTGGAGCAGAAGCGCCCGTTTTTCGTTATTGAGCTGTAAATTACTCTCCTAAAATGCCTATTGTTAAAAATATAAGCGATAATTTACTTCAATACACTGCATATCAAGATCAATTAATTTTTCTCTATTCATTTTCAGTTCTTTCGAGATATCGCCGGATTCATTTTCTCCAAGCTTTTCCAGCCGGTTTTTCAAGCTTTCCATTTCGGCATTTAATTTTTTTACGCGACCATTTAATTCTTCTATTGTTGCAGTTTTCTGAAATTTCAAATGGAGGAAATTAGTACCTCGAAGTCACAACTTTGTTAAACTTAACAAAATAAACAATCTAAATTATTGAGTACCTACTTCGTTATCGGAATTTTCCAATTGAGCGATCGTTCGCAAATAAGCGCTTTTTTCCATTTCGCTCTGGAGTTTGTTCCGTTCGAATTTCTCCTCTTGAATTTTCATTTCCGCCTCGAAACACTTGTATCGGTGTTCCGTCAGCAGTTTCTCGCTTTCCTGGATTTTCTTTTTGAATTCGTCCAAATCGCAAGTGGATTGTTTCGCGTTTTCCAGCAGTTTTTCGTTCGCCTGCGACAATTCCTTTCTGCAAACAAGGGTTAAAAAAACTCGAAATTGCCCCGGTAAATTTATACACACATTTCATTTTCTTTCAACAGTAGATTTCCTTTTAAATTGAACAGTTCTTTCACCAATTCGCCTATGTAATTTTTGATAAATTCGATGGTTTCGTCTAGTTTATCTTCATCGCACTGGAGTAAATAATTTTTAAATAAATAAATGTTGCATAGAAGAAGCGTCTTACTGGTAATACATCTACATTTACTAACAAAAGCTCCTTGTTTCTCAACAAATCGTGCTTGAATTTGTTGTATACGTTCAAAGCTTTGAATAAAGCTTTCTCTTTACTTTTCAATTGGTGGTTCAAAGTCGCAATTTCCAATTCGCAATCGACTTTAGTGCGATGGTAATGAGCTGAAATATTAATTCACATAAAAGTTACTAGAAATTACATAAATAAAGTACCTTCGTGATCGTTATACAACACAATATACTCCGACAGCTGGTTTTCCAAACCGTCGTTTTTCTCTTGAAAATCTGCTAGTTTCTTCTCCAACCCTTCTATTTGCTTGTACAAAGCCTCAGTTTTATTAGTCAAGTTCACGTTGTGCTTGATTATTTCCTGTATTTGAGCTTCATTACCTAAAAACGTTCCATTCAAGCACCACATTATCGAACACACCATTATAACCTTCAGTACTCTTCACATCTTTTGGTCCATTACACTTGATCTTCCTCAGCGAGTTTTCGTAGGAGCAAAACAACATATCGTACTCCACCTGTATGTGCCTATTGTGCCTGACGGCCGAATCGAAGGCGTCCTGCAGCGTCGCCTGTCTGGTCTTCTCCAGCTCCACCTGCTTCAGCAGCATCTCCATCGATAGTATGTTGTTCATGCGCTCAGTTTCCAAGTGCAGATGGGAATGCGAGCAAAGAGCATCAGCTGGAAACACCGCAAGATTTACCATTATCTCTGGATTAGTGCTGGTGCTTACCGAGCTCTTTTTGGAAGCTTACATCGGAGATGTATTTAACGAAGATTTTCAGGAAATGCCCTTCGCTTTGTTGCAGGCGATACGCGAGATTCTGCACGGCTACCATTCCTTGAAACATCGACTTCGGTAGGCTCGGTTTATCTTGCTCTCTGCATGGATTACTACCAATTAAATCGCTTAAAAAATGAGATAAGTAGTGCTTACATAAACGAAATGGGTACAAACGGAGGATTCGCCTCCTCTTCGACTTTGATCTGCGAGAGAACATCGTCGATGTTGTGCCTGCTCTCGATGGTGTGCACGTTCCTCGACTTCTTCCTGTCGCGCTTCTTCAGCAACTTGCCGAAGAAGCTGCGCTTGACGTTCGCCGAGGGCGCCAGCGACTCCTGCAACAAATTTCTGATAAGCAAGAGGCCTCGATGGGGCGTCGCTCGTCCAACCGCGTCGGTCCGCAGGCTGGCTTCGTCGAAGGGACAGAGCTGCTCCGTCGAGTGGCTGCCGATGGTGCTGATGCTGCTGATGAATCGAACTTTCACGGCCGTTTGGTTCTGGATGTCGGCCAGCTTCTTGTCGGTTTTCTTGGTTTTGGATATCCTGCGGCGGACGAGGGTGGACAGGAGGCTGTGGCTCTTCTTCGGTTTGGTCGCTTCGTCGGATTTCTGCTCGGGGTTTAGGTCCTTTAAGGACTCGGCCTAAGGAGAGCTGTTGGTGATTGCGATTGGTGATGGTTGTGTGGTAGGTACCTGTTTGTTCGTTTGCTCGTTTTCCATGCTAATGCCTGGATTTGCGGCGGTTTGAAACGTTCGCGGTGTCGTTGCGTTTGTCAAAAAACTGATTGGAATATACGAGTTGACATTTTGATAATTGTCTGTCAAAAATTAGGTTGGGCGAACTGATTTTATTTAATTTTTTAAATTGTAATTGGCAAGTAAACGCTCGCTGCGATGAGGGATTTTTGTATTTTTTCGATTTTTGTGAATGGCGTGAAATTTAGTGAAGGCTTTAATCTTATCTTTTAGTCTTATTTCTCTATCTCTATACTTTTAAGGCTTCTAAATGACTCCAAGATCTAAGGCTACGCTTAGGTACTATGCATGCGAATTCTGGCGAAAAATTGTTAGCTAAACAGTTAGTTTATACTGCCTTTTACCTTTAGACTATTTGTATATTTTGTTAACTTTGTAACATAATTATACACAATTTAATTATCTATAGGGTTCGAAATGAACTGATACCACCGGCTCCGATAACGATTAACGAGGCAAATCGGGCAGAACAAAAAAAATTGTTTACTTTAAACTTATGGTCGAACATGCAAAGCGAAGAAAACTGCAAGTGTCTATGTAATCTTAAGGAGGAGATTGTTCATATAATTTGAATTAATCATCAGGTAAGTCGATTAACTCTTCATCAATTATGCATATTGTCGATTTTCAAAACAAAACTCCTACCCAAATGAATTTTTCAGGACTGATAGGGGGTGGATGGGCGATCTTAATAATATTAACCACTAAAAACTACCCTTAATAACGGTATGAAAAAAATTCCTTTTTTTAATCGCGTTCAGAATAATTTTAGAACAATTTTATTAATTAAACTTTTATATAATATAGAAAATCACCCACCCACCCTCTACCATCCCTGAAAAATTGGTTTGGGTAGGAGTTTTTTTTTGCAATGCATATATTTTTCGACAATATATTCTTAGACTAACGAATAAAAATAACAATACGTTGAATATTTTTCTACTTAAATCGTTTAATTATTTTAGTTGATTCAACGCCAGTCTTTAAATATTGATATTACACACTGGTAACTGTATCCGCAATTATTTGATCCTATCTTAAAGTTGTCAAAAGTGATGAGCATCCTTATCTAGAGATTTCGTAGGGTTTCGAAAACTCCAACAATAGTCTTCAATCAACACCTAAATCATGCGCTTCTACGAGTATATCCTGCTGTGTTTGTCGTCCTGGATTTGCAATTCCAACGGCGCCAAAATCCTGGGCATCATCCCCACGGCGTCCTACAGTCACCAGATCACCTTCCACCCTCTGTGGCGCGAACTGGCCGCCCGCGGCCACAACGTCACCGTCATCACCACCGATCCGCTCGCCAACTCCACGGCGCCCAATCTGCGCCAGATCGACATCGGCGAGGTGCACGAGTTCTTCCAAAGGGTGCGCTTCTACGAGATCATCTCCGGCGATCCCACGTACTTCTGGAACATCGCGCTGTTCCTGCGCCAGGTCACGCTCGACCTGGCGCGAATCCTCATCAATAACGAGGAGATCGCGAAGCTGAAGGGGGAGTCGTTCGATTTGATTATAGGCGAGGCGCATTTCCCGTCTATATTGGGGCTGATAGGGCACTTCAGGTGCCCGTGGATCGGGGTGTCTTCGATGGAGTCCGGGATACAGTACAACGTGGCTATTGGGAATCCCACCCACCCGATTTTGAATCCGGATTATAACTTGCCGTTGGAGAATTTGGAGGATTTGAGTTTTACGGAGAGGGTGGCTAGTTTGGTGTACAGGGTGGGTTTGGTGTATACGATTAACGTTTACTTGTTTCCAACGTTGGATGGTATTTATAAGGAATCTGGACTGCGACACGTGCCGCTGATTCAAGTGCAAAATAACATTAGCATGCTGTTCGTTACCACGCATCCGATTTTCCATAATCTCAGGCCGGTGTTTCCTAATACGATATCCATAGGAACTGGCATGCACTTCCAGCAGTCCAAGCCATTGCCGAATGTAAGTAAAAACAAATAATAAGTAAAGATAAGTTTAGATAAGTTGTTAGATAATAAACCTCATTATCATGTTTTTTTTACAGTTTTTATCGGAAAAAATTAAGAATTTAACAAACAATTACGTTTGCTTGTCTCTTTTCTTTGTCATTAAATATGAACGGAAAAATTTTTACGTTTTTAATTTTTACGCAATTACTACAATTACGTTTGCTTGTTTTGTTTCTTTATCATTAAATAGGTTGGATTAAAAACAATTGTATCGAAATTCGTATTTTTTATATTGTTACTTTTTGTATTGAGGAAGTCCACTTTAACACATTTCGTATTTCGTTTTCTTGCGTCAGAAAACGTGCGAATAATAAATCACAGCGTCTAGAGGATTAAAGTGTAGAATTACGCTAGAAAATTTACGATGATCATTATATTTTTTATATAGGTACATACCAAAAAGCTTAATGATGAAGCAAAGTTTAACTATTTCATTGTGCGGTAATTCCACTATAAACAATAACTCATAGCAATTGCGCACAATGAAATATACAGGGTATTAATTAATAAGTGCGCCATAGGGGGTGATTCTGCATGAAAAAATAATGATATTTTGCTATATAAACATATGTCCGCAAAAATTTCTTCTTAAAAACTGAAAGATTTATTTATTTCTCTGAAACCAGACGAGATATTCAAATAAAATTTGGTGGGTTTTGAGAGGTAACTATTACGCATTTTTTGACATAAAATTAAAAATTTTATGTCCGTCATTAACGCGCATAAGCGTAATAATAATTTTTTTAAAAGAAAAAAATAATATTGGTACGCCACTGAGGCAGTTTTTATTGAATATTCAATTATGAATGAATTCCTCCTTCAATTTATGACAAAAACAATCTCTTGTATTTTTTTCGTGCGGGCCGCTGTTTTCGAGTGAAAAAATAAAACTTCTTGACGTGTATTTTTCATTTCCTCAATACAGAAGAAGAATTCTCAATACAGAATTCTCCCAATACAGAATTCCTCAATATTGAAGAAACTTTAACACCCCGTATCTCGAAAACGAAGCATTTGCGGACATATGTTTATTATATAGCAAAATATCATTATTTTTTCATGCAGAATTACCCCCTGAAGTTTGTCTTACTTATTAATTAACACCCTGCATGTAGACAAATATTTAGTGGAGGAACAGAAATGTATATTGCATCAATCAAAGGAATCAAAATGTATTTATTCAACAAAAATCGATTATTCCAATACAAAAATCAACCTACATTTCGAACCATACCGATTCTCCAGCGCATTAAAACGCTAAGTGCGCGATTAGATAACAAACTAAAGTGTTTACAGATAATAAAAACCCCTAATCAGTTGCGATCGATATGCGTCCGATACCCGTCGTCGCGTTACTATTCCAATTCGTCCTCCACCACCTCCCCGATCTCGGCGACGCCGCCCGCATACTGGCCGTCATACCGTCGGCCTCGCGCAGCCACCACGTCCCCTTCCAGCCGCTGTGGCGGACGCTGGCCTCGCGCGGCCACCGCCTCACCGTCATCACCACGGACCCCGTCCGCGATCCGGCCGCCTCCAACCTCACCGAGGTGGACATCAGCCACTGCTACCGCATCTACGACGAGCACCGCGTCACCGAGCTGTTCGTCGACGAGACCAAGAGCTTCGGCGAGATAGCCGCCGTGCTGCGCGTCACCTTCGAGGAATGCCACGATTACATACTATCCCTCGAGGAGGTGCAACGGTTCATCCACGATGATTCGGTTGAATTCGATTTGGTGATGGTGGAGGCCCAGCTGCCCACCATGCTGGCGTTCGCTTGGAGATTCCGATGCCCCAGCATCGGGATAGCTTCGCTGGAGCCGGCCATGCAAATCCACGATTCTTTGGGTAACCTGGTGCATCCCGTCGTCAATCCGGATCCGAATTTGAACATCGAAGACGACGCCCGGATGGGGTTCTGGGACAGGCTGAAGAGCGCCGCCTATGTGATGGTTTATAAGTTGTTCGTGTACAACAGAAGCTACCCGAACTACCACGCTCAAATGAAGAGGTACTTCGGGAACGACCTGCCGGATTTGAGGGAATTGCAGGATAACATCAGCATGTTGTTCGTCGGTACTCATCCGCTCTTCCACAACATGAAGCTGTCGAATTTGAACACGATTTCCGTGGGAGGCGGAATGCACATTTCCCCTCCTAAAGCTCTACCTCTCGTAAGCTCTCTTTACCCATTTACACCCCCGAATTAATTGTAACGAAAATGCTGTAAATCGCGTTTGTTGCAGGACTTGCAGAAGTTCCTGGACGAGGCCGAGCGAGGCGTGATTTACTTCAGTTTGGGCAGCAACGTCAAAGCCAACTTGCTAACGGAGAGCTTCAAAAAAGCCATCACCGGAGCTTTCGCCGAAATACCCTACAAAGTTTTGCTCAAAATGGACGATGTACTCGTAGATGCATCCGAAAACGTTCTGGTCAGAAAATGGATGCCACAACAGGACATTCTAAGTAACCGAATCGATTCTTTTTTTGTTCATAATCGCTAATCGATTCGATTTCAGGGCACAAGAACGTTAAATTGTTCATCACGCAAGGCGGTTTGCAATCGCTGCAAGAATCCGTCGTCAACGGTATACCGTTAATAGGAATACCGTTCTTCGGGGATCAAATAACCAACGTCAATAAAATGGTGAAAAAGGGCTACGGCTTGAAAATCAACAGGAGAACCATCACCAAAGACATCCTCGTATCAGCCATCAAGGAAGTCATGGATAACCCCAAGTACGAGTTACTTACAGTGCGCCAGAAATAGCTACAGACGCATCACTTGCTATTTCTAACGAACTGTACACGTGTCTCTAGCTATTTCTAATGCACTGTATCCATTCGGTGCAAATAGATATAGCTTTAAATGCGTCTCTAGCTATTTCTAATGCACTGTATCCATTCGGTGCAAATAGATATAGCTTTAAATGCGTCTCTAGCTATTTCTAATGCACTGTATCCGTTTCGGGCAAACAGGTATAGCTGAAGACGCGTTTCTAGCTATTTCTAAAGCAGTGTACCTTCGGGGGAGGGTTAAAATTTATGGGTTTTTGCAGGTATCGGGAAACGGCGGAGCTTATGGGGGAGATTTTCCGGGACGAGGAGATCCCGAGCCTGCAGAGGGCTGTGTACTGGACGGAGTACGTGATCAGGCACAAGGGGGCGAAGCACCTGAGGAGCCCCTCGTTGGGGATGCCGGCTTGGAAGTTTTACATGCTGGACGTTCTCGGGTTTTTGTTTGTCACGTGCTTGTTGGTATTAATGGTGTTTTATTACTGCGTTAAAATGTTTTGTAGATTGGTGAGGCGTTTGTGTTGTAACGGAGGGAGGCCTAGGTCGAATAGATCGAAAATAAAGAGAAATTGAGCGTCGATTATTGTTTTTATTATACATGGAATAATATTTATATAATATTATGTAGGTTTCTATAGTGACGTTTTATTTTTTTCGTTATTTCATATAATTTATTACCGTTTTTTAATCGTCGCAAGAATAATAAACTTTTTTGTGAATACCTAGACTAATCCCAAACTAAATACATACCTACACATTATCATTGGATCGTGTGTTTGCTTTTATAAATCAATCTAACAATGAAAAATTTTACCTTATTCACTATTTTTCTTCTTAATCGCATCACTTTTGTCAAGTCGATTCGAATAGCGAGTCCTAGTTATGTTTAGGTTCATGTTAAAGGTTGTAACTTAGAAATCCAGTGATGGCTTTCGATTTGTTTACATTTTTTATGACGTAAGTATAATTTTCTTAATATTTATACTGCTAGACTTAGATAGAATAAATATATGTAACTCATTCGCTAACATCCTAACAAGTATTTGCTTTTAAGATTAGTTTAGTATTTTCCCATTATCACAAAATTAATGAATCAAAGGACTTATCTGGAAGGAAGTTCGATTCTAATTATACGATCATCCTTGTTAGTGGAAATAAAGAAAACCATGTAGTTGTTTAGAGCTAATGTTGGTGAGTATGTTGTCCAATTAAAAGGGAGTAAACATATAAAAATAAACATATAAAAACTGTTTATTTTTCGATTGCAATTAAATGGCTATAACAAAATAGGAAAAATATTTTAAGAAGTATATTTTAAAGTATATTTTATTGAAATTTATGTCATTTTTGCCTTCATAGCAACAATGATTATAACAATAATTAGGAATAATATCATAAGTAAATATAATTAAATAACTTTTAGTATATAACAATTATATATAACGAAACAAAAAATAATTGGTATACCAATTATTCAGTTCTAACTACAAAAACAGAAATAAACTATTTCATGCATTACACAGTTAGTACCTGAACTGTTATAGGCTGTTTGAGACTTCCTTATAACTTTCAAGAATTCCAGAAGCGACAACAGATTTTACTCGTTTATTGTAAAATTGGTAAAATACTCCAGATCGTATCGTCCATCCTGCCGTTTTTCTTCTGGTTTAAATGTCTATACCTGATCTTAGGGTAGTATTTAAATAGGGGTAGTATTTTATTTAGGTAAGTATTTAGATAACCATCGGATCTGTGTGTTGTAGTTTTTTCTATGTAGAATAAAATAGTTCTTGCTACACAATTGAGGAATTTCATTGAAGAAGGAAAAGGCTATAATTGTTTGTGATCTATTAACATTTGATGTTTTAAATTTGTATATTTTCAGTGTTGAGTGAACTCACAACATTGATTATCCTTTCCTCCTAAATTTTCAGATTTCTAAAAAGCCCGAAAAGCCCTGTATTGTGACGTTTTATTTTTTCATTATTTCATATAATTTATTACTGTTTTTTATTAATCGTCGCAAGAACAATACATTTTTTTATGAATACCTAGACTAATCCCAAACTAAATACATACCTACACCTTATCATTGGATCGTGTGTTTGCTTTAATAAATCAATCTAACAATGAAAAATTTTACCTTATTTTAATTGAGTCCCAGTTATGTTTAGGTTAATGTTAAAGGGGTGAACCTTAGAAATCCAGTGATGATTTTCGATTTTTTTACATTTTTTATGATGTAAGTATGATTTTCTGAATATTTATACTGATAGACTCATAGATAGAATAAATATAGGCAACTCATTCGTTGACATCCTAACAAGTAATCGCTTTTAAGATTAGTTTAGTATTTTCCTATTATCACAAAATTCAATAATTCCATCCTTTGTACTAAGTCTTTTTAATAATATCGTTATCTATCGATTATAATACCAATTGTTATGAAAATTTATTAATTAATCATTAATCATAATTAATTCAAGTAGAATTCAATTCGATAAACCCACTTAAAATATGTTTTTTAACATGAATCAGAGTCTTAAGAATCATTGACATTACCAAGAAATTTGAGAATGTTTGAGAGTATTACCGATTCTAGTAAAAATCTGCGTTACTGTGCCTATTTCTTTAAAAATTATTTTATCGGATCCCCATTTTATCGGATCTCGATGGAGATAACCTAATATAACCATTCTAACGAAACACTCCAGGTATTACATTCGTTTTTATCTCTAGTTAGTGTGAGTGTGGTTTTTATTTATTAGGCGCGATGGCTCGACCGCGATGTTTAGTAAGTCAATAGCCGACGAAGCGGTTCTTTGGCAAACGCTAATAAATCAGAAATTTTCGATTCCAGCGATCCGATTCCAGGGATTCCGTGTACAGTTACATAGGCGACAATCACAGGCCCCAAATGGTTAAAAGGAGGTTCTATTCGGATTGGACTCGATGGCGGAAGGCGCTGTTTTTCTCGGGGATCGCCCTGTAAGTATACCTGCAAGATCGCCCTGTAAGTTGTTGCAGAAATAACGAATGTGTAGATGTGTTAAGTGGCGCAGATTTTTACTACTTTTACTATATTAAAATTTAATGAAGTGAGTAAGATTAGATTAGAAAGTACTTGAGATGGGTTTCTCACAAAAATTGATTTATTCCCTTACCCTTATCTTCATTCTTCATTTCGCTCAACGTTCCTAAAAATTTAACACCTCTTAATCCCTAAAGTCATGAGAATGATTAAGACCTCATTCTATTGCTTCATTTGCTTTATTATTAGTTTCATTATCAAATTCCATAACACTGTATCTTCTCGATGTCTCGTATATATTTGCGAAAATTTTTGAATGTTCCTTTATAAGTCATTGTGATATTTAGAATTTTTGGCATTGTGACATGGCAAGCTAGTAGATTGTCGTAATTGTCAAATTGTATATTTAGGAAATGTACCATATAATTACTTATTAAATAAGAAATGAGGGAGCGTGTAATAGCAAAAATTGCGAGAAGAGAGAGGCTATAATGTGATTTATGGGAGTTTGTCGGCCTTCTAACCATCATTTCGTTAATATTAATTGATGATTATTTTTTTCAGCATCGCCATTATATTTATAATATTCTTATTAATATGGGTCGTATTTCCCTTAGTTTTTATGAATAACATAAAACTCCAACGATTTTTCATGTTCTTTAACAGTAAGTACCGATAAAACATCGATAATATCGCCTTTACACATCCCCCGAATTTCCAGCGCAAAGACCAAAAAACCCGGACTTTGGCCACCCGGAGAAATACGGTTTACAAGGCGTCGTGAATTTCTACATAACCACCAAAGACCCCGACAATTCCTCGTTGGTCAGCATAGGCGCTTGGCTGGTGCTGCCCACCAATGAAATTAATAATAGTGGTAATCTACCCGCCTCTGAACTCGTCAAGAGAACCGCCTATCCCATCGCCATATATCTGCACGGCGTCGGCTGCAACAGGATCCTGCCCCAGAACACCTACGAAGTCCTCAGGAAGCACTTCTTGCTCATAGCCACCGACCACAGAGGTAACTAAAGAAACTCCTACAAAAGCTCCTTCAGAACCTCCTCCAGACGTTCCTTCAGAATCTTATCCAGAGGCTCTTTCAAGAGTTTCTCGAGAGGCTCCTATAGATGCTCCCTCCAAACTAGAAGCTCCTTCAAAACCTACTGCAGATGCTTTTTCTGAGGCTCCTTCAGAAGCTTCCCTAGATACTCTTACAAAATCTCCTACAGAATCTCCTTCAGAACCTACTCTAGAGGCTCCTTCATAGGCAGCTCCAGAGGCTTCTCCGGAAGCAGCCACTCCTCTACTTCCTAACAATCCGTTTGTCCAAAGGTTTCGGTGATTCGGGTCCGCACTTTCCGCCTTCGGAAGACGGAATCGTTAGCGATACAGCGCAGGTGTTCAGATGGCTGCGCTTGTACACGAACAACGACATCTACCTGTGGGGCCACTCGCTGGGCAGCGCGCTGAGCACGCACACGGTGAAGCGGCTGCGGGACAAGTACAACACGGTGCCGTCGGGGCTGATCCTGGAGTCGGCGTTCACCACCATGAGGGAGGAGATACCGGCGACGCAGCTGGGGCAGGTGTTCACGTGGATGCCGTGGTTCGAGGCGACGGTGCAGCGGCCGCTGGAAAGGAACGGGTTCCTGTTTAGGACCACCACTAATATCCTGTCGGTGGATTGTCCGATTATGATACTGCACGCCGAAGACGATGAGGTCATTCCATGCGCGCTGGGGAGGAAGGTGAGTTGGTCGGTTTGGTCGTGGGTTTGGTTTTTTAAGAGTTGTATAATCTCAGGTCGCTGAAGTGGCTATGACTAAAAGAGACTTGGCTAGGCAAGGAAATGTCACGTATCATGAATTTGGAGTGCTAGGGTACAGGCATACCGGAATTACGACGGATCCTAATATATCAAAATATATCGAGTGAGTATTCATATATTTATCGACCTATTTTTTGCTGTACCTTTGGGTATTTTGAATCGTATCAATTAGATAAGAGTTATCTGCTTTCTAGAAAATATTATATTTTTATATTGATTACGTTCATATCGCTTATTAGCTTATTTGTAATCAGTATTCCTTTTTTTTTTCAGTGAATTCATAGGATATTGCAAAGATCAACGTAAACGGCGAGGGTAACAAAAATCTAGGACAATTAATTTATTGCACTTGCAACTTTTTTTTATTAAATTTTTTTTTACAAAATTCGCCTTTCTTTTGTAAAAGTTTCGGTAGTTAAGATAGATACTAGCTAGACGCTAGGCGTTAACGGATTTTCCTATACCACTGGTCCCAAATAATTCAAAAAGAATAAAACTCCAATGAATAGGCTGACGCTTTGGGCTTAAATTAGTGATATATGATTAAATGAAACGCACGGATATAAAATTCAACATATATTTTTCGAACTTATAATACAATTTGCGTAATAACACCGGCCGCGATAGTAACACCACCCAATCGAAGCATAACCCTACCCAGCTCCTTGCACTCGCTGTACAACTCCAAAGCAATAGGCCTCGACGCCTGAATCTCCACCAACGCGCTGGCCTGCTTCTTCAAAAACCTCGGATGCTTCTTCTCCACCTCGCCCGTACTCTTATTCAACTCCGATATCAGCCGGCTCACCACCACCGGCTCCACCAACGACTGATGGTGCAACACCACCGAATAACCTCTGGTTATCGGCACCGCCACGTCGAACACCACGATCCGCGCGCGGAACTTCATCGCCACCTGCACGGGCCTCAGCGCATCGCAGAGCACGTTCCCCACCGAAACGTTCTGCATTTCGACGCCGGACAGCGCGACGGTCACCTGATCGCCGGCGAACACCACGCTCTTCGAAGCCTCCTCGATCCACAGCGACTTCACCACCGCCGATTCCCTGCTCGGGCACACCAGTATTTTATCGCCGACGCTTAGAGTGCCGTTCTCCACGCGCCCCGACACGCAGAACGATGTACCGGTACCCTAAAATTAAGTAGTATATGAATTAGAGAGAGCTTGAAGTGTAGTGTGTTGCATAACTTACTTTGAATATATCGTTAATAGACAGTCTGAATGGTTTTGATACGGGTCTTTCTGGTGAACGGAATTGATCTGGAAATATAATTAACAATATTGGAAGTTTGATAAGTAGATTCGTCGTACCTATAATATCTAACAAACAAGGTCCGTGGTACCATTCCAAGAGCTCGCTTTCGGTGGGCCCGGCGGTCAGATTCTGGCCGGTGAGGCCGCTGCACGGCACGAACCTCACATCGGACTCCTTGAAACCGACCTTCTTGAGAAAGGTTTTCAGCTTGTCGACGATCTCGTCGAAGCGCTCGCGCGACCACGACACAGTATCGAGTTTGTTGACGGCCACCGCCAGTTGGGAGACGCCCAGCGAGCGGACGAGCAGCGCGTGCTCGCGCGTCTGCCCGCCGTAGTCGAAGCCGGCCTCGAATTCGCCGCGGTTCGCGTCGACGGCCAGCAGCGCGACGTCCGCCTGGCCGGCGCCGGCTATCATGTTCGGTATGAAGTCCTTGTGGCCGGGAGCGTCCAACAGCGTCACCTAAAACGTCCCAAGATTAGAGCGTTTCGGCCCATCGATAACAGCGAATTACTAACGCATTTCGTGGCGGTTTCGAATTGAAACCGCCCCACGTCCATCGTGATGCCTCTGTTACGCTCCTCGCCGGTCTCGTCGAGCACCCAGGCGTACATGAAGCTCTGCTTGCCGAGCTTCTTGCTCTCCTGCTCGTACTTGTGCAACACTTTCTGGTTCACCTAAACGATTACATTTGAAACGTGAAATAGTGCTCGACAACTCGACAACTCGATATTATCTCACCTGTCCTAAATCGCAGAGCAGATGGCCCATCAAGGTGCTCTTGCCGGCGTCGACGTGGCCGATTACCACCATGTAGAGGTGCTCCTTGCTTTGGGCCCGTTCGTTGCGGTACAATTGCAGCGGGTCGAATTTGTTGTCCGGTTGTTTGGCGGGCTTGTTGTCTTCGGGGTTGTCGATGGGGGTGATTTTGCCGGAGGCTGGGGACTGGGACCGGGGCGTGTGGCTGGGTTTCGGTTCTCTTCGGGAGAGATCGAAGCCCTTGGTTATGTTGGTGACGGTTTTGACGGTGGAAGATATGACTTTCGTGGCCGGTTCGATGTCGGCGTTAACTAGTTGGTAAAATTGTAAACGAGAAAATTATACTAAAAAAACTATAGACGATTATGTGTGTAAATTTTAATGGGAAACGCGGCGAGTCGGGAAACTACCTCTTCAAGTATCGAATGATTGTGCTGTCGGGTGATGTTGTACTGAAATCGAATATTTTAATGGCGCTCGAGTATTTTTTTACCAGCGAAATTTGCTTGAGGTATCTCTTGTATTTCTTGCAAATCACCGTTCCTAACAAGCTGGTTTTCTTTTCTAGCTTCGAATCGATATTTTTCGTGTTCTCCGGTACATTTAGAGAACAAATCAGTTCCTCGTATGAAGATCGATTTCCCCTCATAGGCAAATCCGACTTGCATTCAATGAAAGGTATTTCGAAATTTTCTTTCGCTTTGTTTGTTGGCACTAAAGGAGCGCTCACAGTGCTCTTCAAGGCTTTAGATAGGTCTATTTTGCAAGCTTCGTCACTTTTGGGTAGATCGTTGGAAGATTTTGATTCTGACACAGTCATTTTACTCAACGCCTGATTGTTATTGAGGTTTAGATTCTTCAATTGCGTTCTTATGCCGTCCACTACTGGCACGTTGTCTTTTAAATGGGTAGAAACCAAGTCTGATAGATTACTAAATGGCTTTTTGTCGTCATTAGGTGATTCATTGCAAAAATTCGCCTCCTTTTTAAACGAAGATAAGTTTAATTTGGGTATAATAAATTTCGATTGGCTGCTCGTTGGAATGTTGAAATTCGAATTGTCTGTTGTTTTATTGTTGAAAATTTGAGGTATAGTGAATTGCTTTTTAGTGTTATTTAATTGATTGTCTCTTAGCTTGTTATAATCTTACCTTGCATGGAAAATATACCCGAAGCGAACATGAAAGAGAAGAGAATCCAGTTAGTTAAATATACTAATATAGGCACACAATCGATTAATAATAGAGGTGTATATGTCTTTAAATCAACAAATTAATCACCTTTTTCAACTGGTGCTGGTTGCAGGGTACTTTCTAATAAAGTATTTATGCATTTCTGGATGTCATAGTTGTGTTGTATAATAATATTGACTAGATCGTTCCTCGATAGATTAACATTTCCGATGGTTTGTTTGATTTGATCGATGCACGAAGCTAGTTTAGCTCTATCCATGTCGGCCAATTCCGCTTCGGATTCGTCCTCTTCCTTTATATCGCCTTCGGAACTTCTCTGCGAGAGCTCCCTGTTGTACAAGAACTGCCTGTTACTCGGAGATATGTAATAATCGTCGTCGACGGAGTGGCCATACACATCATCGTATCCATCGTAATCTAGAAAAATGAGTTCGGATGATTTTAGAAAGTTATTTAGTATCGAACGTACCGTCTGAGTAGTCCATATTTCGGACATCCCTGTGACGAGCCATTTTTAATGTACAATTTGAATGTAAATTAGTGTATTATGAATCCAATATGTTTGAGTAAAATGATGAGTAGGACTTTTTTGTCTACATGACACTATATTTAATAGCTATTTTCGTTATTCAATAACAAATACAAGAACTCAAAGAATGAACGTGTCATTAAATTAGAAGATAAACAATCACATCACATATCACTTTGACATTTGACATTGATGAACAGTTACTTGGGCCTTTTACAAACAAGGAATCTGGTCTTCTACACGCTAATTTACAATGAAAAGAAGACATTTTGACAATTAATAATTTTGTAAAACATTCACAAACAAAAAGAACAAAATATGGACAATTTATCACAACAAATAGACGAATTAGAGGCCCTAAAATCGATATTCGGAGACGAATGGCATGTAGATACCGGTACTGGAACGTACCACATAGATATTACAAAAGAAGTGAAAATGTATATAACTTTAACACCTGAATATCCATCTAATGCTCTACCAAAATATGAATTATTGGCTCCTAATTTAAATATTGATCAAAAGAGGAAGATAGAACAGAAATTTCAAAACCTCTACAAGTGAGTATTAGAATAATCGAAGCATTTTCTTCATTTACTTATGGTTTTATTCTACATTTTAGTACCGAAGGTGGCGGCCCTTTGATTTATCAAATGATAATGATCATAGAGGATATAGCGAAGAAAAGTAATAGCAAATCTAGCAGTAAATCACCCTCAAATAGTGAAGTTGTTGTTGAAAATACTGAGAAAAAATTAGAGCCGAAGCAATCCTCATTAAAAATTCATCATGGACCAACAATAGTGGATAGAAAAAGCGTATTCCAAGGGCACGTGTGTGAAGTTCACTGTAAGGAAGATGTGAGGCAAGTTTCTTACACGAAAATTTGTTCTTCATCTAATAATTGTATCTTTTTTTAGCGCTTTTATGGAAGAACTTCTTGAAAATAGAAAAATAGCCAATGCTACGCACAATATTTCTGCGTACAGAATACTCCTCCCTAACAATGTAGTACTGCAGGTTGTAATTAACAGGAATTTAATCGTTCGCTTAGTTCAAATATAATTTTTTGCAGGACTGCGATGATGATGGGGAAAACAAAGCGTCTTCCAGGGTTCTCGAATTACTACAAACTTTAAAACTGAATAATGTAATGGTGGTAATTTCCAGATGGTAATTTTTTTCTGAATGACTTTTGAATATGAATTAATATTCTAATTTTAGGTATGGTGGTATTCAACTTGGGCCGGATAGATTTAGGCATATAAACAACGCTGCACGACAAGCATTAGTCGAGTCAGGCTTAATTAAAAGCTGAATTTCTTAATATTAATTTATTGCAAATAAATAATGTTACTGTTGAATGTTGGAACAAATACAATTTTTAATTTATGTATAACGTTACACAAGAAATACGGACCGATACAAATGAATAACTCCAAATTACATTAAAATTACGGTGGCAAATTGTACCTGACCGACTCGTTATGAATTGCTCTAATCAAATCTTGATTGATAGAAAATATGAATCTTAAACAGGCTATTTCTACAACTGCATTATCGTATAAACGAATTTTGTTGCCAGCCATAATCGGTTTACCATCTACAAATATGGGTCTTTTGCCCTCGGAAGAAAGGTAAAATTCACCCGTGTTCCTTAATCTGCAAAAATAAACAAACGTATATCAAACCTCCTAATAAGTAATACATTTAATTCACCTTAAAGTAGCTTGTCTTCGAGAAATCTTATGTGCCGGACCTTCCAAAGACAAATCTATATCGACAACATGACCTTTCCCCGAACGCCCGATACTTATTTCTCTACTTCTCATCAAGTACCTCACCATTCTCCCTCGAAGTACAGCTAGCGTTTGATTATCCAACATGCCCGGACAAACACCAGTCACGCTATCAACCAGCACGTTCCATCTCCCGATCTACAAACCAATTCACAATTACAAAAGTAGGTAAATTGTACACAAACATCGCACCTCGTTCTCCAACTGCCTGATTTCCTTAACGTTCCGCCTTTGTTGCAGCTTCAATTCCCTATCGAGCGACTCGTCCGGAGGATCCGTGAGGTCCGAGTCTTGCACAAACTCTTCCGCATCGTTGAACGTCATTATAGGCCGGCCGGACGTTGGCAGAGGACCCATAGTTTGATCGGGTAGAAGGCTGTACATTTTAAGGCTCTGCCAGTGTCTGAACAACGAAGCGGCTGTTCGACCGGTGTAGAAAACGTCGGGGTGTTGCGAAAGCAGCTCGGCGAACGTTTCGACTGTTGGAGTCGGTGTGGTGTTCTACAAAATAACCGTTTATATATGGTTTTTGGAAGGTATGTTTATATGAATTACCGATTTGATGGTGCTTAATATTTTCTCCTCTTGTTGGCTCCATAAAGCTTTATCTTGAACGGCTGCTATCATGTCGGGGTGTAGATTCCTCATGGCCGATACAGCCACTCTAGACACGGCTTGATCGTACAACAAAGCGTACCATCTCTGCTGGAGCTCTTGCACGGTGAATTTGCAGGAAAATTTCGTGCCTAAATGAACCGTACGAAGATCGTTGGTTTGTTGAACGCCGATGATGAGAGCTAAATCGTCCACGGGCTTCCATCTGCCCAAATCTTTGGCGGTGTATTGACCGCCGAGCTTCCCTCCCTTTTTGCCCCGTTTCGAAGATGTCAGGACGTTCTTCGAAATGTGTTTTCGTTTGGGATCGACGTACGTTTGAGAAGTGGACGGTTGCGGTAGAGCCGGAGGAGTCGATGGAGAAGCCGCTGAGAAGTCCGAATGGGCCGAATGCGTACGAGATCTACCGCTCTAAATGGATGATATTGCATGTAAGTTATCGTTTAAAAACGTTATGACAGCTTCTCACCTTTATATTAGAAATACCGGGCATTCCTAAACTGTATTCAACTAGTTCGTCGTCGAACTTTCTGCGTTTAATCGAACGATTCGAACTAAAAATGAGTGAGTTATAATGGATTTGACAGTACTTAACAAAGGACTTACCTTCGTCGTCTAGTTACATCTGTATTGTCCCCGAGATTGCTTTGAGTGTTTATAGTGTACTCGTTACTAGATTGAATTAAATCAGGTTCGTTTACTAATTCCATTGTTGAAATAATTGTGAATTTATCAAATCAACTGAAGCCGACAACAAAAATAAACACTTCCTTCTAGTTTTCATCGGAAATGTCAATAATGTCATATGTCATGTCGTTCCTTTGAGCAGTGTTGCCAATCGGTTTCTGCATAATATTGGAGGTCTTTTATGTTGATAACATTCAGTCACAGTATAGGGGTGCATTTTGATAGTAGTTTTGGAGGCAATTCAAATACGACAAATCAGTTATATAAAAAAAGTCCTTTTTCGTTCCACTTATTTATTGTAATTAGTGTGTTTACAGAACAATATTTAAATTTTAACAAATACTACAGTAAAAATAAAAAACACCACAAAATCCAATCAAAAAACATCGTAAAAATAATTTCAACTAAACTTAAGTGTTCATTGCATTGATTTTTGCATAACAATAAAAATGATTAATGTTTCGGGACTTAATAAATATAATGTCGTAAACAAAGTAAAATTTGATGCTATAAGGTCACTGTTATAAAACTCAAAAATTTAATTTTCTTCCACTACATCTTTCCATTGGAAGCCTTGTAATCCAAGAACGTCTGCTTCATATCAGCCAGAGCTTGTTCAATTTTCTTCGCGAAGCGGTGACAATTCTACAAAAATTAACCATCAAATAACGCACATTTTTCTGAAAATACTTTACTCACGGTGGTGGGACAGCTTTTCTTGTGAGATATATGGAAGAACAGCAAATCCTCGCCAGCGATTATGTAGGACACGCCGTATCCATCATCAGCCACCGGCCCGAATCCACCTCCGGCTGAAATACACTTCGGATGCTTCTTCAAATCGAGCCGAGTCGTCTGGCCGTGGGGCGTTTGAGACGTCGACAATCTCCAGGGCTCGCTCAAAACCTCTTTCAGAAACGGAGAATCCACTTCGAGGTACTTCGAAACGACGTACAAGCAGAACAAGTGTCTGTCTATGCCTCTGCCGCACATGGCGTCCTGGCAGCTACTCTGAAAAGCGATGGAATACATAAGAATTTGAAGAAACTGGATGCCTTAGATGTGTACCTGATGTCTGTTGCAAGCTGCTCGGAGCAGAGCGATCCTTTCCTCAGGGCTCGAGTTCTTATCTTCCATGGCTTTCACAAAAGCGACCGATTCTACGGATACTGGACGAAGCGTTTCGGTACGGCCTTCTCTATAAAATATAATACAAAACGTTTAATCGAATTTGGATATAATTAGGAAGATTTACCGGTAAAGTCGAGTCATTGTGGCTTCGTACGTTAAACAGAACTTGCCGGCGTCTCTGTAATAGGCCAGCTGCAAGGCCATTTGGATGTAGGCGTCAGGGCTGATTTTGCATGTCTTCATGAAACCTTTGCCGTAGTGATCGTGAACGAATATACGCAAATCCACGTCGTTGATTAGATCAGATGCTACTTGTACTGATTTCTGGATAGCTTCTTGGGCCTCTAATTTAAGTTCCCAGTTCAGGCGGATTGGGGCTGGGGGCACCATGTCCGAACTACCTACTGTGTTACCCTCCTCGTTGTATCTGAACAGAAAAAAAATAATTTATTATACGTTTTTACCTTCTGGTAAGAAAACACAACAATTAGCATGGCTTTTTCCACGTCTACGTGGAACAATAGAAGAAAAAAAAAAGGTGTTGTAGTGTAGTATACAAAAAACTTATTAATTAGTCATAGTATAGTGAGTTATGAATGCATGCAAAAAGTTACAGTGAAAAAATACATACAGTTTGCATGCTAATGTCGAATAATCAATGTGAATCGTTTTTGAAGGAAATTAATTTTTGTTTCGTCAACGGTCTCAAATGAATTTCCTACAATTTTTATATTAATACGAAAATTTAGCACACAAACCTATAGAAAGGAAGGAAATAGAACAAGTAAACAGTATCAGCGACACTCCATCACCACAACATAAACAACACTTTTTTTATTACCGAGTTTCCCAAGTCTCAGCGGTTACCACATACTCCCAAACGTGGGACATCACAGCTGCATCAGCCCTAAAAAACATCAATTTATTAAGGATAAATCTTATTAAGGACATCTTACCAAGAATGCTCAGCATTAAAACCGATGCGTCCATTGCTCGAGATGCAAAGAGTGAAGGATTTATCGAACCACCTGTCATATCCTTTACCGTGGAGTAAATGTCTCCCGTATTTATCGAGTTTCGACGGATCTTTCTGCAATAAAATAATCGATAAAATCTCATAAAAAATAGAAATACTTGTAGATATTACCGGATCGTATTCGTAAGGAACGTTATCTTCCAATGTCACCATGAATGCAGCCCTTTCGATTGTATCCAGAGACGTTTTATTAACCCCTTTGTTGAATAACTGTGCTCTCACGGTGCCCCAATGAGTTCTATCTCCAGCTGTTAGTGCAGCTAATTTCTCTTCGCCGGGCAACGGTTCGGATTCGTTACACAATATTTGTTCGATTTGCCTATTCAACGTTATCAAAATAAACCCGAAGCTATTATTAACGTGCACAATTAACTTACCGTTCGATTTCACAGGGCATCAGTATTCTCCTATTGTAAATGATAACTTTGAAATATCTGCCTCTGTGATAAACGACAATGTGATTGGAATCGAGCAAATGTACAATTTTATCGCATTCTTTACCGGGTATTCGAGTCGTATTGAATATCCTCTCGTATTGCCACGAACAGAGAGGCACGAGACCCTGCACTAAAATCGGCTCCAATTCCTGCCGTTCGACCAATCTACGGAACACCAGCAACGAGTAAATGGTGGAGGCGGCCCGGGCGGCCTGGTTCTTAGTGGGATGCAGCAGCACGGCGTCTATACCGTAGAAATTCGAGTTGATCATCAACGGGGATCTACCCCTGAGGTAAACGTACTCCTCCCACCAATCGGACACGTAGTTCGTAGACCACCAGGATTTTAATATGAGATAGCGTTGCAGCTTTTTGCCTATGCCATTTTCGAATTCGCTCGCCAATTTCTCCATTCTTTTGTATTGCCCGTCGTCCAACAGAGCTCTCACGCTTCTTAAATACTACGAAGCGACGATTAACGATGATGCCGGTAGACTATCTAGTAATAAACTTACTCTTTGCATGGTGTCATGTACATCGGGTAAAGGTAGTCTCGGTAGAGAACCTTGATAGCTATATAATTTCGGTGTATTCCAACCGCTGAAAATTTTTACGCAAAATAACCACACTCTAGTTTTTAGAGATGGTTTACTACCTCTAGCCCTTGTTTCGTACATCCATCCTTTGTAAATAAACAGTAATTTTAGGATGTACCTCAGGATGTAAATTACAGTCAGCCAATACAACAAGGAGGTAAGGAAGCAGGCTGCGATGAACCAAAGCATCGAATCGCTTGAAAAAACGAATAAAACGTTCAATGAACCGTTGTACAAACGCGACTTGAATAAGTATTTACCTTGGAAGAACGCGCAAAAGTTTGTTAGTTACATCAAAAGGCACCGAAACGTCCATCCATGCCATCGCTGTTACTAAACCCATCAACAAGAAGAGGTATCTGTAATGCCCAGGATACACCCCATTGTGGATGCTATTCTGCAAATTCATACAAAATTAAAATTCGCACTTACTACTTAAAGCATCAATTAACAGCGACCGGTTGGACCACTGAAGGTCGCAATTGCATGTAATTAACCGCAGCGAAATTATTAGAGTAATTATCGCGTACATAATTGCGCCGCAAAACCTAATTACCCACCTGAAATCGAGCCACCCTCTTCTTCCAGGATCGAATGCCCGATTGCCAGACCAAGTGCAGCACTTCCCTGTCGAAGTTCACGTTCAACCCTTCGTGGGTGATGGCAAACGAGAAAGCCACAGCAGAATGGGCCTCCGCCATACTGATTAAACTGGAACAATTCATGTGTTATACCCAAAGTTCTTTGAGTATCTTTAAACAGAAAAACTACCGGATATTTTATGCTGTAGATCTCCCAGGAGATTCTATTAAGATACTTTGCATGTACATGTTATAATAAGCGAGGCAATTTGAATTAATTTCGTTGTAATTAACGAGCTGCGCGCGAATTTAAACTATGCAACGATCAAATTGAATTATCAACCTGTTGTTTGCGTATGTGATAGGACACAGTCACAAGGATGTTCCGAATGTAAACAAAACGATATATTTTAAAATCGAGACAACACCAATAACATATCGTTACATATTATTACATTACGAACTGTGCAAAGTGCAAAGTACGTTTCTATGAATAGGAATCTGCGCTCCTGTCTCTTCTTTTGGACGTGTAAAAAAATCCCATTATCTAAACACGAAAATTATTTGATGATGGGATGTACACGCAACAATCGACCCACGTGAATAAGGATAATTATAAATTAAATTGGCCGAATAAAGTACTGAACATAGTCTCTTCAAAGTCAGTTGAATATTCTATGGGAGCTACTAAGACAGCTCTTCTGGAAAATACCTGACAATGAGTTACATTTGTGTATTTTTGTAAATACATGATTGAGTCAATAAAATTTGAATTAATAACACCAGTCAAATTGAATATAGTTTGAATACAATACGAGCCCATTCTAAATAGAAATGTAGGAGTTTTTTAGTTCATATTGAAATTAATTTTAGTGGATTATGGTTTATAAAACACTTTAATTGGATACCTACGCGTCTAAAAGTAATTTAAAACGTAATTATTTATAATTGGCAAAACTAAAGAGTGCAAATAATTACTGATTTCGGTATTTCCAATAACCGTTTCAAGTACAATGCTTTAATAGGTATCTTATCGGTATTGTAAATAAAAACTGTTCGATAAAAATTTGAGTTTTTGTGTGTTATAGGTGCAATTCACGTGTAACTGTAAAAATCCAAATTGAACAAGCGACCTGTGAAAAGTAGGTTAAATGAAGATTTTTCGAAACTCACCTGTTGATACTACAGCAAATTGAATCGCACTATTCTCAATCTTAACACAATTTTAAATAGATGTACCAAATACTGCCGAATTTACGAGAATGAAAAATTCGGCATTCCCCAAAAATAAACTAATTAAACGCGCAAAAAGAATGGTCGTTTATTTTCGAACGTTTACAAAGTTATTTCATGTAAAAGAAGGGAATCGTTTGATTCGAACCGATGAAATTGCCACACAAGCACCTTTCCGCGAATTAAATCGACTACCATTACCTTCCTTCTACTCGTGAAAACTCTAACAAACTAACATTTACCGTTTATAGTTTACCTACGTAGGTATCATATGTCGTCTCGGTAAATATCCGTTTTGCTTCCTTGTTTTCAATTCTCCCCCTCATCGTCTTATTGACATGTTCGCTAAAAACTGCCTGATGCAAATGAACTAATTCTAATTACAGGCACAAATCCAAACTAATTTTAGTAATTTATACGATTAATTCATCAATTTTTGTACAAATATGAGTAATAACGCAATTATCGCGATAAATTATTTGAATCGATACATATTATTAGAAATTATAAGTTGGATTCTTTTCTGTAATTAGACATTTTCAAGTGGAATTTGACATTTCAGATGACACGTGACACACTTGACTATTGACAGTGATGACATCAAAATTTTCCTGTAATCTTTCGTTTACACACAGCGTTTTAGAGTCGAGGAACTCTTTGTTCCTTTTTGGCGAATTTCGAGTTTCGCAATTATTTTTCCCTCATTATAATGGTTATTTGCTTCCTATAAACGTTATCTACAAAGTCAGTAGCCGGTACAGCTTCACGGATCACTTTATTAATCTCGTTGCAGGTTCGTCTCAAGCTAAGGTAATTTCTAAAAAATCATAATGACATCTGGCAACAACATTGAGCAGGAATACGTGGAGTTAAACACTAAAAACGAATGGCAAATTCTCTACCAGGTAATGCGAACAATTTACGCTACTTATGAACTATTTATATCTAATTGCACGAAACGCGTTAGCTCACATTTCTCGGAAACGCAATCACTGAAAGTTGATTATTTACAGAAAATCCGTTCTCAAAGTCAAACCGATAACATGTGTTCAGAGGCTGTTAAATCCGAGAATAAACTGTTGAATAGGTATAGAGATGTGAATCCGTACGATCACAGCAGGATAGTATTAAAACGCGGTCCTACCAATTACATCAATGCAAACCTTATTAAAGTAGAAAAGGCCAACCGGCAGTACATTCTGACACAAGGACCGTTGAGCAACACGTATAGTCACTTCTGGTTGATGATATGGGAACAGCAATGCAAAGGGGTAAGAATGTACAATCGCATCACTCGAAGGAATTAATTCGTTTCGTTCGCAGGTAGTAATGTTGAATAAACTGGTAGAGAAAAGGCAAGACAAATGTTATCAATATTGGCCGTCCAAAATCGGTCCCGAACACAAGATGCAACTGACAGACGTCGGATTGACCGTAGAGTACCTCGAACAAAAAGATTATTCCTATTATTTAACGCGGCTGCTCAGACTGACCGATACGGAGAGCGGCAACCACCGCGACATACTGCAATTCCACTACACCACGTGGCCCGACTTCGGGGTGCCCGGCTCCCCAACGGCCTTCCTCGAGTTCCTGCGCAAAGTGAGAGACGCCGGCGTGTTGGAATCGAACGTGGGGCCCGCCGTCGTTCATTGTTCCGCTGGCATCGGACGGTCCGGTACATTCTGTTTAGTCGATTCCGTTCTAATTTTGGTACGTCTACTTTGTATTTATTGTTGAATGTACTGAATATTGTTAATTATAGATCGATAAGTATGGTATAAATTCGGTGGACGTGAAGGAGATTTTGTTGGAAATGAGGAAATACAGGATGGGGTTAATACAGACGGCCGAGCAATTGAGATTCTCGTATCAGGCTATTATCGAAGGCACAAAATCTGGTGGAAATATTGATGGAAAAGGGGTGAGTTAAATAATTAATAACGCACATAATTTAACTAACAAATTTGTAGATATGTTGCAGTCGTTAAAATGTAATTCATTTCAGGAATTAATCGTATAAAATTAACCGTGATTATACCTTCCCCGCCTTTCCCAGGTATCACCCTAAAACCGATTACTTTTCGTGTCGATCATAATCGATATGTAATGTATAATTTTTTTTGTAGGAAAATCACATCAACAACGTATCAACGGATGCATCGAACGTAGAAGACAACTCCGAGTCCGAAGAAGACGAAGTACCGCCGTTGCCTCCTCCTAGGTTGGACAGCCTGCCAAGGCCCAACGGGACATCGGTCGATAGGCCTCTTCCTCTCATTCCCAACAGCGCTTCCGATCACGATTGGAACTATCAAAACAAAGACGGCGACGAAGAGGTGAATTAAATAAATTCGCGAACGAAAGTTCTGAGGAATTAATTGGATATATTTTTGCAGAATTACATTCCGAGCGGGCCCTTACCGGTGGTGCCGGGAGAGGACGAGCTGAGCGAAGAAGACGAACTCGAAGAGGAAGATGAGGACGACGCGAGGTCGGAGAGTTCGCTGTCGGATCGATCGGATACGACGAACACGAAATCGAGGTTTGTCAATCGAGTAATTAGTTAATTATTCGTTTAACGAATTGTTGGTTACGCTTACAGCTCGCCGACTGAATTGAGACAACGAAACAGATTGGAAAGGAAAGAGAAACTGGAAGCGCAAGTGAGGGACATGAAGCGCCGCCAATTGGTCAACGAGCAGTGGACGCAACTGAAGAGGTCTTTATACTTACCTTTAGTTTTAGGGGGCACCCTGCTTTTGGGTGGGGGTCTCATTGCTTACGTTTATTTCAAAAATTGAACAAGATCAAAAGTAAAAAAAAAAACGAAAACATAAGTAACGCACTACTTTTTCTATATTTATTATTTACCAGCTGATTTCATTATTTTGTTAAATTTTAATTACGGGGGTTATCGCATTTGTTTTTATTTATTTTTGCGTTTTGCCCTCTTATTTTCACTTGTTAGATACTTGCCATTGTTATGTGAATTAGCATCAAATTCTAAGCCTACTGCCTTTGAACGAATCGATATACAGGGTGTTTCTTTTTGTTTATAAATTTCACCCCATCGGTTAGTTTTACATAGAATGGGGGCAAAAAGATACAACAAAACGGGTGCTATGACTCCTTTTTATAACATTCAGAAAACGAGTAATAACTACATATTTTGTACTATTATTTAAGTATCAAGTGGTCATAAAAATGTTTAAATAGCACTGGCAACTTTATTGTTGTAAGAAAAAAAAATAGAACATATCAATAACTCAGTAAATTAACGTTACATATAAATAATGGTTTAGTCTCGTTGTTTCAAGTATTTATTTTTTTGCATTTCACTTTTCGTGTTAAACTTTAATGTATATTATATCCTATTATTAGTCCAATCAAATTATTATGTTGAATATGATAAGTTTAAATTTGCACTAAGAAATTGAAGGGATAAGAGGACTAGAAATGAATATTTTTATAATGTTCTGGAATGATTGATAAACATGTGATATGAGAAATAACTTAATGTTTACTAGATATATCCAGTGGTCAGAAGGTTTGATTATTCGTGCGGGGCGTAATTATTTTCTATATTTTTTTATAATGTTAAATTTTGATTCCTTTCGCATTTAATCTTTAATTATTTAAGTTATGTTGGTATACCCGGTTACAATAATTTTGTCGCATATAAGATAAAAAATTTCGATATTTTTTGAGTGGCTGAATTCTCAAAAATGGTAGTTTATTTGCGTTTAACTGGCGTACTTTTTGTTGGATAAAATTCGTGACTTAGTAAGATCAAATCTTCTGTGATGAAACGTGGCACATTTGAATTAAATGAAATTACTTCTTGTGGTAGGCTGAAAGACAAGGTTAAAGACTGAAAAAATAAAAACAATTACTCCCAACGTACAATTCAGTATTTTTGTCATAATTTTAAATGTTTCGTTGACTAAAAGAATTTTGGACATTGTTCATTTGATGTGGCAATTCATCTCGGGAAACTAATAAATATCATTTCTGTAAATAACTAGTTCTAGAAGTGGATCAATTTCGTTTCGAAATCAATTGAATGTGTCCATTAACAATAGGGTTTTTTTTGTTTAAAGGTTAATAAACATATAAACGGTTTCATTCGCAGATCGATGGTTCACATTAGTTTAACGCCTTTACACTCTTTAAAATTTGATATACCGACTCTATATAGATTGAAAAAAAAATACTATTTATTAGAAAATTAAACTTATGTGAACTGCGTAGCTATGTGTGATGGCGCTTTTTAGTCTAAGGAAATGTTGGAGATAAACGAAAAAATGCCAACTAATATCAAATTTGATAAGTATTAGGTACTAATAATGCATTAGTAGATGAGGTTTTTTAGGATTATTTCTCCCAAATTAAATCGTTTCCGTTACTTACGAGTGAAATATAATTGATATCTAAGCAATAGTAGGCGAATATTGAGAAATTAATGAAGCAGGGTGTTTGGTAGTTTTTAAAAACTTTTTGGAAAATTGAGTTAACAGAAAAACCATTTTAAGTGCCTACACAATCCGCTATCGAAAAAGAAAATTGCATTTTGACAATATTGGATAAGTTTTTTTGTTGTTTATTCAGAAACTATTGTGACAATCGGTTTATAAGATTTTTTACTCGGACCGATTAAATAAAACTTTATTGTGATTATTTACTATTTTCTCTAGAACTTTTATTCAATAAAAATATATGAAAAGCCAATAGAACAAATTGTTTAATATACCTAGGTTTCTCTTACAGGCCTAAAACATCACATCAAGACTGACATTTGAATTTTTTTTGGAGAAGACTGGACTTTGAGAATTTCAGGTTAGTTGAGGACAAATTTTGTGGTCTTACCTTCTAGTTAACTAGTCAAGATTTTCCTCCTTCTTTTTTTATTAGTTGTTTTAAAAAATGTTAATAATTAGCAGTATGTCATCCGAATTGTACAATCTAACAGTAAGTCGAAATTTGTGGCGTTGTTTGCAATAAAATGTATTTTTTATTATGAGTTTATAAATCTTGGGAATCTTAAAAGTGGAATTTCTCGTTCATATTCGACTTTGTGATAGGCACTCTTTCTTTTTAGAAAATTTGATTCACTTTTATGATTCCCCAAACTGCGTTTAACTACTAGGAAATGTTTGTTGTAAATAAAAAGTTAATTTCGTTTTTAAAGTAATCAAAAATCGGAACGATTCCGAAACTTCCACCTCGTTTTTATATTATCGAGCGGACCCTTTACAAGCACTGTATCGAATGTTAATTATATGTAGGAATTTTTAATAAAACGAATAGTTCCGACCGCTATAAAATTACAAAATATATATCAAGAACTGAAGTAATGCTTAATAATTTCTGCGTCCCTTCTCAACCAAGCCGAGCTGATGCCGACGTTCTCCAACACCTGCTGCACAGCCTTGTCTATCCAACAGTTGCTGGTTTTGCCGAAGAACTCCTCCAGCTCTCCGAGCTTGCGCTCCGAGGCGAATTTACCGGCGACCTCTTTGATCAAATTTTGCAGGAGAGAACCGGCCGTGAATTTTTTAGCTATCGTCTCCCAGTTATCCTTGATGAACTCCCAAGTCAGTTCTCTTCCTGCGGCCGTTTGCGAAGCCGCTATCAAAACCAAAACGCCGTCTTGAATCTTCACGTGATCCTACAAAAATACAATCGAATACAAAAAGGTAAGTGTATAGTAAAACGGACATACGGATAAAGAAAATTGGAGTAAATCGGCTATCAATTCCGCTTGTTCGGTGGCGCCCAGTCCGCTAACGATTCTCAGTTTCTCCTCGTTCAAATCGCTGGTTTTGTACAATCGAAACAAACTTTCGAAATCCTCCTTCGAGCCGGAGGAGATTACGATTTTGTAGCAAGCCACTCTTAAATCGGCCGGTAGTATTTTCTCGCCGTTAACGTGCCGCTCGAATCTTCTCCTCGCTTCCTTAGTAACCTCTTCGTCTCGTATGGAAGACATGTGAGCTAGCAGTTTGCCTCTCAAAAGACTGTCGATTTGAGAGTCATTATCCCTCGGTTCCCAGCCGATGGACTCGTATATGCCTTTCAACAGTCGCTTCTGATACTGAAATATTCTAATAATAAAAATGGGTTGTTTATAATAAGTGTTTTCTTACACATCGGAAGCCTTTACTGCATTCGGAGTAATCCAAGAGCGTTTGTAATTTACTTAGTATAGTTACGATGGAAATCCAGACGTTTGAGTTCGTTTCTTGCTTGTAATTCTGGAGGAAATCTAGCAAAGCGTCGGTTTTCATGTAACCCGCTTTCACCAATGCATAGATATCTTCCAGCAAACCCAATCTGTGAATGAAAACAATTTAAATCGCTATAAACAGTTTCCGAGTGGCTGCGTTACCTATCCAAAGGTGGCATTCGGCGATTTCTGATATCAACTGCAAATTTATCTAGCATTTCATTTGTGTATAGTGTCCTGTAGAAACCGACTACACCCGGATTAATTTTAATCCAATCGGTAGGTTTTAATCCAGTTATAGTCTTCTCGATAGATTCGTTAGTTAGGAGTAGATTTTCATGAACTTCCGGATTTTGGCTGGTTGAAATCGATATCGGAACCATCCAAATATGTTTTTCGGTGGATTGAGAACCGTCAGAGTTATATTTCGTTTGAGACAGTTTAATATTAACCCCATTTTCTACATCTAAAAAGCGAGATTGCATTCGAAAGTTACAATGAGTAGGAGTGCATACCGTGAGTTTCTACTTTAATCAATGGAAAACCCAATTGCTTGGTCCATGTGGACATTATCCTCGCCACGGGTTGTTTACTAGCTTCTTCTAGAGCACTCCACAAATCCTCAGTAGAAGTATTTCCGTATTGGTGTTTACTCAAATACAAACACATCCCTTCCCTGAACTTCTCCTCTCCGATAAACTGGTGCAACATTCTAATCACAGACGCTCCCTTATTGTACGTAATAGCATCGAAAATCTGGTTGATCTCCGACGGATTATCCACGGGGACCTCGATGGGATGCGAATTTTTTAAACCGTCCAATTCCAGCGCGGCCAGGAAGTAAGTATTGACGAATTGCGACCAAATATCGTACTCGGGGTAAAGGTGGCTGGTGACCAGAAATTGCGTGAAAGTGGCGTAGCCTTCGTTCAACCACAAATCCGTCCACCACTTCATAGTCACCAGATTTCCGAACCACTGATGGGCTAATTCGTGTGCCACGACAAACGTGACATCCTGCTTGGTAGCAGTCGATGAATTGTCCGGGTCTATCAACAATCGCTGTTCCCTATAAAACAACAATTCATTCATTCATCGAGTAATTAAACTATTGAATATGCGTAATAACCTGTATGTTATAAGGCCCCAGTTTTCCATGGCTCCATAGCTCAAACCGGCCACGGCTACTAGATCTAATTTGGGCAACGGGTAAGCTATTTTAAAGTACTCCTTGTAGTAATGGAGTACTTTTGTAGCGACATCTAACGCGAATTCGCCTAGATGTTTCTTTTTCAAGGGAGTGTATACTCTGATTAAAACGCCATCGGTTTCTTTTTCCACATATTCGAAATCGCCTACTACGAATGCCACTAAATAAGTGGACATCTTCGGAGTACTCGCAAAGGTGTACCTAAAAAAGTCATCAAATTATTACAATATTTGTAGTTTATTAATAGTAGAGTACTTGGTAGAATTCTCCGATGGAATACTCTTAATAACGGATGTGTTAGAAAGTGTAGTGCGTTTGTTAGAAGTTAATTCTATATCGAATGTGGCTTTAAGGGCAGGCTCGTCCCAGCAGGGGAAACATCTCCTTGCATCGGCAGGAGCTAATTGAGTTACTGCTGAATAAAATTGTTGTCCTTTATCGTCTGTGTATTTAGTTCTGAAATTTTAAATAAATTACCAGTTTTTTTTAATCTTATTGTGGAATAAAGGTACCTGTAAAATCCTCTCATATTATCCTCGAGATTTCCTTCGTACTCTATGTATAAATTATAATTTCCTTGCGTAAGGAGCTTATCGAAATTGAGGATAACTTTTTCTTCGTCAACGATGAATTCAGTTTTAACTGGTTTATGTTCAGCATGATTGCTCAGTAATTTTACAGAATGGAAATTTAAATTTAATGAATTCAACGTAATCTTGTCAGTTGCCTCTTTGATCTGCAATTAAGTTATTTAGTTTCATTGAGGATATGGATTTGTTTGCTCACCTCAATATCGATATTAATTTTTCCGGTAAATTTAAATTTTTCCAAGTCCGGCAACAGGTGAATATTGTAGTGTTTTGGAATCACCGAAGCGGGTAGTTTTTGAAATTTTTGTTCCATTGCCATTTTGTACCGGTACAATTTGTTGGGAAACTGCAATGACAAGCTGAGAGCTTTGTGTAAATAGTACTTAATCATCAACAGATAACAAAACACTTGTACAAACTTACGTTATCAACGAATCAATATAAATTTCTACTGTTTATCGGAAAGTAAACAAACAGTTAACCTCACAAAATTAAGCGTTTGACACTTGATTTGACTTTGAATTTATTTGTCCCTGAACTTGAACTTCTGGTGTAGTAGTTCTGATGAATTTACATTTTTTGACAATCCGAATTCTACTCAACGAGTAACTAACTTGGCTAGTGCACAAGAGGCCACAAGTTATAAAGAAGAAGAATTTTACTGAACTGATTGATTTATTTGTTGGAGGCCACACAACGAAATTCGCTAATTGCTCAGCGACGTCACTGACAATAATAATTAGGGGTTTCGATGCCCTAGGTAAATTACTTGATGTTTTTTAACAATCATAAAAGTGAAGCAAATAATTCTCAAAATAATGTATGTATTTATTTTAATAGAAAAATACAATTTTGAATGTCTTAGGGGTACTGGAAAACTGGACACTGAAACAAAACATTTTTAATTGTCGGGTGGATTAATTAAAATAATCTACTTACCTCAGGATCAATTAATTGAATGTGCGCCAAACATTTCATAAATTCTGCTGCTATGTCGCATCTAGATTGATCTGTCTCGTTTATAGTTCGTTCTAAAAAATTGTAAAATACAACCCAAAACCACAATTTTAAGTATTAACTTTCTACCTGTTTTTCCAACGTTACTGGCTAAAAATTGTTGATGAGCACCTGTAATAAAGAATTAATTATGCATTAATATAATTCAATAAGATCCAATTCATACCTAAAGACGTTTTTAACTCCCCAGCGCAAAATTGAAGTCTATCCAGCAAACTTAAAGCTTCCTCGTACTTAACATTCCTCTTCACCCATTTGGTTAATCTCTCTTCGCACGGAACATCATATTCCGGATTTATCTAAACCAAATATCTTATTAACATTTCCATTTAACCGATTAGACTCGCTCACCAAATTCATCTCCTTGAAAATGCAGTAGTAATAATCGCATTTCTGCGGCGGCTCTATCTCTTCCGTCTCCAATCCCAGGCTCTTCTTAGCGAAGTTCAACACTTTCTTTTGCGTGTGTGAGATCCTTTCTATCACTTGGACCTTCGACGTCCAGCAAACGTCCTCGGCTCCCAGCAGAGTGCGAGATCTATCGCAGCTGATGCAAGACACCTGCAACAATAGAACTTATAATAACCCTACCATAAAAAAATAATTGTAATGAATGGTGAAATAAATCAAATTGATACCTCATTAGTGATAATAGCCACGAAAACCAGCGTAAAAACGATAAGCATCTTGGCGAGCGATTTTAATCTAAACTCAATTACTCTGTGACTGATTCCGCACAGAGTATTCATTCGTTTATAAATAATTTTTAGTTGCTCCTAAATAAATTGATGCATATTAGTTTCACGGTATGCCGGTTTAATGTATTATTAGTTTCGATTCGATAACCGCCCATTATTCTTGTTTATCTCGTGCATTCGGGGACTTAATTAAAGTGCGGAAGATCGAAATATGTCGTTTTATTCAACGGTAATTGTTGATTACGAAGCAAAAAAACCCGAAACATCTTCAATTATTGTTAACATGTTATCTAATAAAATCTCCCAGAATCCGTAGAGGTCACTTTTTGACCTACAAATTTGCCAATTTTGACCGACAAGTATACCAATTTTAACCTACAGATTTTAACCTATTAAGAGAAATACAAGTAAATGAAACTCAAATTAATAAAAAATGTTTTATTCTTAGTTTCATATAAATTTAAGCATAGATATAATTATATTTTGCAGAATTATAATTATCCGTTGGATGGAAAATTAACCAAATACTCCTACAGCAGTTTCAGCCAATTTTTCAACAATCACTTTGAACAAATATTTGGCGACTTTCTTTACAACTTTCATTAGGGATGATTCCCCATCATCCTCTGCCTCTCTTTTGCTCACAATTCTCCCCGTTACGTCTCCTCGTACTGAAACGAATCGCAAAAATTATCCTTAACTAAAAGGACCTAATTTGTAATTTACGTCGAGGAATATTTTGCAGAGTTCAATAAAATGCCCGTCGGTTCAACGGTTAATCGGATGATTTATTAGCAACAAACATTTTACAATCGAGTTTACTTAGTTCTCGGAGGAATTGATCCATTTAAGGAACCTCTGGAGCAAATCCACGACGAATTTGGCCGCTCTATCGAAGAACCCGTCCTTCTGGGGCACCTCCTCCACGTCTCCTTCGCCGTTGATGTCGATGTCCATCTCAGATTGGCGCTTCTGTCTCGCCACACTGTTATCTGAAACAAACAAAATACGAAGGAAGGATAAAAAGGTTCGAGTTACCGAGCAATCTCTGCAAAATATTCCGGTTTCGTGACGTTAGAGCTTTTACCTATCAAACCCGAGTGCTCGAGGGCGCCCAGGAACTCCTTGTCCTGCGACAGGAACTCCACCACGCTCCTCTTCAGGTCCTCTTCATTGTTGATGGCTCTCGGGGCCTGCGAATTGATGCAATGTATTAAAATGTAATCGATGTTTTCTAGCGATTTCTTACCCCTGACACTGAGCTCAAAACCAGCAGGACCAAACTGGTTGCAAGGACAGCTTTCAAGTGCATGTTTGAACTGTTTGGTATTGAATTAACAATCGGATTGAACTTGAAATTGGCGAATTATTTCAATTTATATCGGGTTTGAGAGGATGTCGCAGTGGCGGGTACGGTGGGAAAATGTTTAAGCGTAATTTGGATTTGTTTTAGGATAATCCGGAATGGAGAAGATAAGAAGAGAAAGTATGGAAAGTTACTGGATATGCAAGAATTAAATGTATACAAGATGGTAGTAATGTGGAGTTTTTTGAATATTTTGAGTACTTAACCGAGAAGTAAGTAACCTCCAAATTAGTCCAAATTCTGGATTATCTGGATAATAATGTTTCACTGGAGTACTACTAATTTTTAAGACAAGTCTACGTTTTATACCAAAAATGAATTCTCAAAAAAACAATAATAAAACAACGCATGAAAAATCAAAATCCTGCTGGATAATACCTATAAATCTGAAAGCTATTTAAACCGATTCAAGAATCCGCCAGTGGAAATCGCCTGTCGCTTATTACCGTGAATTAATTACATAATCAAGCGGGTTTATTACACGTTTTGCATAATTGTATTTTTTACTCGGAATCGATGGGCATGTTCGGTCCCCTTCCGGTGTTACCTGTACAACTTGTCATCAAAACGAATCGACATTGAATTATCCGATGCCATTTACGCGCTCATTTGTGACAGGAAAACCGCTTTCCATCCAACTCATCTAGCCAATTTCATCCGATACAAACTTTTAGAATCCACCAAGAGCGGAGAAAAATTTACCCATTAATAAATCTTCAATCTACAAGACTCTCTAAAACTCTAAAAGGTATTGGCGAATGATGTGGTAGACTCATACACTTAAATAGCCAATCCTTTAGAATTCTTTCATTATGGAAAATTGAGTCAGTGTCTAAAAAATACAAGAATTTGGAAGAGTCCAGTTAGTCCACGACTCTCTAGATATTGTGGAATGGTCTAGTAGATTCATTTAGAAGAGTACACTTATGTAAATAATTACAACCCTTTAGAATTCCTCAATTATGGAAAATTGAGTCAATTACTAATAAATTCCAGAATTTGGAAGAGTTCAATTAGTCCATGAGTCACCAGAAATTATGGTATAACTGATTCTTTTAAAAGAGTATTACTAAATTGCTCGGTTAATAAAGGATCTAACAAACGAGGATATCATAGTGTAAGATGGGTTGCCTATGCATTAGGTTAATATGCAAAGATTGTCCTGGAAAAAGGAGTTCCAGGGACTTGCGCATTAAGAAGAAACGAGTGCGACGCTATCGAACGAACGAGGCGAAAGAAGACGGCTATAAAATAGTAAGTCCACGTTAAATCAGGTCAAGAATAATGAACGGTGGCGAAACAACGAAACAACATCATTGAGAAGTCGTTGTCGGTTGCGGTACGATCGGTGTTCGCTCGAAATTATCGGAAATTTGTGCGTGAAATGCCGCTGAACTAGCCGCAAAAGACTTATCGAGAGTTTCGGAGGGTTTTTTTAAGGTCGATTCGCAATGGCTTTGGGAAACGGGAGCGCCGCTAACGGGGGTGTTACCCAGGAGAAGGCCCCGGTGGTCAACGGGACCAACATGGAAACGCTGCCCAGGGCTGGAAAACAGGTAAAATTCCCTCGGTTAGTTGCGCCATTAGAACAAATTGCCGGCCTTAAAAGGAACAAGCGAGGATAAGTGTTATGTAAACTGGTTAGCACTTCGGTACTGGTACTATGTAAGTCGCGAAATGTTCGATTGCACGGGTAAAACCGGCTGCTATTAACGTTAAAATCTAAATATAAATACTCATAAGTCGAGTTCTGAAGTCCATAACAACAACTCCAGCACCTGAATGTTTCGTAAATTGTGTGTTAAATTATGTAGTTTTTATGCAGGATTGGGAGTTTATCGGCTTTGTTTAGATAAGAGCTTAATTGTTATGCGTTTCAGTTCGCGAATACTTTCTACAAATCTTCCTCGGTTAATATTTTAAACATGTAGGTTTCGAATATATTGGAGAATTTTTGCTGTACATACCATACCTACGCTTTGCAATTCATTTATAATGTTCGAATGCGAATACTTTCTAGCAAGGAAAGTGTAGGAATATCAATAACGTTAATTAGCTCTTGTAATGTGGATAAAATTATCAATTTAACTCAATTCCTTCGATTGTCCCTAACCTAATCAATCTTTCTTTGGGCGTAAACCTATTACAAACCCTACTTTAACATACTAAAACAATCTCTTTAATATTTTTTTTTATATTTCACCTTTTTTTTGTACTGAAATGAAAACAAACCCTAATTTCGAGCACTTCGAACCTCCACCTAATATCCCAATTCGCGTTATCCCCATCGCATGGGCGCGCTCGATCTATTTTATTTTTAATTAATCTCGATCAAAACTGATATGAGTCATGTATTTAGAGCTTAGAGGTCGTAATGTGCCGCATGCATGCCATCCCTCGTCCACTATCCGGCTTCCTCGCCACGTGTCCTGGCATAAATACGCGGATAATCGGAAAAAATTAATCAAAAATACATCCCCTGCTCTATTATCTACCATTCTAATGCTCAAAAACGCACCCCGAAATAGTAGAGTAGAATAATCAGTAGAACGATAACTGAAAAATATCGCTTATTTTGTAACAGTCGTTACTGCACCTCTACACCCAAAAATCGATTCCCACCTCTATTAAATTTATGTCATACGAAATGTCATTAATGGCAGTTTTGACAGTTTATGTTTCATGTATCATCGAACGCATCTTATTCTTGTACAATGCGATAATTGTAATTTTTCGTAGAGTATAAAAGAATTAATTAAGAAAAATCTGTAAGTTTGCGTGTAAATTGAATGGCCTCACGTTACAAAAAAAAATAACCGGTGATCTAAGCATCCCCAATTGTTCAATTGAAGAGTTCAATAAGGTCCTTCCTTATTAGCCCCGCTTTTGCAGCAGCTTCGGATCTTTTGCGAACGAATTGATTAATAAATAAGCGCACAAAGCGAATTACTTGCCCCGCTTTAATTCGATCGAGTTTAATTAAAAACCTCTAAATCCTATTCCTTTCGGACCCGTAACTCATCCAATTGGAAATAGTTGCAACCGGCTATATTTAGAACGAATTAAAGGCGGGTAATTGATTGTTAAATCTGTAAATAAACCGGCTTACTTGAGAATTTTATCGCCTAAATATTTTGATGTTAATAAATCATCGAATTGGCGCGTTTGAACGCGAAATTAATTCGTAAGATCACAAAGAAAAAAGGAGAATAAACGCAGAGATATATGTGAAGTGCGGTATGATTTTAGTCTAAATTTACACGTCCTGAGTGCAATCACACGAAATATACACTGTAATTTTGGATATTTAAATCAGTACGAAAATCTTCTACAGACCCACAGGTATAGCTGAAGATGTCAAATCGTATAAGTTTAGTATACAATTAAGAAAGTTGTAGGTACAATAGAATTTATTTGACACATTATTTACAATTGTAAGTACCGTTATGGCGAAGGAAATGGAAATTATTCGTGAAGCATTTATTTCGATCGATCGTAAGACCTTAACGCCTTAACCCATTATTATTTACGATCCGCAGCGAGTATGTCGGTATTAATAATTTACAAAAATGGTGTGTGTAACGATTATTATTAGCGCAAATTTATTATTAATAAGGTCTATAGATTTCTTTCGCCTTATATACTACAATAGAGGGTGTAAATTGCACTTTTCTCTTAAGTGCTTAAAGATCTTATCAATACTATCACACTAATGAATCTGTGAGTGCTAGTTTTGGTGAGATTCCTAAAGAATTTGCATTATTTTCGTTGGTTAATTAATTCCAGTATGTACATAAATAATCGCGCTGGAGCATTATTAAAATTAAGTTTATAAAAATAACTTTGGAGTAACAAACGGCATGACGTAACCGCTTATATAGCATTCGAAAAAACCGACCTTGGATACTGGAATCGTCGTAAACTAGTTAATTATGCTCGCATGGGTTTTAATTCGATGCGAATTCTAAAAAAAATTAAAGCGCTCGAAAAAATCAGAAGTGGGACAACTGCGACCTTTTCGGCGGTCCTGTGGGCTGGTTAATTTTAATGACCTCGCTAATGGTAACGTTAGATATTATTATAAACCGTGTGCAATATTGATAATCGATTAAACTCCGCGAAATTTACGTAAATATCGCATCACTGATTCATCTCATAATTAAAAACACAAACTTGCAATACGTAATGATCTAAAAATAATTAAAGCATTTTCCTGCATTATTATGCGATTGTACGAATTCCAAATCAAGCGAAAACCTACCAATAAATTACAACACCATTACCAGTACCCCGTTTGTAATGTAACCGGACAAAATTCGACAGTTAAAATATAAAAAAGAATTGATCAACATCCTGTATATTGAATACACCGAGCTATACTCTACTTTAAAATGACAAAGCTGCATTACGCCAACTGTAACTGACGTGGAATTTCTTTCTTTTTTCGGTACGTTCGTTCACCTCTTCACGCCGGAGGAACATAATGCGCCCGTGGTTTCGTAGCCACGTGGGTCCCCCAGGTATCCGTAACGACAAATATTTTTAGTGGATTCTATCGCATACAGGGCGATTTGTTGACCTAGAAAATGCCGTTTTTTACATACCTCGATTAGACCTGGGGCTCTTCGAAGATGGTATATTGTATTTGTGATTAGTAGGCGAGATTTAAAGGTGAAATTTTGCATTCAGGAGATGTGGGGCTCTTCGAAGATGGCGCTCATAGAGATTTCAAAAGTTTCTCCAATACATTGAGTTTAGCGATGGATATTTTTAAGAGGATTTTCCTGCCCGTTTCGTTGGCGAAGTACCTACTCGTTTATAAGGGTTGTAACGATTAAATAGGGCGCTGAGCGGCAAAAGGAGGGCGAAGTAGGTCAGGTCGGGACCGAAGGGCACGTTCGCTTTATAATCTCTCCCGACTCGAATCGATTTTGATCCCGATCCTGTTTCGTACACTCGACCGAATTTATTCGTTTGCTTGCGAAAGAACGTTGAGGAGGATTGATAATTATTAGGTAATGGCGATTTGGAAGTTCAATAATCGCCTAATTATCTGCGCACGTAACCTACTAACCCGGTACAACTGATTAAAAAATGTACACGTAATTAAAGTATCGTTTGCTTATAGTAATTCCTACGCGATTAAACGGTATCTCGTACCGAAATTCCGCCACAAAAAATTTGTTACCTGCTTGCTGCACTGATCCCATGTAGGAATTCCACACCCTACTCTCCTCTAATCTACTCTATTTGCTAACATTTTTCCGCATTGTACGCAAACATAAGTGGAACTTTAAGATGCGTTCGATGATACATAAATGGAAACTGTCAGAATTGACATTTCGTATGACAGATGTTTATTGGAGGTGGGAATCGATTTTTCGGTGTAATAGAGGTGCAGTAACGACTGTTATGTACAAATTAAGCGTTATTTTGCAAATATAGTTCTCCTCTGATTACTCTCTGTTCTACTCTAATTATCTACTCTACTCGCACAGTTAAGGGTAAATTACGATCCAGCAGTTAATTATTGTTTTGGTGGGGAATTACCGGTGTACAGGTAGAAAAAGGGCAATAGCAGCGGAAATAAATCAATTCAGTACCGTCACAGGATAGAGTCTATACTAAAATATTCTAGGTGATTTTCAATAGAATGGAACTCCGCCCACGTTGTGTATGGTCAATTTGTTTTGTCGGCTATACAACAAGTGGATGTAACGCGGCAACAGTAAATAAACATTAATAATATTGTAATTTCCATTCGGTTTTAGGATCAAGGTCAGGTGCACTCTAGTACTAGCGGTATGACCTGGGCGAGACCTCGTTTAAACGGACCTTTAACTAGTATTATTGTAGCTACTAGGAACACTTGGTGACTAGGTATTCTATCCTCAATAGTATACTAATATGAATTGATTTTTTTATTGTAAATATGACATGAAGATGGTGAGTATCTTCTACTTTTGTTTGGGATTTGTGACTCAAATTGAAGGCGTAGGATTAATTTACAATCAGAAAACGTAATTTCGACAAGTCGGTCACCAAAGTGTGTTAATTGGTGTTTACATTTCAATTTTCAGGTCGGTGAATCCCGCAATTTGTACCATTAGGTTTTTTATTACAAACAAACTCGAATAAAATGATGCTGTTTTTTTGGTAAAAAACCTCAAATTTGAAAAAAGAAACTTGCACATCATTCCTTGGCAATTCCTATTTCTTCTAATAGGCAAAAAAAACCAAAGAAGTAAGAACGATGGCGAATTTAAATTGCAATTATTAACATTAAACAAAGTTTCTAGAGGAATTTATAACAGAAAATAGAATAATAAAATCCGTGCAGATTTAAATTTTCCGATTCATCAAGGCCGTAATAATTCGTGGGAGGTTTTCTGGCGCAAAAATGGCGAGTCGCCAATAAAACCAGTCGAAATAGACTATTTCACGCCATCGAACAACGAAATAAATAAATAATGCTGCACATATTTTGCTCGTTGAGTGCAAATTTACATAAGCCCGGCCCTGGCGGAAGAGATAAGTAAAATTCCATTGAAAAAAAGAGCCTGCCGTGATTTGCCAACAATGGCGCATTTTTGTTCTTTATATGGTCACAGTTTGACGAACACAAAGCTTCGATTTTTTCCCTTCTAGTCGAGAGCCCTAACAAGAATCGCCGTATAAAATTTTTATTTCGCTTTCATTACGTCGCCAGACGGAGCTGTAATGATGAAAAAAATGGTTCCTTCCGACATGGCTGTGCTCTGATTATCGCCGTAATGGAGGCTATGTGGTTTTTATGGAGATTAAAGTAATTTACGCGAAGTCTTCCACCCATTCACGGTGTAAAGTTGAAAGAAATAAACGTCCTAAACCGAAGAAATGAAACACGCGAGTCGTATGAGTAAATCGATTTAATGTGCTGTAATTATATGCGTTTTCTATTTCTGGCAAACGAGAAAAATATATTAATATTGAACAATTCCGCTCTATCGCGCGGCTAATAAAATAATTATGCGACAGAACGTGGCGATTTTGTGAATGGAATTATATGCGAAAAGGGGCCAAGGTCTGGAATAATTTGCGTGTTATGGAAACGAGAAAAAATTCATTCGCCTTAAATTATTATTATCGGTATAGCTGTTTAAAGCAATTCTTTATCCAACACTTTTTTTTCACTACACCCTATTAAAATTTGTAAATTAACAGTCTCTATAAATATCACTTATAATCACTACAATTACAGATATTTCTACTAGCAATTACTTCTCGAAAGTAATTGATTATTTGCTCATTAGAATAAATCGATTGTTTTCGCAATCAAATTGCATCTAATTTGAATTAGAATTCAATTAAAAAATAACGCAATTAATTATTTTATTACATACATATACTTGAATTTAATAACATCATAATTTCTACTATACAAAATCTAATTACCGCCCTAACAAGTCATTACGTTAATAAGTAATCAATTAAAACATTAATAACTTCACTAAACACAAGGAAACCTTTACCTAAATTGTACGAACAATTTCACCCTAGATTTTCGTCTGTGAAACTTTCATTAGTTTCGGAACTGAAACGCCTTATTGAATATTTAACGCCGAGTAAATGAGATGCTGGGGCACGTATTTTAGTTTAAATTGAAAGCTACCCTAAAATCAACAAGTCTGCACTTGCTTTTCATTGAAATTTTACTGCCCTTTGGCAAGGCTACGAAAGAAAATCGATTCTTTTATACCCTGATAGTGCCGTAAATAAATAATTTTAGTTCTCTGGTTAGTGAAGTTTCGGTTGAATTAACCATCATCAGGTATAAAAAATAAGAGAAACATTCCGAACTACTCTGGTAGTACATAATTTAGCCACCATTAGGTTTAGAATTAAATATTTTGTATGTTTTCGTTTCCAGACTGACCCCAACACGGCTTTCCTGAGGGCAGCCAGAGCTGGCCAGCTGGACAAAATACTGGAATACCTGGATTCGGGGACGGTTCGAGACATAAATACATCAAACGCCGTAAGTACGCCAACGTTAATCATGGGAAATAGTTAGTAATCTGGTGGGAATTTCTGTTCGAAACCGTCTCATTTTCGCTCGCCTAAGTGCTGTAATAATGGATTTTTAATAAAGCCTAGCCACTTCCTCTAATTAAACTCGACAGCGAGGATGATTCGGAGAGAAATGAAAAAGTTCTCGCCGACCGATCGAACGAATATAAATTCTTCGCACTCGTTTGAGCTCAAAAAGTAACTATAAATTTACGTTAACTTAACAGTAGTTCGGATCGGATAAACAAGACGAAATCCCTTTAAAGTCGTTATAACGTCGATGTTCGTTGAACCCGAAAGTATTCCTTTACACGCCGGCACATCCAGTGGTGTCGCCATTATTCCTTATCACCAAATATATTAATATTTTATGTTTGAATATCACTATTTTCATCTACCTTACCTGCTTAAATAATCGTATTACCACCACTTATAATCGTCAATACTTTGTTTGTATGCACCCTTTATACTTCATCATGCTATGTAGATATATTTCGCAATATATTCTCTGGGTATTTATAATTTATTTATGGATAAAAATCAATTTTTTATGCATTAATTTTTAATAGCTAAGACCCTTTTGTTGCGTTCCTGAACGCATAGCCTTTTCGCCTTGACTGGTACAAAATGCAGCTGTCCCGACTCGCATAGGGACATCTGTTGCATTTGATCTATGGGATAGACGAAATGCACGTTTATAATTCATTTTATAATTAGAATAAAATTATGCGAGGGTGAATTCGTTATGTACTGTTTATTAGCGAGTCTATTTCCAAACCGAAAGGCATTTTTTATTCGAAATTACGCTAATTACAAACAAAATCCATTATAAATTATTATTGGTTTCGTCAAGGTAATCGATTTTTTGATAATTGTACATTTCTAAGAGAAAGTATACGAGAAAAAAATAATTAGAATCCAACGATGAAAGAATGAAAGGATATTCTGTGATCGAACGAGCGTCGTAATTGGAAATAAAAACCCAATTTCGGTGCATACAGGTAGGATTTAAACGGGATTCCGAATTGCGGTCAATCGAATTACGGATATCGATTAAATTGGATTAGGAAAAACATTACTATGCACACTAGCGTGCGGGTAAACGAGGAATACACTATTCATTAATTGCGCGTGGGAGTCGAACGAGCCGGGAATTTCATCTGTTAAATAGTTTCGTGTGTCGTGGGCGGCGAAACGAAAGTCGATTTTTTTCATAACGTAGATTTATATTTCGATAAATATCGCTAGGATTAAAACCGCTTCTCGAACTCTACTTGAAAATAATCAGCGACTCGTGCAAAGGGTTTCGCCGCTCGACGAGGAATATAACGAACCCTTCATTATTCCCTTTCGACTCCGACACAAAAACCAAACTAAAGAACGAAAAGAAATCATTATCTCTCGACGTTCACAATGGTTATTTTCTTCAGAACGGCCTGAACGCCCTTCATCTAGCAGCCAAAGACGGCCACATAGAAATAGCCAGGGAGCTGTTGAAACGCGGCGCTATACCGGACGCGGCCACCAAAAAGGGCAACACCTCCTTGCACATCGCGTCTCTCGGTAAGCCCACGGTAAAATAAATCGACTCCGCGCCTACAATGCGGTTATTTCGCAGCCGGACAAGAGGACATCGTTCGATTGCTGGTCCAACACGGTGCTTCTTTGAACGTTCAATCGCAAAATGGCTTCACGCCGCTCTACATGGCTGCCCAAGAGAACCACGATGGCTGCGTTCGATATTTGCTGTCCAAAGGTGCCAATCAAGCTTTAGCTACCGAGGTAAGATATTCATTAGTAGTTGGAAATCAAAGACAGTACAACTAAGAGACTAAATGTTTCTATGATAAATCCCATATACAGATTGCTCCATTTTTCATTGCAACACAGGCTGTGGGTGCAACTTTTCACTCTGACAACTGTTATTTTAATAATCTTTCTTTGTTCAACTCATAGAAATGCCCATGTTGCAATTGAGTGGTAGAGAGTAAGACATATCTGTTATTTTATAATGTCTTTGGTGGAAGTAGTTTTTCCTCTGTTGTTCAACTACCTTAATTTTTAATTAGATACTTAACACGCTGCAGCGAATCATCCGTTAAAATATTATACAACTCATATCAGTCTATATTATATTTATTTATGTAATACTTGTACGTTTCCGCGTAGGAATGTGCATATTGCTATAATTTATCATGTGTTTATACTAAACATCACTGACTCATTTAATTGTAATATTGCATATGTAGATGCCACTCGAATCGCATCCAGCCGAAAGGCTTTGATAGTGGATGAATGAAGTACATGCTAGAGAGTCGGGGGCTCTGTGTAAATGTTGAATTTAAAATAATTGTTTCAGTGAAGAGTGAGCATGAAATTGTCGAGGGTGTTGGTGAGAAATCTGTCCATTGTTGTCTCGTTATTGTTACAATTTCGAGTAGTTTATGGTATTAAATGTTGCGATTTTAGGACGGTTTCACACCGTTGGCGGTGGCGATGCAACAAGGCCACGACAAAGTAGTGGCCGTGCTATTAGAAAACGACACCAGAGGGAAGGTCCGGCTGCCCGCCCTCCACATAGCCGCCAAAAAGGACGACGTCAAAGCCGCCTCATTGCTCCTCCAGAACGAGCACAACCCCGACGTCACCTCCAAGAGCGGCTTCACCCCCTTGCACATCGCCGCCCACTACGGCAACGACAAAGTGGCTTCGCTACTCTACGAAAAAGGTACCTCTAATCGTCTACTCTTACTCATTATATTAACACTTTGATTACAGGCGCTGACGTTAATTACACAGCCAAACACAACATCACGCCGCTCCACGTGGCCAGCAAATGGGGCAAAATAAACATGGTGACCCTGCTGGTGGCGAAAGGGGCTGATATCCAAGCTAAAACTAGAGATGGATTGACACCGCTTCATTGCGCCGCCAGAAGCGGCCACGACCACGTAGTGGATCTCCTCTTGGAAAACGGCGCCCCGATGCACGCCAAAACCAAAGTAAACCCACTTTCAACACCATTTGTACACTACAGTAATCTTCTGGTTTGTTGATAGAACGGCTTGGCTCCGTTGCATATGGCAGCGCAAGGCGAGCACGTGGACGCCGCTAGGATACTGCTCTACCACGGAGCGCCTGTAGATGAAGTTACTGTAGACTATCTCACCGCTTTGCACGTGGCCGCCCATTGTGGGCACGTCCGCGTGGCCAAACTCCTGCTCGATCGAGGCGGCGATCCCAACGCCAGGGCTTTGAACGGCTTCACGCCGTTGCACATCGCTTGCAAGAAGAACCGAATCAAAGTGGTGGAGTTGCTGCTCAAGCACGGAGCTAGTGAGTACTATAAATTGTTGGAATAACAACGCACTAAAGTAGTGTATTCGTAGGTATCGGTGCTACAACTGAGAGCGGTTTGACGCCATTGCACGTGGCTAGTTTCATGGGTTGCATGAATATCGTTATTTATTTGCTGCAACACGATGCTAGTCCGGATATACCGACCATACGAGGCGAGACGCCGCTGCATTTGGCGGCTAGAGCCAACCAGGTAGACTCCGTTCATTATAAAATGAAACCTCGATAATGATTGTTGCACGTTTGTGTTGTAGACTGACATAATAAGGATACTCCTGCGAAACGGAGCATCGGTTGACGCGAAGGCTCGAGAAGAGCAAACTCCTCTCCATGTAGCTTCCAGATTGGGCAACGTTGATATTGTCATGTTACTGCTCCAGCACGGGGCCCAAGCACACGCTACCACTAAGGATTTGTACACGCCGCTGCACATCGCGGCCAAAGAAGGACAAGAAGAAGTAATTTATAGTCTTCCTTTTCGCGAAATACGTTATTGACATTTATATCGTGTGTAGGTGGCTTCAGTTCTGCTGGACAACGGCGCCGATTTGACCGCCACCACGAAGAAAGGCTTCACGCCTCTGCATCTGGCCTCCAAGTACGGCCACCTCAACGTCGCCAGGTTGCTGTTGCAGCGCGACGCCCCCGCCGACGCCCAAGGGAAGAACGGCGTGACGCCGTTGCACGTCGCCGCTCACTACGATCACCAGCCCGTCGCGCTGCTGCTGCTCGACAAAGGGGCTTCGCCCCACGCCGTCGCCAAGAACGGCCACACGCCCCTGCACATCGCCGCCAGAAAGAACCAGGTATAATAATATCTCCAGTATATACGCTGTGCTTTATTCCAGATCGCGACATAGTTTATATAGGTGCGATAGAGATAACTTCAATTAGACACTTATAAAGGAAAAAGAAAGAGTGACATATGTGTCATTGCAACTTTTCAATCTGACAACTGTCATTTTATTATTCTTTCTTTGTTCAACTCATAGAAACGGCCATGTTGCGATCTGAATTGAATCGGTAATCCATCGGTAATCTTGGAATGATTGGTTTGACAAGCGAGTCAAAATGGCGGATACGTCAAGATTCAAGAATGTTAAATACATTTACAGGTGTTTGTTTTTAACAGTAATTATCCTGTTTCGTGAGTTTAAAAGTAGATTAGCGCCAATTTAAATACCAAATTATTTCCGACGTGTATTTTGATTAGTGTAAATTTGTTTTTTTAGATGGACATCGCCACGACTTTACTAGAATACGGTGCTCAAGCGAACGCGGAATCCAAAGCGGGTTTCACGCCGTTACACCTCAGTTCCCAAGAGGGCCACGCCGATATGTGCTCGTTGCTGTTGGAGCACCAAGCCAACGCCAATCAAGCAGCCAAGGTTCGTTTAAAACGCTTCAATTCATCACAAATTAACGGGCCGTTAACGGTAGATTTTGCGTTATTCACCGGCCCTTCGTAAAGTAGAAGGGCTCTTCCAAAAATTGCACTCAAATATTCATTGGGTGCGGTAAGTTTTTACTTGGCTTCAGCAGAGTCGGCTCACTAAACGATCATAGACGCACTCAGCTCCCCAAGACAAGGATTAAATTCTAACGGCCCGTTAGCAACTCATAACCCACAAGCTTACACGATCCCCTACTGCGCGTAACTGTCGCCACCTATCGGCCAGAGGAGGAAACCTCGCCGAAAGATTCCTTCGAGCGGCCCGAACGCATCGTTTCTTATTTCATTCGATTGAATTTTTTTTTGCAGAACGGATTGACTCCGCTGCACCTTTGCGCCCAGGAGGACAGGGTGCCGGCGGCGCAGCTGCTGCTGAGGGCCGGCGCTCAGAAGGAGGCGAAGACGAAGCAGGGCTACACGCCGCTGCACGTGGCCTGTCACCACGGGCACGTGAATTTGGTGCGGCTGTTGATCGACCAAGGGGCGGAGGTGAACACCACGACGGTGGCGGGCTACACGCCGCTGCACCAGGCCGCCCAGCAGGGTCACGTCCTGGTGATTACGCTGCTGTTGAGGAACAAGGCCGATCCCAACGCGCTGACCAACGTGGGTATTTTGACGGGAGATTTCAAAGACATTGGCCCGTATTCAGCGCCTTCGAGTGACTCTAAAGTCGCGTCTTTAACTTGACATATTTACTTTGTTGTTATGAAGAAACTGGGAACTCGGGACGCGACTTTGGAGTCACGCTAAAGTTAAACAGAGGCGCTGAATACGGACCATTTGTCTTTGGGAGATTTTAATTGAGTGTGTTAATATATTTGTGTTTTTTTTTTTAGAACGGGCAAACCGCTTTGGGTATAGCGAATAAATTGGGTTACATCAGCGTCGTGGAGGAGTTGAAAGTGGTTACTGAAACGAATATAACGACTACTACTAATGTGAATATCGAGGAGAAGTATAAAGTGGTGGCGCCCGAGGCCATGCAGGAGACGTTCATGTCGGATTCCGAGGATGAAGGAGGTTAGTAGTGGGAAGATTTTTCTGTTTTGTTTTCGGTTAAATTTCTTTATTATCTAAATTAACAATGGCAAACGAAAAATGCGATTAAATGTAAATAATTTCATTTGTCACATTTGCAATTCGATTTTTTTTATTTGCATTTTTCTTTACGCAATTCGTGTGCTTTCGGTTTGTTTTTTTTTTTTTGTTATTAAAGCGTAGGTTGAACAATAACTTTGTTAATTAACTCGGTTTGTTTACGCCCGAAATTTACAGAGTGTCCCAGCTCAAATCACACCAATTATACTGGTATTTCTACAGCGATGAGTAATTATGTACTAGTAGTGCAAATAGTTGCAAGAAAGATCATTTTACTCGTTGTATTGCACCTATTGTATAGTCCATTCGCCGAACTTACGGGCGGTTGCAGGTTAAGAATTTACAGTTAACAAATTTCACCTTGTTTCTTGAGTAAATATGAACTGGTGCATACGAAATAAGTTCAGCGAATAGACTATTCTTGTAAACGAACCTTCAATTAGTTTGCACTTTGAACACTGCAATTACACGTCCCTGGGACACCCTGTTAATCGTAAAAAGAACCTACCTGTAACGATCCAATACTAACCACGTATGTTCTGTAATTTCGAATTTCGGGTACCTTTTTCGCGGGTTTGGGGGGTTGTTTTATTTAATAAAAAAAAAACCAAGCGTGTCGTCCGCTATAAGGGTGGTGGTTGATTGCATGCAGGCGGAGTGGACGAGCATCCAGTCGCTTACGGCCGACCGACGCATGCTCAGCACATCTATCTGCCCTTCTACCAGGGACATATGACCTACACACGTAAGTCCCATCAATGTATTTAAACGTTTCCTTCGGACCAGGAAAGACAGGGTGGAAACCTCTCTTTCTTCGTCCGAAATTTACTTCGGAAGTGACTAGCATGGAGAATAGTTTTTGGGGCGGATATGTTTCACTTTGGTGTAATTAAAATGTATATTGAAACATGTATGTTTTCGTGAGCTTCTTTGTTGCTTGTCTGGGCTATTTTTAATAGCGATATCGCAGATAAATCCGTCGGCATACATGTTAATTATGCAATAAGTTTCGTGTAATCATTCAACTAATTTATATCGGAGAGAGAAACAAATTAGTAGCCCATTAACGTGCATGTATAATTGTGTTTTTTTCTGGTCGTTAGTTTGTTTGGGTAGGAGGTAAGGAGATATATTGTATAAAAAATACGTCGATTATACCGAGTGTTAGCGAGTTTATTAAAAAAAATCGTAATCTTATCTATATTTCGATTTGTGTTGTTTCCACATTCACATATCGCACCGAGTGTACTATACAATAAATTGTGTGTAAACACACTTTAATTCACTTGCTATAATTGTCCGTAAGTAATTTTTTTAATAATTTCACTCGCACATTCTCTGTAGGTACATACAATAAACGTATCATATTGTTTTATCACAATCGAAATAAATGGGAGTGTGTTATTATCTTTCGAGAGGAAAATGTATCGCGATTTTTCTGTTACTTAGGTGACGATCCTCTGCTGGACCAGCAACAGTATAAATACATGACTGTCGATGACATGAAGAGTTTCGGTGACGATTCGATGAGAATGGACGTCACGAATGATGAGAAAAGCGAGTACAATCGGAATTCTATAGGTGAGTTTTATGTAATCGAATTTTAACTACAAGTGATTAGATAGAATTGTGTTAATTGAGAGGATTTTCGAAAATTGTGATGGATTGAAAGGGAATATTGAGTAGTGCTAAAATCACGAGGAAAAATTATTAATAAACTTACATGAATGTCGAAATTACATACATAAATAACAAAAGTAGGTAATTGTATTTCATACAAAAAAAAACTTACGATCGTAATTATCTCAACGAACCGGTAATTTAGCGGTTTTAACAACATTTTTATGGAAATTTCGTCGGTTCAGAGATCATTTTTATGCTTCTAAAATTACATCAAATAATTCAGTGTATGTACATACGTTTACTTGAAGTGCAAGCGGGTTTTTATCAGATATTTTCGACAATCGTATCGAATCTAACCTTGGGTTTTCAATAAACACTCGACACAAATTCGACCACCCACGTTTCGCTTTGATTTTTTTCTACTTCGAAGAAAACCTTGCAGCGCTTTTTCGGAAGACATGACAAATGAGATCGCGGGTATACCATAAATTATGTGGTTATTAGAATATAAAAAAAATTGGTGTTATATTTTTTAGCGCCATCTCATTTGAGCAACGACTTGATTATAACGCCGCAGCACGTTAGAGAATATTACGCAGCGAACTCGTACTCAGCTCCGGATAATGTGGATATCAATCGACAACCCATCACTGTCGGGTAAGTTGTATTTTTTTATCTCAAATTGGGCTATAATTATTTTACCGATAATAATCAAAATTACATGAATAATTCGATGGATTACAAGTATTTAACGGGTCACTTTGTAACGTGAAATTCGCTTAATACATCGCTTTAAATGTTTGTTACTGGTTGTCTTAACAAACTATCGAAAAAAAATTTGAATTGTGGTAAAAATTAATCGAGTCATTACGATAGAATTTTTAGACGTTTGCATTATTTGGATCGTATAATTAATGTGCGTTTAGACCCCTCTTCGCTTGACTTTACCCGAAACAACCCTTAGCTATAAATCGAACCCATAGCCAGTGCAGCGCCTTAAGTAGATAGTATGTATGTATTTAAGCTTAAGCAATGAAGACTGGGCGCGCCTAGAGCACCATTTGCGTCGATTGGGTCGTGTCAAAATCAAGGGATCAGGCCTGTGCAGAGAAAGGTACTTTTTCGGTGGTGCACAATTGTCTTTTTCTTATTTGTAAAGTTGTTTTTCTTATACATATTGGGCACCACCAACGTATGCACTGAATGATGCACAAACTACATTAACATTGCGTGATTTATTATGTTATTTCTATAGCTAATTGTATTGATATTAAGTGTCTTGTGAAACTGCATAAGTTGGTAATTTTTCGAAAACATTAAGAGGATTCGTTGTTGTAAATTTTGCAGGACACTTAATTTTTAGGTGGTTTTGGTAAATGCACACATTGTATATTGTAATGTCCTGTATATAATTACCTAGGTACATGTATATGTTTAGGTATTGGTTTAGGAAGATAATCGTATTTTCAGAACAATTGGCGAAATGGAACAAATTAAGGTATCTAGATTTGACGAAAAGGGAATTATTGGGAGAGTAGTTTTTTTATATAAATAAATTTTGATGTCTAAGAACAAGTACAAAGTGCATTTAATTATTGGGGAATTAGTATAATAAATTAATTTCCGAATTGAACATAACTAATACGTAGCTACTAAGTACTAAAGTTGATTAAATATTCATTATTAATTGCAGTAATTTTTTTGGTTTATTTCGTTTTTTTTTTAAGTACAACTTATTATTTTTTTACTTTCTTTCTAATTAACGTTATTTTTATTGTTGTCATGTAAACCGACAGTGTTCCCAATTGGAGAAAGTAAGTTTCTTATGCAAGTAACAAGTAGAAAAATTAGATATGCTTGTTTCATGACGATTTTTGCGCTTAAATTTCTACCCATCCAGTACACCGGGAAAGTGAATTCAATTTCGAAATTCCTCTCGGTGTTTTCAACAAAATCAATGACCCACCACTCGCTTAAACACTGTAAAATTAATTCAAATCAAATGTATATCAAAATTCGATTAATCATTTCACGCAAAACAGGAAATTTTCGTGTCGATTCCAATTTGTAGACGTGTTTATTAAACACCCACTACATCACACATACCGCACTATTTAAAACAAACATAACATACAAAACACTTAACATCATTGTAAAAAAATACACACACACACAGCGCCTACAAATATTGCCGCAAGCGATCCTATTCAGATAATACGTTAGCAAATATTGTACATTACCTCACCTGATTCAATAAATACATCGTGTCTGATACACACAAGACATAATCTCGCTCACAGTGCGTCGATAATAGCTACACTTCATCCATCCAAGCGATGCAGTAACTAAAACAAGTTTAGCCGCTGGATCAACGCGTGATCATCAGTGATTGGTCAGCGTAAGGAGGCTTTTTTTATATTACCCAATAGATGCGAATGCGCTTGATGATCCAGCGTCTAACCTTCTTTCGGTTACTCCGTTGGTTCGACGGATGAAGTATAGACAACCGCGCGCAATCGACACGAAAATTCCCCGTCCGATTCCCGTCCGCTCAACTCGCTTGCTCTCGCAGCTTCCTGGTGTCGTTCATCGTGGACGCGCGAGGCGGCGCCATGCGCGGCTGCCGCCACTCCGGCGTCCGGGTGATCGTGCCGCCGCGGTGCGCCCCGAGCCCCACGCGGATCACCTGCAGATACGTCAGGCCCCAGAGGACGCCGCACCCGCCGCCCCTCATGGAGGGCGAGGCGCTGGCCGGCAGGCTGCTGGAGCTCGGCCCTGTCGGCGCCAAGTTTTTGGGGTAGGTAATCTCAAGGAATCGAAGGAAATTCGATGGTAACGCGAGTCGTATTGCAGCCCGGTTATCATAGAAGTGCCGCACTTCGCTTCGTTGCGGGGCAAACAACGGGAGATCATCGTGCTGAGGTCGGATAACGGGGAGACGTGGAAGGAGCATACACTCGAGGCCAGCGAAGAGGCTATTCAGGACGTTTTGAACCACAGTTTCGATGGTGAAGGTATTAGAGATACGATTTATTTTTTGCACGGACGGCGAGTAAAAATGTTTGGGTTTAGAACTGAGCCAGATCGAAGATTTGCACACGAACCGGATAACGCGCATCGTCACCAACGATTTCCCGCACTATTTCGCGGTGATATCGCGCATCAGGCAGGAAGTACACGCCATCGGTCCCGACGGCGGGACCGTCTCCAGCTCGGCGGTGCCCCTCGTGCAGGCCGTCTTCCCGCCGAACGCGCTCACCAAGAAGATCAGAGTCGGTCTACAGGTAAACCATCACCACTACTAATGCTCAATCTAAACATGTAGTAGAGGAAGTGCTCCAAAGCACTAAAAAGTCGAAGAGAGTCGCTAGAGAGTAGCTTAGGGAGGATTTTTAGACGGGAACAGAGACTGTAGAGGTTGCGTTTTCAGGCTCAAGGGATCGAGCCGGAGCTGGTGGCGAAGCTGCTGGGCCACGGGGTGGCCGTGTCGCCGATCGTGACGGTGGAGCCGCGCAGGAGGAAGTTCCACAAGGCGATCACGTTGAGCATGCCGGCGCCTAAAGCTCATTCCCAAGGTATGATTAATCAGTATCAGGGGACGACGAACACCACGTTGCGGCTGTTGTGCTCCATCACCGGTGAGTTTACTATTTTTCATTTATATCGTTTCTTTTTTTTCATATTTTGTTTGCTAAGTTAATATGTTAATAAAGTGGAGCTAGGTGTAGATGTGCTTGTCAGGGTAGACTTGTAAACCCAAAGGCTCTTTAGCCAATCACAGTGCTTCGATTATGTTTACTAGCCAATAAGAGTTTTCGCTGAGTAGTGACGCTCTTTGATTTGATCCATCTACAAGTCTATTTTTACAATGTTTTGCTCAAATTATTTTTAAACTGCACATATAGCCGCTTTTCTCACGATTAATAAAAAATCTAACTGGCTATTTTGCTATCTTAAAATACTTCTACTAATCCGAGTTTATAATACTTTAAATCAACCTGTAATTAATTGCGTTTGATACCCTTTCGAAATGCATTAAAAAGTTTGCGGAAATTAGTCTAGTATACCCTTTAATACAGTAGGTGAGTGACACTAGTTTTTTTATACTCAATTACGACGGGAATTCCATCATTTACACCTCAAATAGTCGCTTTTATAAACCCACCACATACAGCATGTTAGTCGTTAACCTGTTATCAGTGTTGTCTTTACTGTTGCAAACTATTATTTTCGTATTCATGCTTCGATAGGAACTAAATCAGGTAAATTTAGTTCCCTAAATGTTTTTTTGTACGAAGTGTGCTTGTACACGTTTACAGTTTCTCGTTCGAAGCGAGAAAAATTAGTAAACGATTCGCTAAAATAGTTAATTGTTAAATTAAGCCCGTTTCGAACACATTTCTGATATCTGAACCGTCGAACAGGAGGTCAAAACAAGGCCGTATGGGAGGACGTCACGGGCTCGACACCGCTGACATTCGTCAAAGATTGCGTGTCTTTCACCACCACAGTATCGGCGCGATTCTGGCTGATGGACTGCAGAAACGTGGCCGACGCCGCCAAAATGGCCACGGAATTGTACAACCAAGTGCGTACCAACAACTCCCCGATTTACAACAATTAAACTAACATCAATTGCAGGCCATGCACGTTCCGTTCATGGCGAAATTCGTGGTGTTCTCGAAGCGAGTGTCGCCGGTCGAAGCCAGACTGAGGGTGTTCTGCATGACCGACGACAAAGAGGACAAGACCTTGGAGCACCAGGAGCACTTCACGGAGATAGCCAAGAGCCGGGACATCGAGGTGCTGGAGGGCAAGGACGTGTTCATGGAGTTCGGCGGAAACATCGTGCCCGTGCTGCAATCGGGCGATCAGCCCAAATTGGGATTCAAGGCGTTCAGGGAGAACCGGTTGGCTTTTACTATTCGTTTGAGAGATCAGGTATTGTATTTGCAGAGGAAATTATTTGGTGTATTTATTGTTAATTTGTGTAAATAGGATGAAGATGCATCCGGAAGGGTTATATTTATGAGTGAAGCTAAAGTAGCTAGAGGAGAACCGAACCAGACTCCTCTTTGCACATTAAATTTAGTCTTACCTAAAGACGTAGTCACCAGTAGGGATTCCCAATCGGATTTGTTATCGTTGGATAAAGACCACAGTTATCTTCAAGAAGGTGGCATCAGTAAGTAGAGTGTAAATTATATTTTTTTCGGGTTTATTCTGGACTTTTATTAGGCAAACCGGACGCCATTCATCGGGCTGATTTCCGCTTGTCCGATACTTGCAATCTACTGGACGAAGACTGGGAGAAACTGGCCCTCGAATTAGACATCCCGCCTTCGGATATCGAACTGATCAAAGAGGAGTATCCGGAAAACAAGCCCCAACAAGCCATGATCATGTTCAGGTTGTGGTTGAGGCAGAAAGCCAACAAAGCCACCGGTAAATCCCTTCATAATTCCATCGAGTATTTAATCTTATTGTTTGTTATTTAACAGGAAATAAACTGGAACAGGCTTTGAAGAAAATCGGTCGACAGGATATTATCGATAAGTGCATTTGTAACGTCGAATTAGTTACAGACGATATGGAAAAAGCTTTGGCCAAAGTGCATTTGGACGTCGATCAATCGGGTTTCGATAATTTGAAAGAGGAACTCGGCCATTCCCGAGACGCTTCCCTCAGCCGGGACGCTCACATCGATCGATCCTATTCCAGCCAAGACGATCTGGACAGAACCGATAAAACCGGTTAGTACGAACGTTCACTCCAAAAGTCTCGGCTCATTCGATTCCTTTGCAGAGAACGAGAAATTACACAACGCCTTGAATAAACCGGCGGACCATTCCCCATCGGCCCCGCCGATCGAGATACTCCCTAACGATGTAGAGATTAAAATGAGCAACGACGAAAACGAGGCGATTAAAGAGATAACGAACCAACTGAACCACGGGTTGGGTACCACGCCCGCGACCGGCGGAACCCCGCCTCCCAGTCCCGCCGAATTCGGCGCCGGGGAACCCCCATTGAACCGCCACATCAGCGAAAACGAAACCAAAGGTACGCTCTACAAACTAACCCCTTTAATTTTATAGGCGCTTTTTTTATTTTTATTTTAACGCGGTAATTAACTTGTAATATAATTAAGATTAGGATTGCATCTGATTTAAATGTTTCATTAAACGCTTTGTATTATAGTTGCTAACAAACTTTATTTTATACTACGAATTGATGCAATACTAATCGAGCTTGGTTAACAGTACATGCCCATTTTATTATTTCGCTTCTTTTTTCTAACACACCCGCTGGTACAGAGGTATAACTAGGTAGCACCGGTACACTTTTCCCTTGGGGGAGGGTTGTAGATGGCTTTAATTCGCAAAAAAACTTGCACCCGGGGCGCATGCTAGCCCTCGCTACTGGTAGCATTCTATTGACTGTTTTCAAAAGGGTCGCGAACGCGCGACGAAGGCGTTCACACGTCGACGCCGAAACGGTTCAGGATCGAGGAGGATCCCATCGCGACGCTGAAGCGGCACGTGCACGACACGCTGACGTTCCTGCACCAGGAGCGCAACGACTTCCTGCCCGAGGACGACGTCATCATACCGAGCCGCAAGGACGATCACATCTCGCGGCGCATCGATTTGGATAGCATCCCGACGAGGAGGTCCACCGGCGACGAGAGCTTCCACGAGATGGTGGAAAGAGAGGTGGACGAGGTGATCAGCGAGGCCGAGGAAGTCGTCAACAGCCGACTGAGCAATTCCGATACTCTGTACGATGTATCCGGGAGGTTGTTGACGAATAACAGGGATGTGGCGGAGGATAAAGACAGCATCTTCGAGGACGTGAAGACGATCACGGAGGATTCGTTGGATAACTTGGAGAGCCTCAAGGAGGATTCGATATCGGTGATACAGGAGAAGAGCGAGGAGGCGTTTCGGTTTCTCGAGAACGAGGCGTCGAGTCCGATCGTGGGGAAGCGCGAACCGGAATTCAGCTCTGGCGAGGATACGTTGCTGGAGGACTCGTCGAAGAAGACGCCCAAGAGCTCGATACCGGTGGCGAGGCCGCGCAAAAGCGTCGAAATCAAGGAGAAAGAAACCGAAGGCGAAGCCGAGCTGTCGAAAATACCCGTAATAAAAGGCGGTAAAATCAAAACTATCAAAAAACACTCGAAGGATCCGCTCAAAGAGTTCGTCACGCTCTCCAAAGACGTGAATTGGGACGATGACGACGAAACCGCCAAAATAATCGAAACCGTCACCACCACTGCGGATCCCATCGTCAAAACCACAGTCACCAGAATCACCACCGAAACCACTCACAACCCGCCGGACGCTTTGAACTTATCCGACGCCTCGCCCAGGAGTAAAATCCCCGTTCTGAGGACCGAAAGCACCAGGATAACCTCGCCGGCGGACGCGGTGCAGTCGCCCGGATCGAAGGTATCGACGATAGACTCCGAATCGGACGACGACAGTCGCAGGAGCCCCTTGAAGGGGATACTGAAGAAGCCGGCCAGGACGGTGGGCAGTTCGAGCGGCTCCGACGTGGCCTTGCACGAGGAGGGCGCCGAGCTCAGCGAGGACGAGTCAGGTAATTATTATAAATATAATCTGTATAATGCGAGTTTCTCATGAGTTACTGTTATAGTAGTTGTGAGGAGAGGTTCGATTTGGACACGTGTTAGTTTCAATATTTTTTCAGCTTCCGCCAAATTGCTTAAATAGATTTTCGAGTAGCTTCACACGCAAAATTTAGGAAAAATGTTACCGATTAGAGATAGGTAATGAATAATGATAAACACCGTTTGAGATTTTGTGATTTTTTTTTGTGTTGTTTTCGTCAATTTGGCATGGATATTTAAAATTAATTGACCGATATGAATAAAATAAATAGAGTGTATATTATTAATTACAATTAACTCATTCGTGATATTTGATTGTTTAATTTTCGAATGCATGTATTGAGCGTGTTGTTATTTATTTTTACTAGATTTATAACCGTTTATTAATGTTTTTCTTTTAGATATTAACCATTTGAATTAACATTAATTTACTCTCTCTAAACCACTAAAATTTTATATATAAAAAAATGAACTAACATCACTCTACTACTAAAATTTGCAACTGTGTTCGTCTTATTTATTAACGAATTATTACGATAGTTAGAGGAAAAAATATTTTATACACATTTAAAGAAATATGAAATACTGGATATTTGATTAAAAATTAGAGCTCACAAGAACTGCAGTAAATTAACCAAATCTCATACCCAGTTTCTAAATTTTTTGCAACAATTTTCGCTCCTCTTCAACTATCTTAATTTCGCAATGTACACGTCCGAAAGTAATTTAATGTTAATTTAAAATGGTCCCGTTATTTTATTAACATCTGTTTGAACATGCATCTTGACAGAGTCTTATTGCCTAGCATCAAAAATACCAAAAGCAAATACCTTAGAGACCCGGCATGTTCTTTATCCTCTATTGTGGTCGTTTGTCGCATTGGCAACAAGCATGATCGTGTTGGCACTGCTCGCACAAAATTGACAATGGTACGCAGACGTTTTTTTGCAATATATTTTTTATACACCGCCATGAAAGGAATTGCCGAAATTGCGGCTAGAATATGCTGTTTTTTTACGTATTCTCTTAGCGCACTTTCGTCGGTTTTTTTTTGCTCACGACCATCGTCAACTCAACCGCCTACATTACATGATTTTTCCACATTTGCATGGAAACGAAACCCCATTGAAACAAGAAACGAAATTTTAAAATGTGGCATGATTTTACACTTTTGCTTGCACTTATCACACACCGATCTGTATGCAAAGAATAGTATTAATAATACCGCTTTCTAACTACACTAAACCGTACTATTTAGAATCCAGCCTGTTATAGTTCTTTACGTACAGACAGTTATTTCACGTTTAGGTAACAAAGAAATCGTTTTATCGAATCCAACGATTCGCTAAATCGGTTTCGAAAAACGTTTAGTATTTAGTCGATTTTTTTATAGTTAGATTTAGAGCATAATTTTAAATGAATTGTAGAAGACTTCTATCAGCAAGAACCGCAATTTACGATCGTCACGCAAGAAACAGTCGATCCAGTCACAGGAGCAAAGTGAGTAGAAACCAATCAAAAGCGACGCCATGTAAAAAAAACCTTTACAAAATTTATGTAGATAATAATTTTTTTAAAGTCGGCTATTTGATTCGGAACTGTCCTATTTAAAAGAGAATTAATCAGGAACTATCTTTTTGGAGTAGAACAGTACAGAACTGTTATATTTGCAAGAGAACTAATCAGGAATTGTTCTTTTTTAAGTAGAACAGTTCAGAACTGTCTTATTTGAAATATAACTACTTAGGAACTGTTCTTTTTGAAGTAAAACAATTCATAACTGTCTTATTTTAAAGATAACTAATTAGGAACTGTTCTTTTTGAAGTAGAACAGTTCATAAATGTCTTATTTTAAAGAGAACTAATTAGGAACTGTTCTTTTTGAAGTAAAACAATTCAGAACTGTCTTATTTTAAAGATAACTAATTAGGAACTGTTCTTTTTGAAGTAAAACAGTTCAGAACTGTCTTATTTAAAGTAAAACAATTCAGAACTATCCTTTTCAACGAGACAATTCAATAAATTCATGAACTGTTCTCTTCGAAGAATCCATTGATTGTAAATAATTACATGCTGTAAAAGAAACTTAATTATCTACATACATACCTAATTAGTTTAAACGCCACTAGATCAATAGATTTTAGATTTAATTACTGTACTTATTGTAGATAAAGTGAGCAATTAAAGTAAGAAGAAACGACTCTTAAATAATAATTCTGGTCGTACGATCGTGCATTTTAGTGATTGGTTTTTCCTTTCGGTTTTTCAGGGTTACGAAAACAATCAAAACAGCAAGCCAAGTCGTGACCGGCTCGGCCGGTCAAACCGAGTCCGAGTTGAAGCACAACATTCAAACCGTTTTGGATCAATTCATGGCGGAGGAACGGAATCCTCATTAGAGCGCCCGTCGCGACAATATTTGTTACTTAAAATGGACGTTGGGTTCCCCTTTTGGCGGGGAATTGTTGCTGCATAAGGTTTCGATTGCGGACGGTTCACGGAAAAAAAATTGATTGGTAATTGCGTCGATAACATTCCATTTGGTTTATGATGTTGGTATATATTTTTTGACTGTGGAAAACAATACCGTAACAGCATCAGTTGCGTTTCGGTTTTTTTTAAAAGTTTGGTATTATTTTTGGAGGGCAAAAATTTACCCAAACTGCACCGGTGGGGTTGTTTTTTTTTTCGTGAACCGCTAGTAAAAAGGGCTGCTTCAATTTTGTATTGTTGAAATTTAGAAATTATTATTAGCAGTTTTATCAACCTGTTGGAAATCAAAATGGTTTTTAGCTAATTTTATTTTTCCAATTGAAAATCAGAAATTTTTATATGACCAATTGCAAGTTGTGAGATTTTTAAATGTTTATTGTATAGCGAGTTAATTACGAATAATTTTAGATTTATATTGTATATTTAACTTTTACAGATATATTAAATTTCTAAAATTATTTATTAGCAAAGTATGCAATTCATCACTACTAATAGGGAATTTAAGAAAATATTACAGTCATTATGGGATAGAATATTTTGGGACGGTTGTTTTGCCGGTGGTGAATTTTGTATTTTGCGGAATTCAGCTTGAACTAGGCAACATTTACATTATTAAAAAATATGTAATTTTTAGCAATTACATTTGAATAGTGTTTAGACTATCGTTTTTACTTAAAAAAAAACACTAAATTAGGAAAGTAATGGTTTTTCAGTATCAATTTATACTATTATAGGTACAGCATTATACATATTTGAAGGGTACTAAATTTCCGTCAGCACTAGGTGTGAAAGTTTTATTATATAGATTTAATATATTATAAACCATTATGCTTTAACCGCAATTATTGTAGAAACAAAAATTGTTCTGTAATATATATTTTTTTGGAAATAAACAGGACTAGTTTTATTTGCGTCCCCACACAAAATTCGGTTTCATATAAATGTTTATTTCTTGTATTAAATAACTCCATAGTAGAATACTTAGATTATACAACATTCAAAAATTTTGTACACACCGTTACATAATCATCTGGAATATCGAGCCAGTTTTTATTTAATTCGATAATGGAAATACGAATAACTATAATTTGTTCTTCTATGCTTTAGTTTAAATTTTAGCAAAAATATAACCCGGAAGAATTAAGGAAATTAAGCTATATAATTGCATAAAGATGGATGGATTGATATTCCGATTAAAGTAGTAACACACATAATCTAAATTAGTACATAACTAAAGTAATCTGAAAATAATTAATTTTTAATTTACGAAATTTAAATGTAAATGCAGATAAATAAAATACAACTTATCATCACACTCGCTCAAGACCATCCTTCCAAATATTATATATTTACAATATTATATTCTAGCGTAAAAAATTACTCAACCACATATTCATTATCTAGCTGAGATTACTACTACAGGGAACCTAAAAAAATGTTTACAATACGGTACAATAATACACTTTCTTGCAATTTACGACTGGTTAATTAAATAAATTAGAATTTTTTTAGAGGCCCTGTAATAAGATCAATTGTTTTAAATATATTTGTCCCCTTTTTAAAAATGTTAGCACCATTTTTACACAAAATGAAACCTAAAACGAAAAACCTAACTGGTAGAAAATGAAGCGTTAATATTAAAAAAAGAATCCTCAACCGCAATACATTTAAAACAATTACTCCATTAAAAAAATGTTCATTTCGTTTCCGTCGATGTTCGCTTCGTACAAGCTTGTGCAAAAAATGATTTTAAATTTCTTTTGCCTTTTCGAAGCAAACAGTTTGGAAACGACAAGAATTGATATGAGACAGAAAATTATCGCGCATAAAATAAGAAATTTTTATCAAAAATTATTTACACAGACGAGAATGAGAGATCATCGCTCTTACTAAATACATTTTTTCTGTTAAATTTTTTTGTTCTACAACAAAAAAGAAACAATCTACTGCCGGGCATAAGGAAGCCTCTGGTCTTGATTCTGTCACTCTCGTCAAATAATTTCAATTCCTTTACGAATTATTTTTTTTGAGCATACTGGAAGAAATAAAATATGATTTGACTCGAAGCTCTACTCTTTTTGTTTTCTCGATAAGAATATAAAAAATTGTCCCACTGGATCTCTTACGATCCTTTTGTTTAAGAGAAATACTTTTTTTTTGATAAATCTGAAGGTAATGGAGACGTAATCGATTTACAAAATGATGCACTTTTTACGTTTGACCGGCTCCGGAGGTTCCAGGGCCGCAAGGATGGCCTCGTCGAACACGTTCTTCAGTCCCTTTTGCGTTAAGGCGGAGCACTCCACGTATTTGACCGCTTTCAGTTCTTTGGCCAATTTTTCACCTAAATCACATTATTAGTAACATTAAATTTTGTAATTAACAGCGCGTACCTTGCTCGATTGATATAGGTTTTTGTTTATTTTTAGCTAATTTCTCTATCGTGGCCCCGTCATCGCGAAGATCTACCTGAGTTCCAACTAGTAAGAAAGGGGTCTTCTGGCAATGATGCGTGATCTCTGGTACCCACTAAAAAATATACAATTAATTATTATATCTGTATGTTTTAATCTGGACGTTATATTTTACCTTTTCTTTAACATTTTCAAAAGAAGACGGGCTAACGACTGAAAAACATACTAAGAAGACATCAGTTTGAGGATAGCTCAAAGGACGAAGTCTGTCGTAATCTTCCTGACCTGCAGCCAAAAAATTTGCAAAATTAACTTCCCATATTCGTATCAATTTGATAAGTTTTGTAGTGTTATACATACACAAACATTTGAGATTACTTTTAGTAATTGCCGAGTAAATATTTATCCGGCCAATTTATAGTTACGTGTTAGAAAAATATGTTTTTCGGTTGAATGAAATTTTAATGGTCAAAGTGCTTTAATTAGAAATTCTTAACGACTCCATCAACAATTTTTTACTAGTCACATTGGTATTTTATTATTATTTCTCGTTTGATAAATTGTTGCGAGACAAAAAAAAACTAACGGTATTCCAGTGATTGAATTTCAACAAGCATTTATTATGCAAAGCGTATTTTTTTGGGGATGTACATAATTTATTAGATAGTAAATTACCATAATCAGTAGCTCCTTCGAAATCGATACTACACAGCACGATAATTACTTACAAACAATATAACAAATAAAATTGCTCGAATAAAGGATATTACATTATAATATAAATTACCTGCTGTATCAAATAAGCCTAAAGTGTACGGCTCGCCACCTATCATAACAGTAACGGCATAATTATCGAAGACTGTCGGAACATACTCGGAAGGAAATTTATTTGTAGTATAGCTGAAACACCGAAGATTGAATTAACGTGCTCGTTAATTGCGCTGTTCACTTACCTAATTAATAAACAGGTTTTACCCACGGCTCCATCCCCAACCACTACGCACTTAATGGTCTGCATATCAAGTACTACAAAATGAACGAAGTGTTAGGCTTGTCAAATTTGACACTTTAAACAGCGAACGGGCGAGTACGGTTTTCCAATAGCGTTAACTACCGTAGAAATTCCGCAAGATTTAAAAATAAGTAGATCTACGAAATATGTGTCAAGACGTGGTTGGAATGTACGGAAATATTAAATGTTAATCTGCCATTTTTAGTGCATTCCGAGCGTCGTTTCACGTGAATAAAAAGCTACATGGAAAACGTATCGTCGCTAAACCGATGGATTACTTGATATATACGAGTATATTAAACGTTTGTACACACCTTAACTATCAAAATATTGTAAAAAACAACCTAAAAACTCATACAAACTATACAAAACTGCAAACTGCACTTTGGGTTGGGTTCGCGTAAACGAATTCCTAATTTCTAATCTAAGTTTTACAACCTGACGACTTGTCAACCTGGCTACACTAGCGACATCTCGTTGATATTCATTAAACCCTCAACAGTAACCTACATTATTTACCAAAAATTCTGCTCTACCAACACACATTTCATGAAATCAACCGTAAATGTTCAATTACAATTATTACACATCATAAATAAAGCATTTTTAATTGCAAGAGCGTATAAAAACCTCATAATACAAACGAACTACTGAACTAAAATGTCAAATAAATTCTTCTTTTCCAACAATACGTCAAAGTTAATCAAAATGACATTTATAAAGTGAGGTTAAATTTTGATAAAAACAACCCAAAAAATAGTTGTAAATACTTAAATATCAACAGAAACAAAAATCTTATGGTGTTTTATTGGCTAAATTTCGTCCAAAAAACATGCAGAAAAATCCTGTCAGCAGAAGTAAATTAGTCGATAAATTGCACAGAGGTTTCGTATGGACTTGTGTGGGCGTTTCGGCATACGCTCTTTCGGAGATCGGATGGCATTATTATCAATTCTTCACGCAAGTTAAACCAGATTTGGATAAAAAGAAACTTGAGGAAAACCAAGAATTATTAGCCGAAGGAATAGCGACCGAGTCTGCTCCTTATTACACCTCTTAGTCATGTTGTACCTGTAATAGTATCGAAAATAAATAGATTTTACAAGTACTGGCAGTATTTCATTTTATATTTAAAAATGTAATTGCGTTTATAATGAAAAAATTAACAAATTGAGTGATCTTTGATAAAACAAATTGGTGGTGGGGTCACAATTTATAAGGTTAAATCAGGGTATTGCATTTTATAAACTGTTCGATTCGATTTATGATTGTGTAATTAGCAAATGCAGCGTAAAATTTACGTTTTATGCAAACTGGTTTTTTTAATAAATTCGAAATAAGTCGCAGTAAAATATAATTATTTCATTATTTAAACGATAAGAGGTTTTTATATAACGATCACTCCTGGTATACGTCAAGATGGCGCCGAACTCGGAATTCAGTTCGGAATGTTAATTTTATTTTGTTTTTGTATATTTATGCATTTTTTCTTTGAAATTCGCACAATATGAGTTCAAGAAGGTAACGATTTCTGCATATTTCCTTAATATTTAAGTTGTCAGGCCATTAAAACGGCCGAATGGACGTTTAGAACATCGATTCGAATTGGAACAACTCTTGACTTCGGCTCGAAGCGTATGTTCAAACGGCCCTATTACTTCTGATTTACTGCATTTAAGTAACTGAATTTACTGAACGATCGTTTCAGGTGGTTCTGGCCTACCATCAGCGGAATCGACGCTGAGAAATTGTTGATGGAAAGAGGGGTGGATTGCAGTTTTTTAGCTCGACCTAGTTCTTCTAACCCCGGCGATTTTACACTCTCAGTCAGGTAATCAGGTCCCCAGTTGGGCTCAAAACACAACCACTAAATTACATAAACGGTTTGATAATATTTAACAATGCACTATTATCATGTTTGCATGCTATCCGATTACATTGTTGATAGTCGTATAAAATTTTAGGTGCTTGTTATCTAAGTTTGCTACGAAAGTATTTTGTACAAGGCACTCTTTGTCGTTTACACTGTTGCTAAGCTTGTTCCATTTCGATCGTAATCCTTTTGGTGGCTGTTGTACTCATACGATTACCTCGTAGAACTGGGCTTACCGTGTTGTCACTACAGGTTCTATGGAAAAGAGGAAGATTCCTTTATCCACATTCTGGAAGAATGCTATGGTCTCCAGAAGAACTAGAAGATTAGGATTTATCTTACTCGAACCAATTATATACTCGATACATCCTAAGAAGGATGTTGTAGATGGCCTTTGATACCTGTGGTTTTTTTGAATTCCAGGCGAAATGGGGAAGTTACTCACATCAAAATCCAGAACTCGGGTGATTTCTACGATTTGTATGGGGGCGAGAAGTTCGCGACTTTGTCCGAACTGGTGCAGTACTACATGGAGAAGCAGGGGCAGTTGAAGGAGAAGAATGGAGAGATTATCGAATTGAAATACCCGTTAAATTGCGCGGATCCAACGACTGAAAGGTGAGTTTTTTATCGAAGCTCTTTTTGTTCGGGAGATCTTTATCTCTGGGGGATAAAGTTCCGGATTTGTCGCGAATTTTGTATATTTTACATGCAATTTTTGCTTCTTTATTCAATCGGTAATAGAATTTTATTATGTCTGGGAAGAGATTTTACAATGCGATTTCATATTCCATTGTTCATAGAAGAATCATCTAAACTATTAATGTTAACTGTAAAAGTAATGTTTAAAATATTATGCCCAGGAAAATATTTCAATTGATTCGCTCGTAAGATTAGATTGAAGATTCTTACTATAGACTCTTACTATACATGTATACAGTGTAAGGTTTCTACTTTTGGTAATTCTTTTAGTTTATTTCTTCGTTTCGGTTCGTTTCGGTCGTTGCCATCAAATATACGATTTAAAAAATATTTTATATATAAAATTAATAATTCATCGTTGGTTACATAATAAAATGACGCAAATTTCGTGTGATATATGTCTTTTAAAACTCGATTTTCCATCTACTGTGCATCTTGATTGGACGTTTCATAAATAAATTTGTCATTTAATATCAGGATTTGTAGATTGTTTGTTCGAAGTTGTAATTTAATATAAAACACAAGACAAGTTTTCCAAGGTTGAAAACAACTTAATCGTTTAATGTTTATTTATTTAATTTACAATTTGTACTAGCATTTCATGTACCATAACTGATGCGTCCAAATTTTACTTATCACAAGATGTTTTTGTCGATAATGCACAGGATTCCCTACCTCATTTTTACCATTGACGTATTTTTATTGCTAATTATCCGAGTAATTTCCCTCTTAACAATTCCACCTGGCGCTCAATCGGTCAAACGAGTTGCATATTAATAAGCGAGATTGTGTGTCTGCAACCACGTTCGCACCCGTACAGTACCTATTTGGAGAACCGCCATATCCTGTCACTTTTTACGATCGATTTCTACAGAATCGCATCCAAACGAATCACTGAAATGCCACTCGAAATATTCATTAATTCGTTGAGTAGCTACGACCATTGTACATTTGAATGTGGAGCTGTAATTTGGTTGAGTATTTCACCGGAGTCCGGTCCTGTGGTATTGATTGATGTATCGATGACCATTTAACACAATGAGTATGTAATAAACATGCGAAAAGAGATTTTGTCGCGGTTCGAAGTTGGTCTTTATTAAAGCGTTTGAGTCATGCAGGAAGCTCCGCGTCTGAAGGAAAATAAAAGTCTATTGTCTAAGCGCAAGAAATTGTTTATGGCTATTTTAGGTTTTTCTCTTTTTTTATGGGAATTGGACTATGAAAGCCGTAGGTTGAGATTCGCGTTTTTATTGTTGTTTCTCGAGAAAGCATGTGCACTCTAAAAATTATGTTTATTGCCAGGTAGGCGATTTCTTCGAGTTTTTTTAGGAATCGCTAATTACTTGTGTTATTATAGTGCATTGTGGGTGTATTGTAAGGTTTAAAGAACGTTGTCTTGGGTTGGAAATGCTCGTATCCTTACATTATTTTTCGAATAAACCTACGATTAATAAGAGCTATTAAACCAGTTACCTTGCACATAATATTCCTTGAGATTTTTTCGAGTTATCTAGGTAATATGAATCATAAATATGTGGACGCGTTTCAGATCGATTTTATTAGTATTAGTCCTGCTGGTGTTTATTTAAAGGATACCTTAATTCAGCTAACCCGGTTTATGACGATGTGCATAATTAATTAAATTATTTTCCTTGTATTTTTCGCAATAATACTTATATAGACCTTGTACGAGGCTGCCATACTTAAATCGTCAACGTTTCTGTACGCCTTGTTGTTGACATTGAAAAGTTATGTGGTCTGAATAATCTTCACACAATTCAGAAAAAAAATCCGTTCCAAATGTACTTAAAATCTTTAATTTTTTTCAGTTTTAGTACCCACTTTGGTGCCTTTATCGGGCGTTTCGCCGGCACGTGTTGGGTATTATTATGGAAAATTGGTTAGTTACGTGAGGATTATGTAAAATAACATTGTTTAAAGAAAATCACATTTTGTCACATTAAAATCACATGCGTTATTTCCAATATGGTATTTTGTGAAGCTTAGCGGATTCGGATAATGGGAAAACATTTTACGTATTAAGGAAATTTAAACAAAACAAATTTTGTAAATCTTCCTGGTTTAGAGAACAATTGAAATTTTCCACTTCATGAGTTTCGGTGGAAAATACTAATTTACTAAAAATAACCCAAGTATAGATATAACATGATATAGGTATTATTTAAAATTTTCCTTTAATAGTGAACAAATTTGATTAGTACTTAATAGCAAAAAAATTGAATTTGTTCCGATTGATGAATTTGTTACCTAAATTACAACACTTGAAGCGTGTAAATTAATTTAATTCGTGGTCGCATTTCAAGCATTAAACGTTTTTTATTTGCTCTATCAAAACGGATAACTTAATGATTGTTTAGTAGAAATTTCTTCGATTTGCATAAACTTAAGTCGCCACATAAAAGAGACATTTACACGAATTCCTCCTAAGTGTTCCAATGTATCGATATCTAATTTTCACAATAAACATAAACAACGCAGAATTAATAATACGTTAGTATAATTCTTAAAAAAACTCGTTCGAATTTATAATTACGAAAGTGGGCGATGCGGGAGAACCGAAAGTACCATTACATTTATAAAATTTCAATCTCGACTTATATGATTTTGCACGGTGTATAATAATAGCAACTTATTTTTTTATCAAGTTGATAAATTGTTAATAATTTGTTTAGTACAAAAGCAGGAAAAGCAATAAAGCGCCAACAAATAAGGTGAGCAAGTACCAGCATGAATTTGTAATTTTTTCGGTACAATAAAACCGAAAATAACTGATTAAATTTCAAGTCGGGTGCGTTTCCTAAAACATTTCCACGAAATTTCTACGCATCCCTGATAGCCTCCAAAAAAGGTCTATTGAAAAGTGGCTCCAATTGAGTCATCCAGAGGAAGACTTGCACGTCCCCCCTTTTGGTGTAACCACCCACGTCTGCCTCCTCGTATTTACCATCGAAATAAACAAATGTCGCGCAACCTTCGTTCAGTTCTGCTGATATTAGGCGCGAGTGCGAAACGCGCCGACAGACCAGCACCGGCGACGAAGATGCGCTGGTGAGTTTTCCCCCCGGAGTTTTTCTCGTTTTTGAAATGACCAAAAGCATGCAGCAGAGAGGCGATCCTTCGGTTCTGGCTGTGCCCGCCGCTTCCATCATCATCGGCACCGCTTTGAACGAAATCAGGAAGGCCTTCGTCTATTTCAGCTACAAGTAAGTGCGTTCGGGACGAGGAATTCGCCCGCGCGGTGCTCGGATTCGAATTTGTGACGAAATCGTGTTAATTGTTGTATGAAATTCGGTTGTTTGATGAATTGGAGGTTCTATGGAAAGTGTGTAAATGATAAATTCGTTCTATTTCCATATTTTATGAGAGAATTGAGGTATTGTTATACAAGCATTTGGGTCGTGTGAAATTATAAATTAGTGAAATTTATTTTTTGTTTTGTATTTTCGATTTTTAGTTGTTGTGTTGGTTAAGTGGGCTTGCTGTAATTTTCGGTGTTTCGGTGTTTACTCATAAAGGTAATACACTTAAGAAAATTGCTAAAATCTTACATAATTAATAGAAATAATTATTACTTAAAGCTTCACGCAATCGTAAATATTGCTAAAAGTCACACTTAATTACACAAATATTGACTTAAAATCCACTTAAAAACATTCATTATTTAAAATTCTAACTTATACAGTGTCCCTGACGAGATGAAAAAATAATGTTTTTTTTTTAATTTTATGAAGAAAAAGACTCTTTGAAAGACTGAAGAATCTGATGTACAGGATGTCATTGAAGTAAAGAAACGTTAAAATAAGTTAAATTAAACATTTTAAGAGCAAAAATTTTATTAAACAATTTCATGTTTTCTCAATTTATTAACACCTACTTGTACATCAGATTCCAGTGTTAATAACGTTTATAAAGAACGATTTTTCTTTATAAAATCTCCCGTCAACTCCATCTCCACTATATTTTATCTAATATTTTAGATTGTATGAATTTAACTAACTAAATTTTCTTAATTAATTCCTGCACTCATGCTCAAAAAAATCAGGATAACAAATCAATTTCCATCTGGATTGAACGCGGATCTTTGAGGATGCACCGCCAGGAATGTCTCGATAATTTTTTTCCTCGTGTAATTTCCGTAATTATCGTTGGTTTCCTATTAGCAAAGCAAATAGTGTGCACCTCGCTGGCGGTATTGGACTCCTCTCATGTCGCAAGTCGACGGGGATTTTTTTGCGTCTCAAATAATTTCATGTAGGTATTTCGCGATTCCGCGAAGTCGGTTTTTACCGATGCGAAAATGCACCTGAACGTGCGACTTTTTTGCATTTCCAGTTCGACCATTATTATTTTTAATTAGGAATCGCCAAGTGGAATTATTTAGAGGTGAACAAAAATGGTGTTATATTGAATTAATGTTTATTGAGGAATATAATGCACGAGAATTCTACTAACCATGACAAATTGTGAGATATTGGCATATTTTTAACTAAACTTGTGATACACCTACGCAAATTATGAAATAAAATCCAAGTTTATTTGATCAAACACCAAAAATATTGACTTAACATAAACAACAATCCATTCTTCAAGTAGATACATTTACGTATGTGTTAAAAATTTAACTAACACGTTAATGGATTTATTTTGCTATAAAAATTACTTCTGCAATCATGTGTAATTTGTATAAGCGAAATTCTAAACTAAACACGCGTATATCTTCATAGACTGAGCCCACAATTTCCAACTTAACGAGCAATTAATTTCCTTCCTTGATTATTCGGAGGGATTTCATCGTAAATCCCATCAAATTCGGAGTCGCAGCGGCGAACGTTGATTAGCGAATTTAAATTTATAATTAACCTCGATAAGCCATAAATAATATGTTAAAAACGTTTTCCTTGCGTCGAGCCGTCTCTAAACGCATTTCCAATAGTTTCGCCAGTCGTTTGAGAACTCCAGGCGGGTTTTGTTTATTTTTTTTTTTCAATTTATTCGAATCGTTTATTCGGTTAGATTTGATATTGCATTTACGGTGTATTTTTTTTCTCTCGCGCAGAGCGCCAAGGATAAGCCGGAGTAGGCCGTGTGATTGATTGTGAGTTACGGTAATGGGATTTTTATTGCATTTTCTGCATATTTAGTCATCGAGTGAATTGTGATCTGTGCTGTGGATTTCTGCGTAGTAAATTGACCGAGCATTAAATTCACACAATCATAAGTTTATTTGTACTATTAGGAATTTGTATTTGTTGCCATGTAGAAATTCGCTATTGTCTTAAGGTTTGCTTGTTTAATTATTATTCATTAGGTATACATTTCTCTAAAACCATTATCCTTATGAGTCAAGTTTTCAGGAATATAAAATAAATCCTTCAAAAAAAATTCAGATACTAGAGTCGTGGAGAAAGTATAGTAATCAACAAGTTCAAATTTGACAATTTTACATATCAAAATGTATTATATTACAGATTTCCGTCGTTTAATTTTAATGAGACAAATCATCTACGAATAGGCCTATTAAGGCAATATTTTTTTATATAATAAGCTGTTACATAACTATCCTTTGTTTGCTATTATTAAAAAAATCGAATTAAATTTTAAAACAGTCCGAGTTAACGTCATCGCGCGCTCAATTAGAACACCTATGCTACATGTTAGTTGAAATAATTCTTGTTTTCGCGACACGATAATCCGTAAATAAAACAATTTAATATCATTACATCCGCGCAATGTTGCGGTTTTGTTTCCTCGACGAACGATTTAAATTCGAGGCGTCGATTACACGCTAATGGAGCCGTTAATGGATTCATTTCAGATGGTTCCACGGACACTTATCCGGAAAAGAAGCCGAAAAGCTGATATTGGACAGAGGCAAAAACGGTAGTTTCTTAGTCAGAGAAAGCCAATCCAAACCCGGCGATTTCGTGTTATCAGTCCGAACGGACGACAAAGTCACGCACGTCATGATCCGCTGTACACCGGTAAGCATCGCACACAGACCGATACGAATAGCTGGAGACTTAGATTTCCAACGCGCATCGAACGTCTCCAGCTATTCCTGTCGCACTGTAAGCGGGATTGTTGTTCGACTGTTAACATTCGGTAGGATAACAAATACGACGTGGGAGGGGGCGAACAATTCAATAGCTTAGCCGATTTAATAGAGCATTATAAGAGGAACCCGATGGTGGAAACGTCCGGTACTGTTGTGCATCTCAAACAACCCTTCAATGCGACTAGAATCAACGCGTCCGGTATCCATTCCAGAGTCAAACAACTACAGGTAAATGTGTTTTTTGGATAAACGTGTTAGTGAAGTAAAAAAAATGATCGATTTCAGACGGAAAACGGACCGAACAGTCTAGGCAAAGCCGGTTTCTGGGAGGAATTCGAATCGCTGCAACAGCAGGAATTCAAGCACCTCTACCATCGCAAGGAAGGCGTCAAGCCGGAGAACAGGAACAAGAATCGATACAAAAACATATTACCATGTAAGCACAACTTGTTTTAATCATAACAACGATTTTATCTATAAAAATTCGGATGAATTCGCAGTCGACGATACTCGGGTGAAGTTGAAAGACGTGGACCCGAAAGTGGCCGGCAGCGACTACATCAACGCCAATTACATTCGATGGAAATCGGACGAGAGCGCCGCCGGCGAGCCGTCGAGCAACACCGATCCCAGCGGCAAAGTGTACATCGCCACGCAGGGCTGTCTGCCCTCCACCGTCGCCGATTTCTGGCAGATGGTCTGGCAGGAGAATTGCCGGGTGATCGTCATGACCACCAAGGAGACCGAAAGGGGCAAGAACAAATGCGCCAGGTACTTGTATTTATTAATTATTATCGTCAAAAGCGCTGGAATTCCTGCTTTAGGGAATTTACTGCATAACTTTGCTTATCTATTCTAATGGTACTTAAAATGCAGGTATTTGAAGATTATTTGTTCATATTTTACGTTGTAAATAACGTTTTATCAGGTTTTCTTGGACCTATTTACTCCTTGTAGTTTCTTGTAGCCTCTATTTCTTCCTTCATCTAACATCTTTAAATTATTTGTGATGTTGCTGCTTGTATTGTTTGATTACAACGATGTATTACCCATCCTTACACACCATCTTCATAAGATTTATTATCCTTTGATTAACAACGATTTGTTGCCCTATTCTAGTTTCTTGTAGCCTCTATTTCTTCCTTCATCTAACCTCTTTAATTTATTTGCGATCTGGCCTTTTTCTAGGCATTCTACTGCTGTATGGTTGGTCACATCTTTATACACCATTTGCATATGTTGTTATTCTTTGAGTATTCAGTATGATGGTTTGTTGCAGGTACTGGCCGGACGTGAGCAGTACCAAAGAGTACGGCAAAGGTAAAGTTCGAAATCTGATGGAATCGCACACGCCCCACTACACGCTGAGGGAGTTCCTGGTCAGCATGGAAGGCTCGACTGCGGAGAGGAAAGTGTACCACTATCATTTCCAGGTGAGGATTTCGAAGGGATTTTAACGCTTAAAACTGAAGGCTATTTGTGTAGGCTTGGCCGGATCACGGGGTACCATCGGATCCCGGTTGTGTACTGAACTTTCTGCACGAGGTGAACAAGAGACAGGAAGCGTTGCAGTTGGAGTCTCCTCATCAACCACCAGGCGCTATTTTAGTGCATTGTTCGGCCGGTATCGGAAGGACGGGTACTTTTATAGTAATCGACATGATTTTAGACCAACTGAAAAGATTCGGTAAATATATTTGTCGCTCTTTTATACATGCGATTAACAGTTTTCTTCTGCAGGTCTCGATTGCGAAATCGACATCCAACGTACAATCCAAATGGTCAGATCTCAACGTTCCGGTATGGTACAGACTGAAGCCCAGTATAAATTCGTTTATCTAGCGGTACAACATCATATAGAAACAATCACGGAAAGAATGAAGGCTGAACAAGTAAGTTCGCATTTCCACTGGCGCGCAAAAACTCACTCAATTTCTCGCAGAAATCGATGCAACTCGGCAGGGAATACACGAACATCAAATACAGCAGCGACATCGGCAACAGCTGCACGACGCCCGGCGTCGCGTCGCCGCGATCGGGCTCCGTCAGCGTCGCGTTCCCGCCGACGCCGGCGACGCTGAGGCACGAGGTCAAGAAGCCGCCGCGGGCGCTCTCCGAGATCTCCCTACCCAGGTAAACTGCCCTTCAAAGCTTCCCCGCTTTAGCTTTGTAACGAGCGATGGGATATTTTTACAGGTTTATATTGCAAGTCGAATGTTTCGTTTAGGCTGTTGTGCAGTAAGTGATCGATATTTTCCCTATTTTCGGAACGTATTCATCTGTACATATCCCATCTCTGTTTTTGGTGATTGGTTTGAAACGGGGTTCTTCGAACCGGATTTGATTTCTATTAATTTGATAATGGTTTCTGTGTTTTTTTAGGCCTCCGGATGATTTGGTGAAGCCTACTTTGTACGAGAACATTCCCGGTAACCCGGCCGGGTCCGCCCCTCCGCCGCCCCCCAGAAGGGCCTCGTGACCTAAGAAGACCATTTTTAATTCGTTGCGGTTTCAATTTGCGATTTTAGTTTTTAGCTGTAGGGGTGTTGCGGAAGATTGAAGATGTTGTTAAGCAGTATTAAATGTGGATGGATTAGATGAGGAGTTTTAACGTGCCTAAAAAGTTTTGAGAGACGCCCCTGCAATGTAATCTAGTTTAATTTCTTCCAAAGAACGAGCATTTTTAAATTTTAAGTTCTCGCGTCACCTTGTGATTTAAATTCGTGATTTCGGATTAGGTATTAATTATTTTTGTGTAATTTTATATTATATGTATTTTTGCTGGATTATTAATTTATATACGGACCTATGTTGCATTAGGTGTACATATTTGTAATTTTAATTCTTATATTTTGTATAGTAGTTATTCAATTGGACAATTCGTGTATTATATTTTACGTTGCATAATTTCGATCGTATATTTTGAGGAAAAAAATTATATAAAGTTAATGGTGCTAATTTTTATTATTTTCAAGGCGTTGTTTATTATTATATCCCGATTTGAAATGTGAAAATTATTCTGATATTTTATCTGTTAAAACTATAAGGAATATAAGTAATTATTACCAAAATTATGATCATCATTTCGCAATCCTTTACATTCTTTCCTATTTATGCTCTGTTTAAAAACTATGAGGAGTGATTTGAAAAGTCAGACTTACACCCAAAAAAGTTACCAGAAAATTTGCAAGGCGGCAAATTTAAATACATATCATTCATTTACATAAAATTGAAAGTAAACTGACAATAACTATATTAAAAAAATTGCCTCCCAATTAACCAATAAACAAACGCGAGTGTTGCCAACTTAAATTCTAATCGCTCTTCCTAGTTTTTAAACAGAGTATAATGTAATATTATAAATTTATAATTTTTTATGTATTCTTAATACTTTATTCTACTATTTACTACTTAATATACGAGTATGTCATGGATGATTTCTACTGTATATAAACATGTCCAGTTAAATTGAGGCCACTTAAGTGACTCATCAGAAGTACCAACAATTCGATATTACATAATCGATTATAACGTCTTAATACAATTTTACCAAAACAGGCATTCATAATTTTTATAGGGAAATTTCCAAGGTTTACTAATCTATATAGATAGATTTTTGTATTATCGATCATTATCATCGATTTTAGTGTTTGCTCTATCGTTCATATCTGTGCATTAGGAGATCTTTATTTTTAGAACCATCGAGATTTCGGAGATTAATAACATTCTAAATCGAATTAATCGAAGTTCGCTGTAACATTAATCAAATTAATTCAAATTAAATACGCCTAATCAAGTGAAATTATTCTCGTAGATGACAGAATAAGTCCGTTCGATATGGATAGACGCGCGATTGAGTTCATTATGTTATCGACTAGGCCTTATATAGGCACTTATCCTTCGCGAAGACAACCGTCTACTTTTATGGATAAATATTTATGCAACTCTTGCCAATTAAATAACGACGGATTAAAAAAAAAGCTGCCTTTTTGTAAAAGGCGTCGATTCGCCTTGTACTTTTTTCTTCGCTCGCTTAAAGTAGGTTATCCGACGAATTCGTAATCCGAATTTCTTTCAATTACGGCTATTTATATTCAAAATTCTCATTTTATCAATAATATGGACACCTTTTGTTGAGAGACCAAATTGGCTGAAGAAGATCTTTGACAGAGGCCTTATCTAGGTAAAGAAGTGAGAGAGTCATTATCTAGAAAAAGCAATTAAAGAGG